TAGCAGAGTATTTTAAGCTTTGGAGATGTAAATAGACAATAATGCAGGATTACTCAAACATGTGTGAATGAAACAAAACAACTCCAGGTGTGTTTTTGATGACGTAACAACATTATAACATGGCTAAATGCTCACTGGAATCAGTTTTGTGTAATAGAGGACCTTTAAGCTCTAAAAATGGTCTGTGAATTCCTCTTGCTCAGATGTTTTTGTTCACCTGCCACTGCCTCGTCCGCTCTTGCTGTTGACAACAAATTTATTGGCTCTGGACGTTTGGCTACGCGGAAACTACTTTGCATGGCAAGGAGTGAGCGCTGGGCTAAACAATAGTTCCTCATGTGAAATATTGCAGCAGAGATTCACCTTTGGCTCTTTGTGCCTTCTCCCCCGGCTTATTTACGTAAGCAGGTCGCGTTCTGTACCCCATCAGGAAGAGGTGTTACAGGAAACTCACGCCAAAATGTAGGATTTCAACTTAATGCTTAAAGATGCACTGTGTAACTTTTTAAATGAAGGTCTATCACCTGCGTGGTTCCATGGATCTGTCATTGCTCTGCCTGGAATGTTCCATAGTATGACATTAAACAGATCTACTTTCTTACAGCTCAAAAATACCTAGAAAAACCGGCATTCTGTCTGTGAGTGGAGTTGCTTCTCCACAGATCTGACTTGTAAATTGGTCTGGTCTCCATGAAGATAGAAATGTTTAATGCCATACTGTGAGTCTTTCCAGACGAAGCAATAACATCTCTGTGGAGAAAAGTTGTGTATGGTCCTCCAGAAAAGTTACACAATTTAACATTAAACCCTAAAAGATGGCCTGAGTGAAAGTTTTAAATTGAAAAGGTGAATAAACAGCAGGTGACCTTTGTACTAAAAACAACAGGGAGCTTGTGCTTGGAGGCTGTGGCGTTTCCACATTGCTGCGAGGTTGCTCTGACCAAGAGCACAAAAAGTCTATTGTGTTCAATTACCATTAAACTCTGTTGATGCGATGTCCTTTCATGACCAGACCCTTGGCAATTCCTAAAAAAACTGACGAGGTAAATATGTTCCACTCCCAAGATTTTTCGGAACTGTCTATGTGTAATTAAAACTGTGATTCTAAGAAATGACACATGATGACGTACGTTACAGTACCCTTTTTACAAACTAGTGGAAAAACCATAGTCAGTGTAATTTTAACGAGTCCCTTCTGAACACATTCATAATTTTATTTTGATCTCATTCAAATTGATTGCTATTTTGAAAAGAAATACTTCTTCAATTAAAAAGTGCAAAAATAATGCAATACCTCATCCTCCATTAAAGGTGCTCAATAAAACTTTATTCGTGCAGTGTCTGCCACCTGCTTTACTACTTTATTGTTCTGACAGGAATGTTCCACAGAAAATGGCACAAAACAAAGCTCTTATTCAATTACAGGTTGGGCTGGATGATTAATCAAATTCATTTGTGCTTTTAATAATCAAGATTTAGAAAAATTGTAAAATTGTGAAATTGTATGACACAAGTTTTTTCCTGACTTTCTTACTTGCAAAGCAGGGTTATTGGTGCAGTTACACAGTTCTAATTTAAACTATTAAAATTAGATTACAAACCTATACAAGTGAAATTGAAGGCTGTTTACAGTTACTTAAATAATATTATATAATTAGAATGAAAATGTAAAGAGCTTCCCCTGTGTGAAAGACTAGCAGTCCCTGTGATAAAAATCTGTTAAAATCATGATCGTCCAGTATGTGCAAAACAAATCGAGATTTTCTTTTTGTGCCATATTGGACCACTCTAATTACAGGTGTATTTATGGTTTAAAAAAGTTAAGCATGCATTTTTACTGTCCATAGAGAGGTGGTGGCAGACTCTCCACAAGCTTTTCAAGTGGAGTTTTGCATAACAAGCTCAACAAATAAAAAAGTCATGTTTATAGTTTGTGGTTTTCACATATACTGTGTTTTTATAACGTCTTCACTTATTCACTCGAAAACTATTGTCTAGTAGTCTATTTTGGTCTTTTCTGATTTATATTTTGGAGCCAGTAATTAATGCACAATTTGTTCTACAACAATCATTCATCTCATTAAAATACGTATTGAAAACATGATTACATTTATTAATGTAGTGTTTTGACCAGGACATATCTTTTACTGGCATTTGCTACTGATTTATCAAAAGAGAAGGTCGGGCAGATATGTTTTAAAGGTGCATTGTGTAACTTTTCTGGTGGAGTGTTCATCAGATATTTTTCTATGTGGAGTCTGTATGTTATTGCTTTGTCTGCAGTGTGTCACATTACAGTATTAAGCCTTTCTGTCTTCATGGAGACCAAACCAGACCAAGTTACCAGTCAGATCTGTGGAGAGGCAACCCCGCTCACAGTCAGAATGGTTGTTTAATATCATACTATGGAACATTCCATCCCAAAGCAATGACATACCCATAGAAGCAAGACTGTGACAGACCCCCAACCAATAAGTTACATAGTGCACCTTTAATAATCAGTGTACTAATTTCAGCCTCTCCTTTTCCTTCTTTTATCATGGCATTTCTTCTGATTGCACCACTGTGAACCACTTTGTCATTGTCTTCATAGAAGGTAAAATAAATGACAGATTTAATATTTATTGAGTGAAGCTTTGGATGTGGCAGTGACACTGTGACTTGTGTTGAGCAGTTGAGTGGGTGCAAAGTGGCCTGTGGATCACCCCACCATGAACCCACAAACATCTGTCATGTGCAGAGTACTGCTGCAGAGACTAATGAGCCCACATCCTCTAGCCTCCTGCTGACAGAGCGCTCCCAATCGGCCCCTCGGACTTAACAATCGCTCCGTTTGACCCTCAGCCCTGACTCCTGACACTGGCTCATCTTTTTCCCTCTGTCCATGTCTCTGCATGAACACTGCTCTGTTCTGTCTCCGTTGAGTTACGCAACAGAGCCACGGGAGGAACCAGTGTAAATCATGTTAAACCAACAAGGGTCATCTCCCTAAATACAGCTCACAATGGGTATTTTGGTTAAAGGGAAGCAGACTGTCCATATATGTAACACAAGGTGAGGACAGAGAGATCAGGGAGTGCAGCTGGAAAGAACTAGAACTATCTTGTCCCTTTAACAATGCTTTATGAAAGGACCACAATTACTAAGATTTATCCAGCAATCTTTGCAATCTCAATGACAGTACTGTAAATGTCAGTGGATTTACAAAACTGCACAGACATGTTTTAAGTAAAACATAATACAAGATAAGTTTAAAAACTCAATAAACTGCTGTGTATCATATGCATGTAAATCTATATAATTTGTGTGTCACCTCCTTCTATAACGTGCCTCATGTTACAGTGGCTTTCATGTCATAAACTGCATGGCTTAGTTGTAGAAGTGCAGCAGATATACCAGGTCACTGTGTCTTGGGTTTGAATTCTGCCTCATTATCAATTTAAATCATACATTCTTTCTTAAGTCAATAAAACCTTAAAATAACAGTGTAACATATCCTCCACTTATTTGTGTGGACATTGGGTTCTACTGCTTGTAGTTGTCAAATGCTGCCATCACGTGGTGACTTTTGAACATTACAAATTTAAGGGTTTACAAAAAAAAAAAAAAAAAAAATCACCAGAAAACTATCCTCAATATGAACTTTCCGAGATTAATAAATTATTTAAAACAATGATTTACAAAGTAAGATCAATAGTTAACTTTCCACGAACATTTGTCTCCAATATTAAATATGAAATAAGTGCCTGAAAACAATGCCTCTGTTGGAAGGCAGAATATTAACACTGATACTAAGCATATTTTCTCCATTATGATTTGAGACAAGGAGTGTAGATAAGAAGGCAAAACATGCAGAATGTAACATTGACTGGAGCAGATTATTTGTCCTTGAATTTCTGACTATTAATGAGCATAAAATGTCATTAAGCCTATTTCAAACCAATATGTGAACACAAGCAGTAGTATAACTTAGATGCACGTGTCAATATTTTTCTAGTTCTCTGATCGATTACCTTTATGCAGTTGTATGTGAATTACAACATAACATTATACTCAGAATCAAATGTTCTTCTGTGTTTTTGCTGGTGTCAGTTTATCTTTAATCCCTCTGAGAAATACGGCCTTTCAATTAGAACAATATGTGCTCATAAGTCCATAGTCTGCACTGTTCTTTTTAACACCCATTACATGCAGTTTGTTTATTTTTTTGTTTTGGATCATCTCATGGTTGCATGAATTCTGCTGAATATGTAACTTCTTGTTTCCTTGGTGGACCTTTAGGACGTCTGTGTGGAGCAGATCAAGCACCCGGCCTAGACCCACCGCATTACACCACAACGACGGTAATGAGCAAAAATCAAAACAACCCAAGGAAGCAAACAAAACGGTCTTCTACATCGGCCATCTTTGGACTGTTTATGCTAATTTACGCAGACATCAACGCTGGCAACCGGCGAAGGATCGAGCTCTGCTGGAGCAGGCAGCATCTGATGTGGCGCATCTCGACAATGTCAAGTGCCGCTGTTTCTAGACACTCCAAGACAGTATATCCGATTTTCAGAATAAAAATGACATGGATCGCGTTTAGACTGTATTGAATTCAAGTTCAGTGTACTTTAATCTGGGTTTTATAGCCTACAGGCCAAAACTATACTAATAATTTAATAGTTTAACCAAAGGGGATCCCCACACTGCTCGCAGCCTACATATTGTAATAAATTAGAAATAAAGTTAGTTATCTGATAGGAGGATAAAAACATGAAATACTACATTCAGCCTAACGCTTATCATGCATTAGGCTATTTATTCATTAGGCCTATGTTGAAGCAAATTGCGTTGTTTTTCTCCAACTGTCCACATATTAAAAGTTGTGTTTATGGAACCATGGAAGAGCACAGCTTTAATTTTGTAGTGCACGACCGGAACATCCCACTGCGCTGCGCTTTCCTGGGTTTACCGGTGGTGCGCATCTCACCGACCGGGAATACCGATCTGTGAGCAACGGGCCTCTCCACCGCTGCACCGTAAGCCGTGTTTTGCTGCACGTTGCTGCAAAGGAGCGGGCAGCGGCGTCGTGTGCTTGGCCTGAAGCTCGCGCGTCCTGTCGCTCAGTATTATGACAGTAGGAGCTGACACATATCCAGCCGGAGCCCTGTTTGTTTTGTATGGCGAAATGAGGCAGGGGGTGGAGAGTCGCCACAGAGACGCTGGGCTTCGGCCAAACATCTCTGCTTTTTAGCGCTCCTCCATCTCCATCGGTGCTTGGCCTTTGCCTTGAATTGCATCTGCTGCATCGCTCTACGGACGCCTTTTTGTAACGTGCATCCCTGGAAAATGCAGCTCGTTTGAGGACACCCCCCACTCCGCTGATATTCATTGGTGCCATGACAGGCAGAGGACTCGGGCCGCTTCGAGAAGAGCCACATTGATCTGGGACGGTGGATGGTGTCCGTTGTGTGCGGGGGGAGCCTTTAAATATCAGCCGTGCAATTCCACCGTGATTCTCACTCAGGGAAACAAGGGAGAATAGAAAACAACATGTCTTCGCGATCTGCATTACCGTCTGGGAACGACAGGAGTACTGGAGACCATGTAAGTGCTGCCCAGTCTGTACAGCCTGCATCTGTGTGCATGCGATGTGAATTCATGCATCCACCAAGCACAAAGCTCTCCTCTCGTGTCACTTCACAGGGCCATATTGTGCAGTTTGCCCCCTGTAGGTCTGCTGCGCTCATAGGCTGTTGGATGGATGCTGTGTGAATATGGGCTAACCTTGAGTGTGTGTGCGCGCACTGAAAGAGCTGATGGCAGGCAGGAATGAGCCCGTCCGCATACACTCCACTGATATGCGCAGGGAGTCTGAAAAGCAGCCTTATATTAAAAAGCTATGGAGAAATAGTGATGTCACATTATACTCCTCGCCTCCTCTGCCACCGTTGTTTCTTGGCTGTGAAATGTGGGTGGGAACAGAGCGCACCGAGGGCCAAAATAAAGGCACAGACAGGTTGAGGTTGTTCGTTCGTTTGTGGCGAGAGGATTACTGCGTAAAATGATGTGCAGTCCGTCGCTGCGCAGCACAAAGCGCCCAGCCCCAGTCAGTGGGTGTCAGACCGCGCCATACATCCAGTGTCAAACATTAGGGGCCTCTACACACATGTACATGGGTTTATGCACTGGAAATCACACCACCATCTTTCTATATCCGCTGCCTTATGGGTTTACGGGCTCAAAATGGTGACATGTCTGATTGACGTAGCGTTATGCGTGCCCTGAACACTTCTGACTGGCAATACTCTCCCCCCATCTGTTTGCTAGCAGAGCTTTCTACACAGACAGAAGCACGGTTAAGCCATCAGTATGTATGTGAAGTGTGTGTTAGGAGGTTGTATTATTGATTATGAATGCAGATCTCGTTTTCCCCTTTTTAAATGATCTGATCCGGTTGTACTACCATTAGGCAACGATGACAAATGGATAGTAGAGGCTTCACCGTTGGCACAGGTGAGACTGGTGGTTTTAGGAGAGGAGCAGGGGCCAAGGGTGGTTCTCCAAGGCAATGCAATGGAAGGAGGGAGTGTCCAAAGAGTGAAGGTGGGGCCAGAGGGTTCGTGTGTGGCTGGGAGCGGGTGACTATGGGGGGGTGGAAGTGTGATGTCTCCAGGCTCGGGACTAGCCAGGGACCACTGTGCGGGCATCTGCTCTAGGTTTTAATAAAGCTTCATTCTCTTCTCAATTTACCATTGTGTTATAGCATCATAAGTGGGATTGTTTCCATCTTGTTGTTTTACGTCCATTTCTAATGATTATAGATTTATAGTTTTCAGCCGGAACAATTTACATACAGATGGACACTGCATTTTGTCTTTTTTTGTAAATTTTTCTTAGTTAAAATTTCAAGTTAAAGTATATTTCTCTGTCTCTCTCTCTCTGTGTCTGTCTCTTTCTCGCTCTCTCTCTGTTTCTCTTTCTGTCTCAATGTCTCTCTCTGTCTCTGTCTCTGCCTCTCTCTCTGTGTAGCTGCCTCTCCCTCCCTCCCTCCCTCCCTCTCTCTCTGTCTGTCTCTATGTCTCTCTCTGTTTCTCTTTCTGTCTCACTGTCTCTCTCTGTCTTTCGCTCACTCACTCTCTTTCTCTCTTGCTGTCTCTCTCTCTCTATCTAGCTGTCTCTCTCTGTCTCTGTCTCTCCCTCTCTTTCTCTCTCTTGGTCTGTCTCTTCTGTCTGTCTCTCTCTCTCTCTCACACACACTCCCTGTTTGTCCATCTGTCTCTCTCTCCCTCCCTTGCTCCCTCTCTCGCTCTGTCTCTCTCTCTCTCTCTCTATCTGTCTCTGTCTCTCTCTCTTTCTGTCTGTCTCTCTCTCTGTCTCTGTCTGTCTTTCTTTCTCTGTCTGTCTCTCTCTTTCTCTCTGTCTGTCTCTGCATGTCTGTCTCTCTCTCTGTCTCTGTCTGTCTTTCTTTCTCTGTCTGTCTCTCTCTCTTTCTCTCTCTCTGTCTGTCTCTGCATGTCTGTCTCTCTCTCTGTCTCTGTCTGTCTTTCTTTCTCTGTCTGTCTCTCTCTTTCTCTCTCTCTGTCTGTCTCTGCATGTCTGTCTCTCTCTCTGTGCGTCTCTGTCTCTCCCTCATTCACTCTCTCTCTCTGTCTGTCTCTCTCTCTTTCTCTCTCTCTCTGTATCTCTGTCTCTCTCTCTTCCTCTCTCTCTCTCTGTCTCTCTCTCTGTCTCTCTCTCTTTCTCTCTCTCTCTGTATCTCTGTCTCTCTCTCTTCCTCTCTCTCTCTCTCTGTCTCTATCTCTCTCTTTTTGTATTTCTCTCTCTCTGTCCACCTTCCTCTCTGTCTCTCTCTTACTCCCTCACTCCACCTCTGCCACTTCATCAATCAGTAAACTTTCACAAAAATACAGCAGCACATTTTAGAACATGCTGTACATTGTTCAGAAATCATATATTTTCGTGGGAACATTGCATGTTATTGTTATGTTGACAAAAAAACAAAATGGAAGCAGTATGTTCCGAAATGTTCATCTTCCAAAGAGCAGCTGTTAACCCACAAATGAAGGACATGCATTCACATTAAATTCAACTTGACTGGTTTTACTAACATCTGCTGGGAATCTGGAGATGAGGCACATTTCACTTTACTTTTCCATACCAACACACACACAGGGTATTTTAAGCTGCTCAGATTTATTTTTCGTGGCCAGACAAGTATAGCTTATGATCTAACTTAAGTAAACAAGAGATGACACTACATGGAGAGTCTTCGTCATTCCTTGGGTTGAATTAGGGTTTTGTTCTCTGTTGCACAAAATTTTTAGATTGTAATCCAAAAATGTTCCTTTTGTCTTCTTTTGTACTTTAACTTCTTGGGTTATTTTAAAGACAGTGCAATAGGTGAAGTGTTTACCTTGTTGACGTGTTTCGACTGCCAGCTGCAAGCCATCTTCAGAACTGTTCCTAGAATGTATTTGGGAATGCCAGCAGATGGTCGATAAATTTGGCAAAATCCATAGCATCTTTAGTACCAATATTAGTTAGTCAGTTGTTACTAGCCGGTCACCACACTGAAATAATACGATTTCTGCATGAAAACATTTAGCTCCTCATAGCAGTTAGTTTGAAGTGTGATCTCCCATCTCTATTTCTACTTCCATTTTCACAGTTACATGAAGATTTATCAAACTGCAGATTCACAAAAATGCTGCTAAAATGGAACACACAAGAGATTACACAACGTGGTGTGGGGATCTGTGGTCATCTCGCCCCATCTCTGCTACCTCACACCCAGAGCCCTGTTCATTCACTGTTTCTGTGATTTTATTAATAGTTTTTTAACTTTTTAAGTGTTGCGGAAGTATATAAATCTACTTCCTGGTTGAACATGGGCAGCACAATTGACCCTGTTACCTAGCAACCATAATATTAACAACTTGTCTCTTATATGTAGACTAATACAAATGCATGACAACACCTTTGTTAAATTTACCATTCCACTGCCAGAAAAAACTGCTTTTCTTGTACATAAATTGTCCCTTCTGGATTGAATTTTTGGTGTTTATGACATAGGTAGAGGTATGCAGTTTTAGAACTCACTGTGTCTTGTATTTTTGTACTTTTCTTCTAAACCTTTTTCCACAAACTGCTACTTAGCTGGTGTAAAACTATGACAAATATTCACCACTACTACTATATAATACTATCTCACCAAATCAAGTAATATTTAGAAAAACATGAAACCCTCTCATATGCACCTTTGCCCTCTTCACGTTCTTTGCAGCACGTGTCTCTGGGGGCCAGTCGCTCGGATAAGTCCACGAGTCAGTCGAGCCGCTCACTGGGCGCCCGCTGCAGAAACTCCATCGCCTCGTGCTCCGACGAGCAGCCGCACATCGGCAACTACCGCCTGCTCAAGACCATCGGCAAGGGCAACTTCGCCAAGGTCAAGCTGGCCCGCCACATCCTGACGGGCAGAGAGGTGAGACTTGGTACTTGGGGTCAGGAGTGGATTAGGGTCAAGTCAACTGTGAGAGCATTAGGTCAACAAACTGACGTACTGTGATACTACATGAGGCATCTGATGATTACAGTATTGGTTGAGGAATGTGCCTGTAACATGTTTATGTAGACTTTTACCAAAATGGTGATTGAGTTGATAACAAACTACTGCAACTATTGGTTTGGGACTTTTCAAAAACATGTCTACTGCCAGCCAATCCTGAGGCAGTAAAGGCCTGTTGTTTGGAGCAAAGTTTGGACTTTGGAAGAATAAATTGGATTTTTGAGTTGCAGGCATTCATTTCATGTTTAGACTAAAGTATATTTAAAGGTCTGAAGTCCATCTTACATTATCATTAAAAGTCAAAGTTGTTTTTAGTAAAAATCTAATAATTTTTATGAATCAATATACAGAAAATAATTTTAATTGCCATTATGTTTATTTTTGTCATTTCACCCACAATGTCCTATATTTATATGTATTATGGCCTGGATTATTAGTCTGAAATGCTCACTTACAAAGAAAAATACATGAATGTACTTGGCATTACAAGTATTTCATGTTCTCAAAAGTCTGTTGTTATATTCCTTGTCTTCGTGCAAACTGGAGACAGATTGCCAAGCACTGATATTAACATGCACCAACAATATAAAAAGAATTTACTGCCAAACTTCTGTTAATCATCTTTAATTGAAAATCCTACCTCTTATCCTGTAATGTGTGTAATATGTGATCTTTTGATGATGCATAAGATATATAATTTTGGCACAGACATGGTTGCTAGTTTCCAAACATTTGCTCATGACTGTTTGTTGTGTTTGAAGATAGCACAAATTCAGGAGTGCAGTTTGTGTGGGCTATTCTAGTCCAACTCAATAAAGATTAAACCCACTCGTTTTGTCTATAGTCTGCTGGAGTTTGCCATGACACCACTCCACACTGACCCTTTGATTTGACTGAAAATACACTTGCAGTCTGTGTGGATTTTTAAGAGGAAATCTGAAGGGAATCTTGGACAGAGATCAAATCAATCAGTGCAAAATAGCCCTTATGTATGTAAAACTCAGTAGTGCTGCATGGAGTAGGAGACTTGTAGGCAAAAAAAATGAAAATAAAACTCTTTCAATTCTAAACTTCACTAAAATCCTTCATTTATATAGCACATTTTACACACTTACAACCTTCTTTTAAGTGCTGCACAGTAATTCACATGAAATAAGACTCTATTTTGCATCACAAGTTGAAAAAAAAAAACTGTAATAACACATAAAAATAATTATGTATACAACAATAAAATAAGAATTATGAGAATATTTTATACCATTTTCTTGTCTTTTGCAGGTTGCAATAAAAATCATTGACAAAACTCAGTTGAATCCAACCAGCTTACAAAAGGTGAGTGTATTTTCTGCATGGCATGTTTACCTCCTAGCATCATGTTGTCACTCTGTAAATGTATATAAATCAATCTCTTTGGCAAAAACATGAGGAATTTTGAAGTTGTCCAGGTTATGCTCAGGGAGAGGGTGGAGAGAGGAGACAGGGGGTATTTGGCAGGTGCTTGAACTTGCACTGGAGACTATGCTCTGTAGATCATTTGTCCCTAAATTTTTTTGCTAGGATCAAAATCTGTAACTGCAAAACTCAAACTCAAAAAGCAACAATCTCTTCTTTTTTCAGTAGGGTTTGTCTGATTCTTTAGAGATATTCAGGATTTGTCTTGCTGTTTAGGTCGCTAACACACATTTACCGATATCAAAATGTTAAATTTGTTGCAAGGCCCCCAAATTGAAGTAAACTTGTTGCAAAGTTCACAAAACGTCTTTACTTCATCGCTCGTCTGTTTCCATTAGTTTCTCACTAGATGCACTTAGGAGGACACACTGTAAATGACATATGGGATTGGAGTCCCTTTAAAGAAATCTTGGAGCTAAACATTTTTTTAATACCTGCCCTGATATTATTAAAACAGCTATGAGCTTTATTTGGTATTTTGTCCAAGAAGTTAGCGTTGTGTTCTTTGCTCAAAAATAGTTTCTGTAGACATCAGGAGCATAGATCAGGTGGAGTAGACACAACATGGTTCACATAAAAGCCTTGAAGTCCCATGCCCTGATGTAAGTCTGTTATCACCAAATCACATTTTTTATGCTTGTCTTGAGCTGGTGGACCACACAGTCAACTCACTTTCAAACAATGACATCAAACCTACATGTGGTTCATTTCTTTTTGTTTAGGAACAATCAATCATGTTTATTAATTCATACTATACTTTTTATATAGTTTTTAAGACATGTCTTTATGAAATTAAAACTGTAAAGTGTCTTTTAAATACAGGACCACAGGAAGACTAGCTGGCCCTCGGGTAGAGCTAATGGGGATGCTATTAAATAAACAAATAAATAAACAATGTACAGACAAGCTAATAACAGATATGAGCCAAGCTATCATCTGTCTCATGTTTCTATACACTGCTGTTGACTAAAGACATTTTTGATTGACTAAACATGCCCTGCCAGTTGATAAGTCAATTAAAAGGGGATTGTGGCAGTGTTTCTATTCATTTGACCCAATGATGTGAATAAGAACTTCACACATCCATTTCTTAAAAACAGGTGCGTTGGAGGAGAGTGAGCCCAAGAACATCAACAGAGAAAAATCCTGCACACTGTCTGACTTGCAAATTGTGAATTTGAGTAGGACATAATTTTTTCTCTGCTGATGTTTATATATCTCACCCAAACTGCTCTCTTAAGACTATAGCTGCATGGGAGTTCATACAACAACAACAGTTTACACAGAAGTACTAGATATTTACATAGAAGTAAATACATGGATGTAAAAAGGCAAATTAAACGAAATATTCACTTCACATTATTCAGAAAACTCCATATGTTCTCCTTTCTGTTGTTTTTTCATATAAATCTTTATAATCTCAATAAAATAAGACACCATGGACCAATTGATCAGCTAAACGACTAAAGACCTAAGACCTACAGCCCTACATGTTTCCATATTAGCTTTATATACACCCCACACAGTCTGCTAGAGCTCCTTTGCTGGTGGGCACGAAAAGCACATATTATAGAACTAAAGCCATATGATGGATGATTCATCAAGTATTATGTTTTTCTTAAAGGAGATGTTTATTTTTATTTTATTACTTAACATTATTACACTGCACACTCTAAAGTATATATAACTTGCTTATTTTTAGCAGAGATAATACATTTAAAGGACCATGAGACTAAGATTTCAACTGTTGTATTTAAAGAGCCTTTTTTCCCAATTTAGCCACAAATTACAAAATTGAATTGTGATGGCCTTGAACTGTGGGTCTTTCTACAAAAATGCGATTTAGAGAATTATATTAAGGTAAAACGCTAGTAGTGACCTTGATGTGTAAAAACGTTGCTCATTTTGTATTTCTCTCTTTGTAACCCTTTAGTTATAGTTACATGTTAGGGCTGCAAGATGAACTTGAATTGAGTAGAAATTGCAATTTGAATGGACACAATTAGCAAATAGCAAAGGCTACAATTTCCTACTATACTATAATTTCCTCCACAAATGACAAAATAGCCTGTGTTATTCTTACTCTATAGGTAATATGTGTATAAATATGTTCTGAAATGTGATTCTCGTATCTGATCGTTAGTTCATATTTAAATCTATTTTGTCAATTCTTCTGGGTGTGCTAAAATGTGAACAGATTCCTATTATTAAATCAAAGATCACAAATCTTACTGCGATACTACAGCATATAAAAATGAAAACAATTAGATATTTTTCCCAAATCATTCAGCTCTGCTACATGTAATAATGGACACATATTATTCAAATAGTAGCCTTACCTGGTGGGGCTGTCTTTGCAGAACCTAATCCTGACATATGGACAGGACCTGCTGCTGTGAGAGACAATGGTGCTACATTTAGGCCAGTTAGATATGATGAGAAGGGAGCTGGATCTACCCCTGATTGGAGAGAATATTCTACAATTGGCCAGTGATGATAGCAGCCTTCTTTACATACCCGTGGGCTACAGAAAATCCTCCGTACTGAAGACATGAAAGAGCTCATATTAGCATAATCTGGTTGGTTATGTGTGTAGAATGGTGAAAAAAAGAAAAAAAAAAACAAGTGGAGAGGTGCCGTACAGGAAAAAGGAAGTGATATTAAAATACAAAACATTTAATGCACCCTTTGAATGCTGATAACAAGACTGATGTGCATCCCTGACTATCAGAATAATGGAAAATTTAGACCGTTGCCATAGTGATTAATTATTTAAAACAACATATTATCTTTTTTTGAATATTGTTGCTAAAATGCTTGGTGCCTTGTTGCTAAATGGTTCTGTATGTTTGTTTTTTATGTGGGCTTTAGCGTCCAATTATATGCAACATTTTCAGGACCTTTTCCCATTCACAAGATATAATATTTTGTTTTGAATTGTTAATTGCTATGGCAACAGTCCTCATTTTTCTTCATTTTGAAACCCATGAATATGGAGATTGAGGTCAGACATGTTGCCAGAGGAGGATTGTTTTACGCTCTGACCATTCGGCTTACTTAAGGAGAAAACCTCCCCGGATGCGATCAATCTGCATGACTACATATCCCAAGATTCCTTTCTGGAACAGCTGGAGAAAGCCGGGAAAAAAGAGGGCCCGGTCTTAATACCTGGGTCGCTATGGCAACAGTGACGTGGGGGGCACTAGACAGCTAGAGGAATTGAATGAAGGAGGAGGCAATGGTGGAAATGGGGAGAGAGGGGGAGGACTGAGGAGAGAAAAATCTTATCGCACCATCTTTTTTCGTTTTCCATTTGGGATCTGAAGACACACAGAGGAGGGTCAGTGTTTTTTGTTTTTTTTTTCTGGATGCGTTGGGCTTTTGTTAAAGGACTGCGCAGCTCTGTATGTGAACATATTAAAGCTGGTGCAGATTAATCCCCTCTCCACTTCGACAAACACATCTCACATGCTGGGAAGTGCTTACACGCTTCTCACACTCCTAAGCATTGATGCGTGGGCCATTTGTTGTCATTTAAAATGTTTTAATCAAGCCCGGTTTGTCAGTCGATGACACCTTTTTGCAGCCACAGAAAGTGAGATTTCTGTATAAATCTGTGTATACTGTATATATAAATAGGTGCTTGTTTTAAAGGGGGTGTATGTGGACAGCTATTGCCAAACTATTTCATTAGAAGGACGTCAGAATATTAGTACTAGGTAGGCCTGTCACGATAACAAGTTTTATATGATAATTTGCAGACTTAAATTAAAAGCTATTCTAAAACTATAGTATTTTCTAAAACATGAGCTGCAATAAATAAATAAATAAACCCTTTACACCTTAAATCTTATTGTATTGCCAAAAGTAATGACTAAATATAACTAAAAATTGACCAGTAGTGCAAAGAAATTTTACACACAAAAAATATTGTTCCAGCTTTCATATACTGAACTATAAGTCAATATAGTAATTATAATGACAGGCCTCATGTAGTGCTGCAAGATTAATTGTGATTGAATAAAAATTATAATTTGAATAGATGCAATTAGCAAATCGCAAAGACTGCAATGTTTTAGTACCATGAATATATCCACAGACAACAAAATATCTTATTCTTATTCTACATAAAAAATACTGACCCTGTAGTAGAACTGTACAAACATGCTCTGAAATGTAATTCTTGGATTAGGTTTTCTTATCATATTTCAGTATTTTTATCAATTCTTATGAACATACAGTACTTAAAAGGTGAACTTTGACCAGAATCATTTTATTAAAACATATATTGCAAATTTATAAATGAAAAACAATGCTCGCAAACAATATTTGCAATTAGACATATAAGTACTAGTAAAAATCACATAGACAGACAGGGTTTAATTTGATCGGAATCAAAACCAGCAGAATGTTAAAGAAAGTATTTTTTGTTGTTACTGAGGCACCAAAACAGCCTTTTCCTCACTATCAAAATCATTTAGCATTATCTCACCTAAGTAAATTATTAATTGTATCTCATATCAAGAATAATCTTTTAGATTGCAGAACACCAAAAAAGTCTCAATGACACACGATTTTCACTGAACATATATTAACAACAAGAACTTTATTGAGTTGTCTACAGTGTGAACACCAGAAGAGGCTCTTTATAAACATACATTCAGTCTCTTTACTTATAGTGCATACTTAGGCTTATATTGATTGATCCTCCTCATCTGAATAACTTAAAGTATATGTACATAAAGGTAATAAACTCATAACAAGCCCATTTTAATCAGAGTATAGCCATGATTTATATTTCAAATGTGCGGTTCTGCCCGATGTACTTTTATGTTTTGGTTTTTACATTAAATGTCCCATATTATTCTGTTTTCTGGTCTATGTTATAGTGTTGTTTCTACATTTAAAAACATACATGGAGTTGTTTTGTTTCATTCACACGTTTACCACACAAACTTGGAATAAAAAACTGAATATGTTCTTCTCTCAAACAGAAAATACTGTTAAACTTTATGATGTCATGTCGTGATACAGGAAGTGCTCCACTTAGTTTTTAAACTCCATACACTTTCACAAGAATTATTTGGATAATTTCAGCCCTGGAATTGCCAGTCTCTACTGAACTAAAAAGGTAGCTATTAAACTGAAAACTACCACTTCATGACATAACAAGCATTTTGGGCTTTGGAGATCTAGACAGACTAATAATAAAGGATTGCTCAAACATGTGTGAATGAATCAAAACACAACTCCAGGTATGTTTTTGATGAGGTAACAGCATTATAATCTGGCTAAAAATTCACAAGAGTCAATTTTGCTTAGTTTAGAACCTTTAAACACAACACTCCTTTTTATTTTTTTTAACCGACCAGGCCTCATATTTTGTTCTATCTTCTACTTCATAATTATTATAATACACTGACCTTTCTTACTTAAACCTTATAACTTCCTGTGCTCTTTTTGTAGGACAATATAACAATGCACCACTAATAATGTTACCTCACATCCTTCATTGAATGACACTGTGTTTGTCTTTGCAGCTCTTTCGGGAAGTCCGAATAATGAAAGGCTTAAATCACCCAAACATAGGTAAGCTATAGACTACTACAAGCCAAAATGCCAATTCTGTTTGTGTTTTGAAGCAAGAGTGAGTGGGCGGTTATATATTACATTGTGACATCTAAAATCTGTATACAGACTAGGGCTTTACTTATCGCAAAACTATCAGTGTTGCAATATTGGCTGACATAATAATATATATATTAAATACATTGCAATAATACTAAGTATCTCCATCTAAGAAATTTTGTTTAATGAAATGTGTGTTTTCAAATGGAGAAAGCAGATTTTGTTTAGTACTTTCTTATAGCCCTAAATTATCAATGTAATCTAGTTTTGTATATGTTCTGAGTAATAACATACACATTTTAACTGAAATTAGTCCTTTTATAAAAACAGAAACCTAGTCCCCATGATGTAAATCCTCTATTAGTTGATCAGCAACATGATTTAAAGTTGAGTTATGAGTGAAAATATTAAGGCTGTGCATTTAGGTTAAGCTTAGGCAAGTAGTGACTATGGCTAAGGTTAGGATCAGTCCCCAGTCTCCAGAAAATGAAAAATAATGATAAATTATTGTAATATCCCCAAGAAGAAGCATGGAAACCCAACATGTTATAGTTTTGTTCATGTGTTCAAGTGTGTTCAGACAGATATAATGCTCTGAAAAGGCTTTAGAGCAGCCATTGACCGAGCAGCATGCCTCATCTCAGGCTTCATATAGAGGTCACGGGGTTGGATTTTCTCAAGCTGAAATGTCATATGGATCAAAACTCCTCATGGTATTAGCTGCAGGTTCTTCTGTATTAAGACTAAGCAGACAGCTGTGTTATTATTTACTATGTCACATGATGATCTGTTTATACACACAGTAATGTTAATCATATTCTCCTTTGGTCCACAGTGCAGTTGTTTGAGGTGATCGAGACGGATAAGACCCTTTACCTTGTCATGGAGTACGCTAGTGGAGGTAGGTGCATGAACTGTCATGTCCACTCAGATGTTAACAAGGGGAATTATACAATAGGTTACATACTGGGCCTGGTACAAGATTCAGTTTATTAAAGTGTATTTTCAACAGTGGGGTTGTCAAAGTATTGAAAATCAGATACCACTTGATACCACTAAAACTAGTATTGAAAATAGATACTAATTTGAATAGGTTTCAATATTAAAAAATCACCTTCACAGGACACAAATTAACCTATCCTGAATAGCTTTAGAATGAGTTATTATACACCCATGAACACATATGGAACATACCTGGATGACTGAAAAACAGATATAAGATGGTAATATAAAAGAAAATACAGTTATTTAATTTTGTAAATGACCTTCCACTACTAATAAATAGTATTGAAATTAGTATCATGACAACACAAGTACAGTGTGTTTTTTCCATGACTGATGCAGATACAGTCTTTAAAATCCTGCCAATATACAGAAGCAGTTCTTTTCTATTTACATTTCTCTTTCTAAACCACATGAAACATTTAGACCAGTGCCTTCTTTATACAAATGTGTTCATACAAAGACTCAAATATTTCCTCTAGTCAAGTTTTCATTGTCAACAAAATATCTGCCTATGCTTCAAAGGTCACATATTAAATAGAAAACTACTGCTTTATGACATCACAAGGTGGAAGAGAGCATTTTGAGCTTTGGAGATGTAGACAGACTAATAATAAAGGGTTTGCTCTGACATGTGGGACTGTAGACCTAAATATCTTGAGCATTTACTAAAGAATGCCACTAAAGCAGTTTCAGCATTAGTTTAATAATATAGTTCTGCTCACAATTGCACCCAAAATCTTCCACTACAGTTTTTTGGTATTTGCTGTACTGTAGACGTGTAGTAGCCTGTTCTGCCTTACTGTTTTGGCGTTTCATATTTTCATAATTTGGATTCAAAAACACTAGTTTAAAGGTCCTATATTACACATTTTCTGAGCTATGTTGTAATGTTTCCTCATCAAAAACATACAAAATCATAACATAGTTATGATTGTTTCATTCACACGTTTATTTCATATTCCATATATTCTATAATTTCAGCTCTGGAATTGCTGATCTCTACTAAACACAAGGTAAAGGGAGCTGTGAAAGTGAAAACCACGTCTTCACGACATCACAAGGTGGAACAGAGCATTTTGAGCTTTAGAGATATAGATAGACTAATAATAAAGGATTGCTCAAACATGTGTAAATTAAACAAAACAGCTCCAGGTATGTTTTTGATGAAGCTTCATTAAAATGCAGAAACAGACTAACTTCTCATAGAGTTGTCTTGATGAGTAAGAGACACTGGTAATAGAAACAGCTGTTTCAGTGTGACATATTGTCCAAACTATGTTTCCTGTAGATAAACTGGACTGGAGATCCTCAGTATAGCATATCATACTTGTACTTATAATTCTACACTAGTAATACAGTAAAAGAGAGGGAGGAGTATACCCAAAAAATAATATTACAATTTTCAATATTTTATCATGAGTCATGTTTTTTTTGTATGTTTTATACACTTTTTTAAGAGGTTACTAAAACTATCAGTTGTTTATGAAAATTTACTCTTCACTGTGATTGGTCATATTCATTTGTCATTCACATGGAGCATGTTAAAGGCTGACCAATAGGGCAGTGAGTGGTGAAAAAGTTTTACTTTTGACCATATAGCTACATATAGGTCCTATATTACACAACTCATCAAAATATACCTGGTGGTGTGTTTTCTTTCATTCACACATGTTTGAGTAACCGAGTAACCTTAACACTGCAAACATCTCTAAAGCCCAACATGCTCTGTTCCACATTCCACAAAAAACTCACCCTAAATATCCAGGATTTGTGTGTAAAATATGTGTAAATAAAAACAAAACACAACTCCAGGCAAGTTTTTGAGGAAACAACATTATAACATAGATCAGAAAACAGTGTAATATGGGCCCTTTAAACAAAAAAGCTGTGAATCATGATATGCCAATTTACAGAATAGCATATCGTCACACAACTGGATTTATATCACCATGTCACTCAGTCCTGATTAAGACCTTTTTGTAATTTTTTTCTTCAGGTGAAGTGTTTGACTACCTCGTGTCTCATGGGAGAATGAAGGAAGTTGAAGCCCGAGCAAAATTTCGTCAGGTAACAATGCAAATCCTGAATTTTAATGAAGAATTTTATTATAACATCACCACTTTAAAAGTGCGCTATGTAACTTTTTGGTTAGGGGTCTGCCACCTGCTTGTTTCTATGGAGACGTCATTGCTCTGCCTTGAATGTTCCACATTATGACATTAAACAGCTGTACCTCACATTTATTAAATTACAGGTTCTATTACTATACTATAGCTCAAAAATACCTACAAAACAGGCATTCTGACTGTGAGCCAGATTTGGTGTAGATAGAAAGGTTTAATGTCATACTGTGAAACATTCCAGATAAAGCAATCACATCTTTATGGAGACAAGCATCTGACAGACCCTTAGTTCCAGTTGTGCTCTAATCTATGTTTATGTTTCCTTCTGTTGACAGATTGTTTCTGCCGTCCACTACTGCCACACTAAGAACATTGTGCACAGAGACCTGAAGGTAAAAAATATTCTCAATACTTGGGTCGGTTTCAGAAGTGCAGGATTAAGGCTAGTCCAAGAGTTGCAAATATCCTTTCTTGGCAGATTAGTCACTATTTACTAAACTGAAAGTTGCTAATCTCTGACTAATCTTAATCTGGTAATATGAAGGGCCCTGTGTGGTGATGATGACAGGGGTGTGTGTATGCAGAACTGTTTTGATTTTGCAATTGGTTTACACAATAATCAATATACTGTAGCTACAAACAAAATGTCTCGCAATGACTCCAAGGTTCTCCGCATGATAGAAATATACCGTTTTAAAAATGTAAAATGCTTTAAGAAGGCAGATTTTATTAATTGCTTCCCTCACTGAAGGATCTGTACCAGATTTTTAATGTCTTAAAAACATGAAAAACAGAATTCATTAGTTTTTAAATGGTTCACAGTGATCCAAAGTTATTCTTCACTTACTTTATGCAATCTGAGCACCTTAGTTTTGCCATCATGGTAAATCTAATAACTAGCATGCTAACTCGCACTTCCTGGTTATCGCACAATAAAGCACTTTCTGATTAGATGCAGATAGTGCACAAGAAGACACAACATATTTATTTTGATCTCAAGAACTGCACATACAATATTTCTGTACTGGGGATTTTTTTATTTATTTTTTGGTCAAATACATGGAAAAAATTGGATATAAGGCATTTAAATTATTATATCAACAAGTAAATTTAGATATTGTGATTATATCAATATTGAAAGACTAATTTCAGAAGAGACAAACCGTTATCTTTTCCAATATCGTGCAGGCTTAATGCAGACCTGGTTTGTGTTCAGATACATTATAACATGGCTCCACTGACATATATACAGAATGAGTCATGTCCAGTATCTCTGTTGGACGGCTCAAGCTCCTCCCCTCTCCCCATCTGTCTCTTTGTTTTTTCTCCTTCACCACAATTCCCGCTCTTGTGTGCTCCTACTTTCCCTTCGTCTGTCTCCTCCCCCACTCAACTATTTCACCCCTCCCATACACCCCAATGTCCTGTTTTCTGTACACAACAACTGCCCCACGCGCCCCTGCCTGTGACCAGCGTTGCCAAGTACACTGCTTTATAGCAACTTTGGGTTTCTTTTTTTTTTTCTCTTGCATATTTTGACACTGGTTGCATTTTTTGGGCTTGCTCAATGTCATGTCATGTAAGAGATTCAGTTTTGTTTCATAGTAATAATCTCAGGATTGATCGGGTCTAGCACGTTATTAAAGGTACACTGTGTAACATGTTTAGTTGATGGTCCACCACCTGTTTGTCTCTATGGAAATATTTTTTCATTGTCTAGAATGAATCTAGATGTATATGTGTAATGTCATATCAGGGAACATTCCAGGCAAAGCAATTACATCTCCATGGAGACAAGAAGGTAGCGGACCCTTCATTCGAAAAGTTGCACAATGCACCTTTTAATATTATAAATGTAAAATATATCTAAAATATTTCACTGAAATGTGCACCTGTCATTTGCCCTTGGTCAGCCATAGTGCACAAAGTTTAACTAGTTGCTTGGCTTGGTTGGTTGTTTCTCTCCAAAAATCTGGCATCTCAAGCAGCACGATTTTGGAAAAAAAAAAGTTATTGTGATTTTTCTGAAAAGAATTGCAATTAAGTTTGTGATATTTGTTTCTGGATTCTGTTCAAAGAGCACATTGTAAACACAACTCCATGAGCAACATCTGAGAGACTACGGAAATATGAACTGATAAACTAATCCAAAGTCATGCATTTCAAAACATGTTTAAAGAAGTCTAAGCCACAAGTACAACCATAGACTGTATAAAGAAGTGGACTAAGGGAGTATGATGACACCCACCACGGTCGTCTCCAGTCAAATGAAGCTCACAAGTCTAGCAGTTATCGGGGCAAATTTGGAGCGGACTTCAAGATTAGGAATGTGAATTTATTTGTGAACAGAGTAGCTAAATAAAAACACCAGGATCATGTGGAGTGGGTTAAGAACATTTTAAGATCAAAATGACAAGACTCACTGCAACAGTTACAGAGAGAGAACTGTGACAACTTTTCAATGTAAAGCCAAGATTTGATGGAGCCAAAAGCGCCCCCATGCATACTTCCTATTTGAAGTAGTATCTAGCGGATTACCTATATTCATTTATATTTACAGTCTATGGGTACAACACGATTTTTCTAGACATGTTGTATCTTGCAGAAAATATTCTATTATCTAAATAACTGCAGGATTTGCGATTTGATTTCACTACCTCAAACTGCAATTTCAGTTTGATTGTGATAATTATGCAGCCCTACTGAGACGCTCCCTGTGCCGGTCCTCTCACTACATCTCCTGTTTGTATGACTCAGGCGGAAAACCTTCTGCTGGACGCCGACTCCAACATAAAGATCGCAGACTTTGGCTTTAGTAACGAGTTCACGCTGGGCAATAAACTGGACACGTTCTGTGGCTCTCCCCCGTATGCCGCTCCGGAGCTTTTCCAGGGAAAGAAGTACGACGGTCCGGAGGTGGACGTGTGGAGCCTGGGGGTCATCCTGTACACTCTGGTCAGCGGGTCTCTGCCTTTCGATGGACAGAATCTGAAGGTGAGTGAATTGGGCCAAAGACGCAGCCTGACACAGTAACAGATTTTGAAGCATGATATATTGCTGTTGCTTTATTGTACTGGAATTAATCCATACTTAGAGTTTGACACACCCTATTGATCCATAAGGGAAATTGCTTGGACACAGCCCCATTGCATTACAATATGATGACAAAGAGCAAAAAAACAAATGTTAAGAGAATTCAAATTACAACATGATTAAAGCTACAAAGACTCAAAATGGTAAATGCCAAATTTGTATATGATTTAAATATGAACAAATAGAATTGAATAAAATAAAATATAGTAAATATAAAGTATGTCTAGGCTTGATACAAGAGGTGATGGGGTAAAGAGATACAGTGCATAGATGAGGTGGTAATTTGACATGACATAGGGTTTTCTATTACATAAGGGTGAGTTGTACCTGTAGTCCTCTGGCTGTTTCATTCTGGGAGTGGAGCTGTAGTTGAAGAGGAGCTTCTCTGTCCCTCTGTAGTCTGGTGGAGTGGACTGATGCAATAGCCCTAAACCAGGATAATACCAGTGAACATTTTTCTATGAGAACCACATTGTAATAAAATAAGACAACAATAAACAAATAGCACAATTGACACAGTAGTTACTTCTAGTAGGTATAATGTGTCATAGATCTTAATTATCCAAACAACTACAACTTAAAGGTGCACTGTGCAACTTTTCTTGTGGAGGGTCCGCTACCTTTTTGTATGTATGAGTCGTTATTGCTTTGCCTGGAAAGTTCCGTGGCATGACATTAAACATATGTATGCATTTATTAATTATTAGGGATGTAACAATAACCGAAATATGGTGATACTGTATCGTCAGAGTTCTCAGAGTAATATCGTGGACCATCACAATATATCCAATTACAAGTCTCTTTGCTTAAATTAAGAGTTATGGTGCAGCAATAGCTAAAAAAGACAGAGGGAACTACATAGACCATGATCTTTTGCTCCATTTTAGTGCAAACTACAAGAAGAAATAACAGTTCTAAGCACTTTTAAGTCTTAGTTCTTTGGATTAAGTCTTGTCAAGGCATTTTAAGAGGAAAAACATAGCATATTCACAGTTTTGTTTAAAATATTGCAATAAATATTGTACTGTGAGATGTATATTGTGAAAACATTGTACGGAGAGATTTGGATATTGTTACATCCCTAATCATGAGCCTCCCCACCATATTGTGAGCTTTCCCACGATATCGCAATAAATATTGTACCGTGGGGTTCATACTGTGACATTATCGTATCGTGAGACTTGGATATCGTTACACCCCTGTTAATTATGTATGTTTCATTTATTCAAAAATACATTAATTCCACAGATCTGAATTGTAATGTAGCGTAGTGCTGTAACCTGCTTATCTCCGTCATGATAGATAGGTTTGATCTATACTGTGGAACATTCTAGACAAAGCAATAACATTTCCATGGAGACAAGCATGTGGCGGACCTTTCACTAGAAATGTTACACAGTACACCTTTTAAGTGTTTCCTAATACTACAAAAATAAGAAGAAATGCCGTACTCGAGAACTATGTGACAGGCCTACTAGTGACAGTGTTGAGCAGCTGGGGGTGTGGTTTGGCACTTGGGTTTAAAATTAGTGAGTACTTTTCCATAATTACAGCGTTAATGTACATTTCCTGTTGACCCCTTTACTTACCCTGTCTGTACTGGCTCTCATTCTGCTCTTAACCAACTTGTCCTGACGTGTACTGTGAGAATTCCTCGATTGAGTCAACTACACTTTTTACATTCATGGCGGATCTCTAGTATTGTGTGATTTCCCAAAGAAAGTTAAAATTAAGATTATAGCACTTTGAAGGGGAAGCAGCAGGTCTTTGCGCTAATTTCTTGACCATTTTGGTGAGACTGGACATCTGGGTGTAAAGAGAGGGGTCTGTGTGGAGGGGTTTGTTTTTATTAAAGTTTTGTTCTTGTTTTATATAAAGTTAAGGTCAATAAAAAACTTAAGGTTACACAATAAATAAAATTGTTTAAATCCATGGTTATATTGTACAAAGTTGTAGTCAGTTAGAAAGTAATAGGTACTGACTATAGTACTGCTTATCTCAACATTTCGCTGTAACGGGGCTTTTAATGTAATTGATAGAATAATAACTTAATAACTTATTTTTCAATGTCAGATACAAAATATATATACAGTTTAGCAAATCCCTGGTCAAACAACAAAAGTGGGGGTGAGTTACATGGTAGGAGGGATTGCTTTGACAGCTTGTAGATAATCAATCATATACATACTAACTAAACTTCATTGCTACATAAACTGATGTTTATATTTCTGCCAAGGAAATTTCCAGTTGGATTAATAGACGGTGAGACAGAAAACATTAATTGTGTATATTTTTACACACACTTTTTATAATTGTGTTTTTTTATAATTACATGACACAAGTCTTTTGCTATTTTTGCTTCTTATTTTTAATTTAATTTTACCATTTATGTTTTTGGTCTTTGTTCTTATATTTCTTGTGATGTGTGCGCTACTGTGTCCAAAAAGTTTTCCCTTGTGGATTTTTGTGGAAGTCTGTCAAAATTTGTAAATACCATATGTGTTCTTTTGGTTATATAGATAGGCATTGCTTGTATACCAGAAATTACCATGTATTCTTACTTTTTTTGTTGTTGGGGTAGTGGTAGAGCATGGGGGTGTCTACTAGTAGTTTGATTTTGGGTATAGGGAGCTTGTTGACTTTTGTTCCTTTATTCAATTAAAAAACTCCATCTTTGTGAATCCTGTTTTGAAAGCAGTATGCCTCTGTCTTTTGTGTATTCTACAAGAGCAGTTAAAAATAACTAAGAATAGTATGTTTTCTCCAAAATTCAGCAGATGGCTTTAAATGCCCCCCTAAGGCTTTACCAGAGGGGGAAGACAACTGTGTATTTAACCTCCACTTGATTTGACTGCTGCACTCTACCATCTGAAATATTCAACATCTTTTTTAATAACTGCTCTTGTATTTATCTTCAGTCATTTTTCAAGTCAGTTTTTATGCAGTGGTTTAATTTGATTTGAATATTTGAATCCAAACAGCAAATTCAGCGTTATCAATGTGAGTCAACATGTGGAGGGCATTAACATTTTAAATATGTCAATATTTCTACACCAAGTTTTTTGTTCTGCATCTACACAGTCAAAATGAGACATTGTGTGAGCTTTGAACTAGATTTTTTCATGTTTGAAAGATACAAATTATTTCATCATAGTGGATGTATATATTTTTACTATTATTCATTGTTTTATGTTGCGTCACATCATCGAAGTAAATTCCTAGTTGACTTTTGTTCACTGTCTGTGGCAATAAACTTAATAAAAATGGCAATAAATAAATAAATATGAATGAAGGAGTAGGAGTCTGTGATATTCTATATTATTTATATACTATATTTCAGCAGTGTACCAGGAATGTGCCACAATGAGCCTGTAAATGTCTTGGTTGAGGTTCAAGTATCGCATATGGAAAAAGGGTTAGAAATCTAACTTTTTTCTCTTTACACTAGATCTCTCTCTCTCTCTCTTTTTAGGCCCTTTTATTAGTTTTAATTATAGACAATATACTCAATATTCTAATTTTGCATATCTCCAAAACAACAATTGTGATATTATACCTACATTTTTCAATATAACTCTCACCACTTTGCGAGAGGTTTGACAGTTCTTGCTAATATTTATTCCTAATATACTGTAAACTGATTTGTGATTGTGCAGGAGCTGAGGGAGCGTGTGCTGAGGGGGAAGTACCGCGTGCCCTTCTACATGTCCACAGACTGTGAGGGGATCCTGCGCAGGTTTCTGGTGCTCAACCCAACCAAACGCTGCACACTGGAGGTAAGACTGCAGAGTGCTTTAAAGATGCACTATGTAACTTTTCTGAGAGATCTGTCAGCTGATGATATGATTGCTATACCTGGAGTCGTCCTCAGCAAAAGCTAATTAAACTGATCTATCTTGCATTTATTGCTAAAAATATCTTGTAAAACATTCATTTTTAATTTGAGCAGGTTAGCCACTGCATAGATCTGACCTGTAATTTGGCTTGGTGGCGTCACTTGTTCATCTCTATGGAAATAGCCTTATATATACATGTTTAATGCCATGCTCTGTAACTTTTCTGGCACATCGAATGGCGAATTGGACATTATACCTGAAAAGTTACATAGTCCACGTTTTAGAAAATAAAAAAATATATATATTGTAGTATGTATATTGTAATATGTAACCATGGCAACGGGTGTGTTTCTGCTCAACAGCAAGTCATGAAAGACAAGTGGATAAACTGTGGATATGAGGGCGAGGAGCTTAAGCCACATATAGAGCCTGTGGAGGACTACAGTGACCCAGCACGCATCGGTGAGATATTTAATGATACTTGTACTTCAGCTGCTTATGCTGTTGGCCAGTGTTTTCATATATGGTATTCTTTTGCTTATCAGTGAGTGAATCAGCTCTAGATATAAGATAGCTTTTAAAATGTCCACATCAGTAGCTGAATTACCGTAGTTGTAGGCAGTACACAGCAGACTTATTTCGACCTCAAGAGCTGCTTATACTTATATCTGGGGCTTTTTATTAATTCTTTTGTTTTGGGTTTTCAGAGGTGATGGTTGGAATGGGCTTCACTCCAGAGGAAATCAAGGACTCTCTTCTAAATAAGAAATACAATGAGGTGACCGCCACCTACCTACTGTTGGGGCGAAAAGGCGAGGTAAGATTTACTCTATTTTACTACCACTGTCCACATGTGTCAAATAGTCTATGGAAGAAAATGAAAAACTGCTAGGGCTGTACACAAAATATTGATACTGCAATGTATAATAATGGACTTCTTGGAAACACACATATCAAAATGAGATGCTGTATTATGATACTTTTAACAAAAAAATCCTGAAAATTATTATAAATTGCAGACTTCGTTTGTATCCTGATATCAGAGGCAGATATGAAATTCCAATGCATTGTGTATTCTACATAGTAAATACACGAAGTTGATAAACTTTTAAGTTTTTCTTTTAGTAATATACATGTATCCACATTGTCATCATATTGTAGACCCTGTATTGGAATATATTGTATCATGAGGTACATGACATTACCAGCCCTAATTTTAAAGTTAAAAAAGAAAATTAAATCAAACAAATCCCTGCATGTTATTCATATCTTCTTTTACAGAATTGGTGACTGTCACAATCTGTTCCCCTTTCTTCATGATTTAACAATCTAACCATAATAAAATGAAAAACAATGTGCACCTTTTTACATTTTAATGTGGAAGAGGTCATATTTGGCACATGTTTCTTGTGTTCAGGATGGTGAGGCCCGCAGTGCCAGTAGCTTGTCTCTGGCGCGGGTACGACCCAGCCCCATCACCAACGGAACCAACAAGCACTCGTCTGCCACAGGCTCGTCCTCCTCCTCCACCTCCTCCTCCCACAGCAAGACTCAGCGCAGTGCCTCCACCTACCACAGGCAACGGCGGCACAGTGACTTCTGTAAGTATCTATTCTCACATGAACCACCCCGAGGGCAGCAATTATACATGCACTGATAACATTCAATAAGTCACCTTGTGTACATCAGCTATTCAAGTTGGGCTAGTTTTTGACAGCGCCGTTGGGGACATTTTAGACCGCATTTGAAGTAACAGTATGCAAATTTTTGGAAGTGACACATCACCTGCATGGTTCCATGAAAATATGAAGTAAACACCATACAACCACATAAACATACAACATTCAGAACATTCTCTATGGAGATGGAGAAGTTTTATAACATATTGTGGAGCAGCCAAAGGAACGACCTTTCGATGGAAACAAGCGAGAGGAGTCTTTTCTCCAGGGCAAGTAAGAGTCAGGCTTGTGGAGATGCAAGCCTGCTCACAGTAAGGTACATGTTTTTCTATGTTTTTCAGGGCAATAAAAACAACCCAAATGAAAGAAAACATGCTTTTATTTTGTGCACTGGGGTACATTGCCTTTAGCACATTGCACTTTAATGCTGCAATGGTATACATGTTGATACCAGTGCTCTACATAAAGAAATCACCTGTGGGGGTTTGATGTTTGTTATTACTGCCATGCAATAAAAACTACTAAGTGTTGTGTTTTGTATACACACATTAAACAGAAAGCTTTTTGTCATTGTTCCTGGCTGACCGGTTTTCCACAGACTGTACCTTATATTCGACTTTGCCTTTCTTTGCCCTGTTGTCCTCCACAACAAAGGCGGGCCGTCCATGCCGGTCATGCACCCAAAGAGGAGCCCGACCAGCACGGGTGAGCGGGAGCTGAGGGAGGGGCGTATGCCCTCACGTAAGGCCAGCTGCAGCGTCATGGGCAGCCACAGCCTCCCCCCCTCCAGTCCCATGGTTAGCAGTGCCAACAACCCCAACAAGTCGGAGATCCCCGACCGCCGCAAAGACATGACTGCCACAACGGTCTGTATATATAAAATAGTATGTATATGTACAAGAAAAAAAATATGAAAGTGACCAGTCTTCCTTTTTTTTTTTGAACAGAATAACATCCCAGGAAGCGCTATGACACGCAGAAATACGTATGTGTGCACAGATCGCTCAGGTGCTGACCGCCACTCTCTTCTGCAGAATGGAAAAGACAACAGGTAACAGCACACATGCACATCAGGTATAGTTTATAGGTCAGATTTAATTCACAGCTTTCAAGTGACATCTTGTCTGATGTTAATGATCTTTTGTTGGGACCTGCACACTATATTACTATTAATATTACTACTACCTTGCCAGGAGGCTGTCGATGCAGCCTATTTTGGCTTCCTTAACGGTGACTTCATAGAAGACATTGGGCATGTGGCAGTTAGATGTTTTTGTTTATTGTTGGAACAGTACAGAAGGAAATTATTGGATTAAGAATTAAACTCATGCATACACATCTGATGTTATCGTAAGTGGGTGACTTGGGGGCTGCATGGATGAGGTTAAAAAGTAACAAAAACATGGCATAACATAAACATAATAACATAATTACTATATACTTTAATAATAATAATATATCAGAAGGGGAAACAACTTTCCTTCCTAAAACTATAATCTCGGGTCTCTCAGCTCCTTGGGCCACCGTATGACTCAGGCGTCTCCCTCCACGCTGAGCATCTCTGGAGCAGGAGCGGCGTCGTCCTCTTCGTCGGAGCGCTGCCGTTTGACCAGGGGCTCCACTATTCGCTCCACTTTTCATGGGGGTCAGCTGAGGGACCGCGGTGCCCCTGTGTACTCAGCTCCGCCCACATCTCCCACTCTGTCCCACCATGAGCCCAGCCCCCTGCCGCATGCACGCACCAGGGCCACATCCAACCTCTTCACCAAACTGACCTCCAAACTCACACGCAGGTTGGTACACTTTCTGATATGTCAAAGTTCAAATTTCTGTTGTCATGACACTTAAAATTTCAAGGTCTATCTAACAGGGAATAGATTTGATCCCTGATACTGATACCACAATGATTGTATTTTTCTTATGTCTTTACTGTCAAGGAAAGGTCACATTTGGGCCTGTTGTGTTTTACTGTTTCTATCTATACTTGCTCAAATATTATCTAGTATTTATTGAGATTCAATAGTAGTTTTAATATAAATTAGCATCAGATTTTCTGTACTTTTGATAACTCTAGTTCAAATTGATAAAATTTTAACAGCCTTTGAACAGTATGGTATGTATCCACAAAGCATCACACGCAAACACATTTTACAAACTGTAGAGAATTTCTGTTTAGTACATGTCCAAAAAAGGGGGGAAAATCTAACCTTCAAAGTTCATAACAATTTTTAAATGGAATCACCAACGTTAGAGACAATAAGTAACATTTATACACCAAAATAAAATGATTCAAATATGGATCCCTTATGCCACCATAATCTTCATATAAATACTGGGAAACAATGCTCTACTTAGTACTATTATATTACTGTATATAGTACTATAATAGTTGTTTAATGGAACTTATTATAATTGTTAATATCCATAATATTTTAAACTGTCAACTTTAATTATTATTGTGATACTATCGTTAGTTGCAAATATATTGTCCATATCAATGTCACCAACAAAGGCTAATAAAGAGATAATGTAGCAGTGTGGTAGCAGTCGTGCCCTTGTAGACTTGGAGTGGAGTTTTGGTCTGGGCTGATCAGACCTGGTTCCTGTCTCAGCCCTTTTGGCTAGCACCTGTCCAGCTCTGGATTAGCCTGTGCTTCCCTCTCTTAGCACTCATCATAATCACATGTGTCTAATCTTATCAAACCTCAGCTTTATCCCTGCCAATCAGCTCCTGTCACTTGCTCCTGTCTTAGTTATTTTTCCCCTCCCCCAACCACCCCTCCAACATGTACTCTTCATTCCCCCCTCTTTATCTTAATCTGTTCTGCTTTCCACTGTCATGGCACCAGGGTCAACCTTGACCCCTCCAAGCGCCAGGGCTCAAACAAATCAGTCTCGGGTTGTACCCTCCCACAAGGATCAAAAACAGTTAGTAAGTTCCCATGTCTCTTGCTTCTTTCTCGTCTGCCCGCTCTGCCCCGCCTGTCTGCCACAAACTCATCATCGGCAAAATCACACACTTTACTTTTTACGATCTGCATGACCTGTTCACTGTTCACTATTTTCAGCATGAGCGCATTTAAGACATTTAAGTTTTTTTTGTTTATGAATTTAAGATTTCTATTTGCCACCTTTTATAGATTATTTTGTTATATTCTTTTTATTTTTTGTAAGTGAGATTCATCTAAAGTAATATCTGTGTATGTTCAGAAACATTACATGTGGTATGTGAATTCTTCATAGTAGTGTTTTTGATTTTGCATGGAAGGTGCTTCTGTGTTTACGGTCTCTTACACAGGGCACAGTCCACATCATGTGCTTGTTTTGGTTCACTGCAGTTCTAATGCAGAATGTGTTCTGACGTTGCATTGGTCAAATCTCATTGTGTGGAGTGGATTACCTCTTACGCTGCCTGTTTGTCCTGCAGGGTCACAAATGAATCTGAGGGAATCAGGAGATTTGCGGTCACAAGGTCAGTGCTGCTAGACTCCTGACACACACTCTAAAGCCCTATCCTCTAGTCCCATTGAATAAACATAAACACTTCCTGTTCCTCTTTCAGTTGCCATCTACCTGGGTATCAAAAAGCGGCCGAGCCCAGGGCCGTCGGACGTGGCTGGGATCTGAGAGGAGGCGGGCGGCGGGACCCTGCGGAGGTGGTACTGGCTCTGCGGGAGGCAGCTGTGGGCTGTGGCTGCCAGGTCCACCATGCCGGCCCCTTTCTGCTCTCATGCACCCACGGTGTGGCGGGCGGCCGCGTGGCCTTTGAGGCTGAGGTGTGCCATCTTTCCACGAGCGGCTCAGAGACTTCTAATGGGGTGCGCTACACTCGACTTTGGGGGGCACCGTTAGCTTTTCGGGACATTGCCACTCAAATCTCCAAGGACCTTGAACTCTGAGCGTGCATTAGTATGTGAGAGTGTGTGTTTTGTGTGAGCAGGTGCTTGTGTGTACTTGTGTGTGTGCTAAAGAGGGCTGGGCGGTAGCAACTACTGAAGAAAAATATCCGAGAAGGGGCGAGGGGCTGGACCCAGGACAAAGACTTCTCCTTCTGTCTCTTTCATGCTGATGTCCCATCCCCCGTATGCGCGCGCACACACACACACACACACACACCTGACTGTGTATTCTCAGACTGAGGCTACCCCTCCATCTCAGCCCCTCCAGCGATGTACCACTGGACCTGCATCAGAGGGAATTTAGTTTGAATATTTTTTATTGCTACTCTAGCCATAATGACTCTTTATTTTGTTATTTATTGACCTGATCATAGTTTTACATGAGTGTCACTTTCACCAGAGGAATATCATCTCGTATACTGGATGCCACTGACCAGCCAGTCTCCCTTTTTAACTAATTTTATGTCACTTTTCCATAATACCCCCACATTCCTGTTGACAAATATTAAGTGATTATCTCCTGACTTCTATTGTATTGGGACAACATTGTGAAATCGTAGTCTCATAAGCAACAATAGAGGCTTATGATGGTTGCATTAAATTAGGTTCAGTGGGAGCAGGGTTGACAGACCAACTGGAAAACACCACCAGACCTGACTTATTAAAAAGCCAATGAAAAGCAGATGTGGAATTTAACTAGCCAAGAAATGTATTATGCACTAAATAATATAGTTTACGCTAACTTCAAACTTTGCAACCTGCTAGCATGTTTGCTGGGGAGCTTTGTATCTGGTGTTATGTTGCTAATATAAATATGAAAGCCATTGGTACATTTCAACGACTCTATTGGTTTTAATACTGTTAATTTATAAAGTGCTAGTTAATAAAATATTCTAGCAGCACACAAAATGGCTTCTGTGACAATTTCACTGCTACCCTCTTGGCTTAAAGAAGTCTGTCAACACTGTCGTCACTTTAAAAATCAAGTGTGGGAGATCCCAGTTTTTCAGTTAGTTGTGACTATTGTAATAATGGACATACTCATGTACAATGCAATTAATTTCTTTCTATTGGGTGCCATGTGATCTCCCCTCAGGCCTCTTCTCAGTTCATTGATGGCAAGCACCAAAAGCGGATAAGCCAAGTTGCAACACCTCTCAGATGACACACTCCTGTTTCAACACTAGCGCACAGTTTCTTGTTCCTCTCGTGGCCCTGTCCCATATACCGCTCCGTCTATTATTGATGACTGTGGGCTGTAGGATTGTGGGGAGTGGCCTGGCATAGTATGGACGTGGTTTCTTTACTTGTTTGTCCAGTTGCCTTTAAAGTGAACTACCCCCAGCGCCTTAAAAAGAGGCCGAAAAAAAGTGAGAAAGTCTACAACTGTCCCTCCCTATTTTTAGTGAATAATGTACTGTGATATTTACGTAGGCTACAGAGGTCATGTTGTTTGGCTGCTGAGTTACTGTTAATACTATCTCTTAGTTGTGGCTTTGCTCCTTGTCATACACTGTCCCGACATTTGCCAGGGAGCTTTGGTGTCCATCACGTTGTAGGCCTATGTATCACTGACTTTTTCTATTGTCACAACTATGAGCACTGGAGTTTGTTTCCTTTGCTCTTCGAGGCCGTGCTTTTGTTTGGCAGGGAAAATCATTCATCCATCTCTCACATACGTTGTACGACCATCTGTGGCATCTCAACTGGCACAGCTGGTATTTGTCGTTTTTTTGGCCCCATCAAGAAAATATGGGCAGAAAAGTGTCTGTCCATGTCCTCTCCTTGGACGTTTTTCATTGTGGTGTATATTAGCATTAGGTAATATAGACCTCAATGCACTTTGCTTTGACTTGAATCAGCTCCTTCCAGTGTACCTGTATAGGTAATACCGAGAACTAGCCACTGGAGGGCGCCAATGTCTTAAATGTGAAACACTACAATTTGTGGATATTTGCACAGGTACTTTATTTATTTTTTAGAATAATATCATTAAAACAGGATTTATATCAGTCAGTTGATGGCTGTATATAAAATATATGAATATAGTATATATATTAGAGCTCAAGGTTTATTTATAGCTAGAGCAAGGGAAGTACTTCTAGTTTAAAGCAGTCTCTGTCAGTGACAACGGGCAACAAATCAACCTGCAATCCTGCATGACTTCAGAGTTTGAGGTTTTAAAAAAGACGCACATCTAGGATTGGAAGCTTTGTGAATTGCACAAAACGTTTAGAGACATGAATTATTACTGTCAAACTGGTGCAGGTTTGAGCGCCACACCCTTCTCTTATTCAATAACTAAACAAAAATGAGGGCTGGATTCAAGTTGGTAAACGTACTTCATCTCAATTGTAAGTGGAAAGATTGTTTGTTCATTATATGGGTTTTAAAGTATTGAGGGACAGTATGTCATAAATACACTTGAATTTAAATATCTCTCTAAATGTCTCAAGAGAACCGCAGATTCTGGGTTCCAGTTAAGCCATAAAAATATTACTGGGCTGTCTCCTGTTCATCAACTGAGTGAAAAGCATTGAAGTCTGTCACAAGGTACTTAAACTAGTAGAACAATCTATTCTTAGTACAATATGGAAGAATATGTCAAATCTACTGTGAACTATTGTGGATATGAGTTGCAATGATGGATGGCTTGATGTATAGCTGCTTGGGAGACAGAGTGTTACTGGTCTGGCTGCTTTCGGGTACAGTATTATGACCCAGTGGGCTCAGTATTTAACATGCATTGTCATTTTGAATCTGTTTTTGAAAGAGGTTTATGTTATATGCAAAAAGACTGAAGAACACTGACAGTTTGACCTGTATGAGTAATTTTACACTGTTGTACTGTTCAATTCCTCCCCTCAAAAACAAACTTTAAACCGATATTGAGTGGTTGTGGTAAATGCGGGAAGTGTGGAGCTGAAGTTGAATAAAACTCACTGATGTTGGCAGTTCTTTGTTATCCTTGTCTCATGATTTGGAAAATTTTGTATAGCATTTTATAATTCCACACAGACAACTCTCAAATGGTTTGTTGTGTTGTTACTTGGGGTACATTTTATTGAGCAATATGAACAGCTTCAATAATCAGTATTTTTTACAACAAAAACTTGGTGGTGATGCCACTTATGCCAGGCAAACCTAGCTCAGTGGAGGCTGATCCCAGGATGTTACCAACCAACACAAGAACGTGAAAAAGGACACAGGACGGTAAACAAGGCTGAAAGGAAGTAAAACAGGAGAGCAGAGTCAAGAGTCTCTGAGAGCAGCGGTTTCCTCTGCACGCCTAGGGAGACGTGAATCCTCTGGAGCAGTGTCCAGTTTACTTCTGGGCAGGGATCATGCTGTCGATGGCCTCGCCCTTCTCCAGCTTCTTCTCCATCTCAACCATGAGCTTCACACCATCAACCACCATCTGCACCTGCTCCACCTCAGAGGAGCCCAGACGATCAGCGTTGGAGATGTCGAACACACCACCGACGGAGGCAGTGTCCACACCACCTGGAATAAAGGTTAAGTTAAGGTACACTGAGCACATAATACACATATGCTATTTCACATATATCTATGAAACTGTACAGACCTGTGCCACGCTTCTGCAGACGCAGCCTGGTCAAGATCTCCTCGAATTTGGGGTGTGTGCTGAGCTTGGGCAGCTTGACGTGCACGCCACCACGCAGGCCAGTGCCCAGGTTGGAGGGGCAGGTCAGGATGTAGCCAAGATGCTCGTTCCACATGAAGCCGTGGTTGTGCTTCTTGAAGATATCCTCAATCTAGACGAAGTAGCATTATTTTAGGGGAGAAAACTTAAATGTTTTCATTATGTTATCTGTGATGCGAGTGTGTACCTTGGTCAGACCAACGCAGAAGCGTCTGAACACCTCCCTCATGTTGCCACCCTTCTGCATGGAGATGACACGCAGGTGATCCTCCTCGTTCACCCAGACCAGGAAGGTCTTGTTATCGTTGTGCCTGACAAGAGGTGAAGATTATTTTAAATCTCAAGTTAAATCTACTAAAGTTACATCTACAAAACTGTGATTTTTTTTAAAAGAGTTCCTCACCAGATGCCTCTGGCGTCGGGCCAGTCACGGGCCATACCAGCGCAGGTCAGCAGGGGGGAGACGGGCTTGTCAAACAGGAAGTGGTCAGCGATCAGCTGCTCCTGCTCGGCATCGGTCATGGATTTAAGGGGGTAGTACTTTCCCTTGAACTCACCATCTAGGCTGGTAAGAGCTGCAGGGCCAGACTTCAGTCAGTCACATTCTTGGTGTGGTTCTGAGTAGATTTTTGAACTTACCCTCAACGGAGAGCCTCTCAATGATCCTACGCTCGCCGCGGCTGTTGTGGGGGGGCAGGGTGAATCCCTTGATGCTGCGGCCGGTACGCACACGGCTGGACAGGACGTAGTTGGGGTCCAGGTCGTCACCGCCCTGAGAACAGATTGATCAAATGTTAGTACAAGGTAAGCCTGGTTAGATGTTTTGTATTTTCATGAGTCTGTTCACAACAGTGTGTATTCTGCACCTTCAGGTTCTCGAAGTTCAGGTCGGTCTTGTGCTTGTCATCAGGCTTGTATCCACCATGACGGTCAGAGATGACGGGGTCCAGCAGATCCTTGAAGACTGTGTAGGACTCCTCATCACCAGCGACACAGCCTACTGTCATGATGAAGGGGTGACCTGAACAATGAGAAAGACATGATGGTGAGACATACTTAACATATGAGAGAACTGCATCTTGTTAAAGATGTATTTAAAGTTGTAATTATTTTGAAGGTATCTGTGATTTTCTCACCAGGGTTGTCAACTCCAGTCTGGATGACATCATCCAGAGTGTAGCCGCTGGGGGTCTGCTTGTCCCTAAGCTTTCCATACAGCTCCTTGGTCAGGACCTTGGCCATATGGTTGTTGTGCTTGGACAGGTCGGGGAACTCGTCCTCAACTTTGTAGTTGAGTTTGAAGTTGTTGTGGGTGTTTCCGAAAGGCATGTTTGCTTTTCTTACACTGCAGTGGAAACAGAATTTTGGTAAGTTTGAATTATAAATAACTGAAAATGTATCAATACATTAATACTGCTAATACTGCTTTTGTAGGAACTTGTAATAATTGAATAATTGAAATCATATTATCTAAGATTTTAGGTACAGGGGACATTATGCAAGACAGCTGCTGAGTCGGTGCAGAAGAATTTTGGTAACAAGTGTCGCTCAATTGGTGAAGGCTCAAATATCGAGCTGAAATAGATGAGGGAGGAGCCCATGTGGAGGGACTATCTTTAGCAGCAGTGCGCCTGACTATGTACCCTTTCTGCAAAATGTCCCTAACATGTATGTGCAGCATTTCAGTTTTGCTGGCACCACACATCTCCACGTCTCTGGTTCACACTTATGTTCCCCATCATGTTCAAGCTGAGTTTTCTCATTGAACCATTCTTTACACCTCTTGAAACACACTCCAACATAGAAATGTCTCAATTAAATGCAGCAGCCCTTTAGACTACAATGTCACAAATGCATTATCACTGTCAATCTTCTTATAATCATGAAATATTATAAAATAAACCATTATAAAATAGCATATTGAATGTTATAATGCATAATATGGTTAAGCACAACAGAAGCATTTACAGCAGAAATCTGTACCCGCCAACAGAAACTTAATCTACAATAGCTATTCAGTAAGTTAAAAAGCACTCTTTCCACCCTGATATCTGCATCTATGCCTCTGGAGTCTAAGGATTTTTACTAAATAATATATTTGACATGACTTTACCTTCACACCAGACAAGAACAGAGGTAACAGTCCTTGGGATCAGATCCTGTTCACCACAGCCAAAATAGGGGTCACCCAAATGTGTTGGCCACTGTTTCTTCTTTATATACTCGGCCATGTGCAGCCATTGGCCTGGCCATTTTAGTGCCTGCTGGCCCCTCATTGGCTGGTACCAATGTACTCAGAGTGGGAACAGTTTATGAAGGGCCACACTTGCATTTCAGTCATCTAAGAAGGGGGCTACAGCTGACCCCCACCCCCCTCACTCACCCACTGTGGCCCATACATAGCACCACTACGTTAATGTGAAAGGGAGTGCACACTGGTTTGGGGAATTTACATTATTTTTATTTATTTATTTTAACATGAGCAGAGATTGTACCCAACTGAGAGTTATACTACTTTAAAATTATAATAGTCATGTAATAACCCTTATAATTTCACTTACTACTTGAGAGCTGTTTGGGCATTGGATTGATGTTCTCCTGTTGGTATAATCATAGGGAGAGAGAAAAAAAAATTACATTTTAAAACTATAAATAATAGAGAAAGAAGGTTAGAGTATCATAAGAAAAATTAAAAGAGGGGGAAAAAACAACAAATCATAAAAACTTGCCCTTACAGTGGGAGGAGTAGTCCTTTCTTCAAGAGTATTGTTGATTCAACATAATACATCAAGTCAAATTAAAAGTGCTGTGAGCAAAGCTATCAGAGGAACAATTAATTTGAAATTTTGAAATAAATAACTAAATTAAATTCACCTCTTATCTCTTCATATAACACATACCAGTACCATATAAATAATAGTTACTTTCTTACTTATTTGTCACAGACATTCAAAAATTTTACCTTGACACTTTTAGTACTTCTATATTTTTTTGTTTATTTTATATTGTTGTGTTATTTTCTAACCTTTAAACACTTTAAGGCTTGCTCAATTTGTTGAGCTCATTAACAGATATCACGCCCTCCATGGGAGATTAAGTGACAGGTGGAACGATTAAGATGGAAAATTACGCCATATTTGACACTCTCCAGCTCACCTCTCACTAACTCACCTCATTGATGGTTCACTCTATTTAACAATGCTTCATTGCAGCAATGCTTTCTGGCTAAGATATATGTCACAGGGAGCTATAAAAATTCTTTCCACTTAAATAACATTATCAGGCCCTTTTTTTTCTGCAGCAGAGAATAAAAATAAAAATTACACATGTAATATACTGTACCTTCTTTGTAGCATCAAAATATGCATCATGCAAAAATGCTTGTTCATTATAAAAAGTCTGTTTTATGTATAATGTTATGTATAATGTGTAATGTTACATCATTGTCTGTAATGGTTCCTTGAGTGTGAACATTGGAAGCTTTCCAACTCTAGGGTACCCCATGCACCCGCTCGCCTATGGGATGTCCCAGCTCAGAGCGGGCGTGCCCAGATCACACCTTCTTACAGTCGCTTATATGATTACCACTGTCTGTTCTGCCAATAGCATAGTGTGGTCCCCTCCCTTAAATATCAGCCATCCACTTTGTACTACACATCCACGTCACTGTTTGTCCTCTAGCTGTGTCCAAAGCAGGTTTAATGTCCATAGCTCCTGCCCTCTCCTCAGTCAGGCCATGTCTCCTGTTACACAGCTGTTTGCTGTCTGTCCTTAAAATGGTGGGTGCCAAATTGGTGTCAGGACCGTTTCTGAGGTAAACACAACTTTTGGATCATTTAGAGTAGAAGTATCTCTGTGTAGTCTAACCTGTTTCATACCAGAGAGTAAAGGTTAGAGACACTACCAAAAATATCAGTGTACACTTATGCAACAGAGATGTGATATGAGTATATGAGGAAGCACCGTACTGTAGCTGCTCTCTAGTCTCGATCTCAGGGCTCTACATGCCCTGTCTCATAGAAATACCACAAATGAAAGCAAGTAAATGTGCACTGTACTATCTGTACTGTGTGCACAGGGAATGGACTGTTTTGGTTGTGTTGTATTACACTGGCAGTAGTATTGAATCTGTCTGCCCCACAGAGAAGGTCCCAGGAGGAGGATATTAGTTTGTAGTATTGCAGAACACCTTCTTGAAACATTAACAGGCTGACCCTTGAGAGGAATTTGTGCCAACTGCCCTGACCTGTTTGAGAATAGCTCAGTGTCCCGCTGCAGCTGTGACCACACTGTGTTCTATTCATTGCATAAGAAAATTATGTCAGAGGAAATGTTCAGTTAGTTCACACAGGAACTGTTCAGTTTACAGAGATGCTTATGAATTCCACTGTGTTTTGGAAAGTAACATTGTGTACTTGGCAACAAAACAATGACGTACAGTGTGGATAATAATAAACTTTATGGGAATCTATATTTAATGCTTCTACCATCATATAATTTGCCTCTGATTTTATCCAACAGAAATCCCATCCCTCCCCTCATGTTTTTCATGATGGTGAATACTAGTGGCAGTGCTGTGCTTGCTACAGTCTGCAGACTCTCCATTGAAACTAAAGCTCTGGGGTCACGTGTGCTTGGAGTGGTCCAGTCGAGGCTATATTTGCCCTCCATCTGCAGCCTGTCACACAGGAGCCTCTGCTCATGAGATTCAATTTCATCGAGTCAGTTTTTTGTAGTCTTTTCTTATCAGAGCAGGCACTTTTTAACTTATATGTCAATTATATGAACTGTACCTTTGCATTTTCCTATTGTTGCATTCTATAAAAGCGAAATTTACTGAACAAACTTGAATGAAGCCTAGCAACATAAACATGTGAGGCTTTCATACATTAGAGTTCACTATGAAATTGTAATTGTATGATTATCTAAGTAACTGTTATCCGGACTATAATGCAAACTCTAAAACACATGCCAAAATATTGCTGCATTATTAAATCAATAAGAATTCCCAATTTCTTTATCCATATCACCCATGAATATCCTGTAACTAGAAGCATTTAGTCACCATATTTTATTTCAAATGTATTTCATAAATCTTGATCAACAATAGAAATAATTGTTTGACTAGTAATAAAAAAAATAAATAAAAAAAATTGGCTGACTAGTGTTGCAGATCATATCTGATCCCTCTACTCCTGTAATGAGTTTTTCTTTCCTCCAGTGGCTTCACTGATTACAATAGATTAACCTATTTGATTTGTGATCCAACTCAAAAGTCAGCCCAATACCCACAATGCAAAGGGGCATGGTGCCATGACAGGTGTGAGCTACTCTAGTACTGACAACAGGTGTGCAGTGCTTATGACGACCAAGGTTTCTGCTGCATGGGAGACCAGAGTTGAGACATTTTTTTTTTTGTTTTTAAATAGGAGCATTACAACATTTTAGCACTTTGTACAAATGAGTGTTGGTTCATTTGAAGTGCCAATGACACACTTGAGAGCAGATTTCTCCCTAGAGACAGTCTTATTGTACTATCATAGACAAGCTGTTGCAAGCATCTGTCAATAAATCAGCACATGACCGACAACTGCCACCCTGTTACATAACTGTAGCTCCTGCCAAACAATGCCCTTATTCAAAACATATAGACTGAGTAGTAAAAGGAACATAGGCCCATTATTGACTTTAGTGACACTTAAAGGGCTATATACTGCCCCCTGTTGCTCACATGACTTTGGGTCTAACCTATGAACATGTAACTGTTGTTCTGATGTCACATGGGTTTCAGAGGGATAAAAAATTAGCACTGTTGCCATAGCAATTAAGAACTCAAAACAAGGTATTTTGTATGTTTTGAATGGCGAAAAGTAATCAAATTTGCACATAAAAACACGAAAATGGAGCCTGTGATTAGGGTGTCACTAATATTGAATACTATCCTATTTTAGTTTATTAAGTAAAACTAAATGTGGGGTAAGTTTTAACCCCCTTTAGAATTTACTTTGCATTAATTTGCATGTCCAATACCTTTGAATCTAACAATGCTGTCTATACCAAAAGAATCCACTTGGGGGAGACATTTTTAAATTAAATACTGCTCACTACTGTAAATTACACATAACATGGGATATACTGTTACACTGGGTTAAAGGCCGCAAACCTGTTCATTCTGTTGGGGAAGTTTCATATCCATAAATCCAAATTCTCCAATTCCAGACCTCTTTTATAAAATCATTCTCCTAGACCTCAAGACTTATCTTCAAACACTAAACAGTATTTCTAAGATTAAATCTATCAAAACACAAAAAATTACAAAATAATTAGGATTTTAGTTTTAACCACTTACTCAGTTTCTTGTATTGATTTCTTAGTTCACATTATCTGCCTCAGTTTAAGTTTAGATATAACACATAACTGTGAACTAGACTTTGTATTGATGCACAACAACCCCATCTGCACTTTATACTGTATCTAATTTTGCAGTTTTGTCATGTTGTGTTTCTGTAATTTAAAAAAAGACCTACAAACTGAAACCTGTCTGTGTCATTGAAGGCAGTAAAGTACACCCATGTAGATTGTAAAATATATACGATTTACATGCGGTGTGTAAATTTCCATGGTAACACTGCAGTAAAGGGTCAAAGTACAATGTAAAGACAGAAACTGATAAAACTGTAGCATTTTTCTTACAGGTGTGTCTGTCTCCTACTCCAGTAGTCTAACCAACAAATGAAAATTAACAAAAAGGATTGGTAACCATGGAAATAAATAAAGTCTGCACACTCACAAAATAATCTGTAAAGTTTTTCCTCCTTTTACACAAATCTTAAAATTCACTATATGACTAATATTTAGTCATCAGCCAGCTCCAGCTCTTGGTGCCTATGATAAGACCTAAAACCAGGGGGGACAGGGCCTTCTCTGTGGTCAGCCCTAAGCTCTGGAACGCTCTGCCCCCCCAAGTCCAGACAATCCCCACAGTGGAGTATTTTAAGTCTCATCTTAAAACCCACTTTTATTCTCTGGCTTTAACACCCGTAAGTTGTGTGGTCCTCTGTGTCTTTTATTTATTTTATTTATTTTACTATTTACTGCTTTTCTATGATTTTTATTGTTTTTTGCTTTTATTTGCTTTTATTTGTTCGTATTTATTGTTTTAGGACTAGTATGACCAAATTTCAGCAATTTACCTTTTGTGATCTTCATTTTATGATCTCTGTGCAGCACTTTGGAAACTTTGCTGCTTTGTTTGTAAAATGTGGATATGGATAATACCAAAAAATAATAGACCTAATATTTAAACTTATGTACAAGTGTACATGTATACAATCTTTAGGGGCCCTTGTAGTCCTCAAACCCTACTTCGCGAAGAAATGACCTAAATATGTAAATTAAACGTAAATGTAGATAATTATGGCCATTTTATTTCTTAATTGTATAAATAATTACCCATAAAGAGCGAGGCTAATGTTTTAGGCCTATGTAAGCCTTTGCACACAGATGCATTTTCTAGGGATGTAACAATAACTAAAATATTGTGATATTGTATCATCAAAGTTCTCACAGTAATATCATGGACCATCACGAATATATCGAATTACAAGTCTCTTTGCTTAAATTATGGTGCAGCAATAGCTAAAAAGAAAGAAATGATGAAGAAGAAATAACAGTTCTAAGCATTTTTAAGTCTTAGTTCTTTGGATTAAGTCTTGTCGATAAGGCATTTTAAGAGGAAAAAGGGGCATATTAATAGTTTTAGCTGTACTGTGAGATGTATACCGTGAAAATATCGTACTGAGAGATTTGGATGTTGTTACATCCCTAATCGTGAGCCTCCCCACCATAACATGAACTTTCCCATGATATCGCAATAAATATCGTTACACCCCTAAAATTTCCATAACGTGACAGTTTACACATCTGTATTATCATCAGTTACAATGTCCTGTTTCTTTAAGAGGCTGGATCACGGCTACGGAGGTACGCACGTTGACCGTGGGATTGACGCTCCAGGCTCCAGTCAAAATGTACCTTTACTTCCTGATTGTAACTATCGCCCATTGCACTTCACCGAGCAGCAGCATGTCGTCCGGGGAGTGGAAGCAGCGGTGCGAGGATGAGTGGGGTCTGGGGGGCGCGCCGATGCCCGACAGCGTGGACTGGAGATCTGTGTATGAAGCCAAACCTTTCAACAGAAACTTACTGAAAAATCCATCTCCCTATGGTACTTTTAAAATCATAAATAACCATAAAGCCATAAAGGGGCGTGATTTATTTATTTATTTTTTACCACTGTCTATGGTGTCTAAACTATTAATATCATTTTAGTAGGCCACATGTACTGAACTTTAGAATATTTAGCCTGTTTTAACTCATGAAAGTGGATTTTACAATAGCCCCACTAATTTAGAGAAGTTACTTTTTTTTGTTTTTTTGTGGTGGAAAAAGGGTGTATGCCTAAGACAAAAAGTTCTTTATTTTTAAAATGAGTCAGTAGTAGCAGTAGCAGTTTTGAGTCAGTGGCTGGTTATTGCACAGTCTTATCAGCTTAGGCAAACCTCCCAAGCTCATCAGTTCTCATGATTCACCTACAAGAGTCAGCCTGTTACTGGAGTGTCACTTAAGTACAGCGTTGGGAAGTTAAAGACTTCTGAGAAAGGATGAAGAAACCTGTCTGCAATCAAGAGGGAGGGTTCAATTTTGTTTTAAATTTTAAATTATTTTAATCTAACAGATTTTTTTCTGATTTACACACAGGGTTAACCAAGGATGTCCCACCACCTGAACCTGATTTGCCTGAACAACCTGACCACGGTCCTCCACGCTTTATACCTGAAGGTAAACAAAACATTTTGCCTTGCAAGGAATTTTCACACATGAATTATGCAATACATATAAAATTATATTTGTTATTATTATAAAAACATTGTTATAAAACATCATAATAATCATAATAATATTGGACAGGTGACTTTAGCGGCTGGACCACCAGCTCAGAGGTCCTCCCTTATGATTCAAGTGGCATCCCAGCAGGAGCTGTGATCTGTCATCTTCCTCAGGCCAGGCAAGTGCACTTACTATCTCAGGTGTGGTCTTCAGCTTCAGTGATGGAAGTTTTTCAATAAACAGTTTAGGAAAATAGATCTGTCTACTACACATACTATGTCTCCCAGACACATTTATTTTTTTCTCAACAATGAGAGAGATTCACCAGAAGATGTCACTATAACTGCCTGCATTTTGTGATCATTTGTATTCCATATTCTGACTTAATTTTTTAAAATCTTTCTTCCCTTTTCAGCTGGTTTACAATGGAGCAAATGGTGGACTTGAAAGCTGAAGGACTGTGGGAGGAGCTGCTTGATGAATTTCAGCCTGAAATCATGATCCAAGATTGGTGTGTCACACATTTTACACACACTGACACCAAAGAAAGTGTCTATTTACTTAGTAAAAAACAAACTTGGAGTTCTGTTACCTGGTTTATGATAGCACAATTCATATGAGCTGAATAAACTGTACTAATGTCTGTAATTGTTCAGGTATGAGGAGAGCCAGTTGCATAAGTTTATTTACCAGCTCCATGTGAAGTTACTGGGAGCAGACAAAACTACAGTGATTGATGAGCACACAGTGAACCCCGAGGAAGACCTTAGCATTTATTCACATAACTGGAAAGAGGTGAGTCCCATCCAGTCCCATTCAGAATATAAACGTGTACTTTAATCTCTATAGAAATCTGTATATTGTGAAACAAAAGAACAAATCAACAGATCAAGAGACCAAAATCCAAGCAAGTAATTTGTGATAGCTCTGCTACTGGTAAACTGTAGTGGCTGTGCCACTGGCCTCTCTGACCACCACCAGTCATTCATGCACTCACCACTTTCATACTAGGAAATGTAGATGAAGGTGAGTGTCTTGCCTATGGCCACAAGAACAGAACTTGATCTGAGTGGAGTTTGATCCTCTGATTGTTGAGCCTTAACGACAATTAAGCCTTAATTGTCGTCTTAACGATTTGGCCACTGTCACCATACAGTGGAACATTCCAGGCAAAGCAATAGCATCTCCATGGAAAAGGATGGGGCACCTACCAGCAGAAAAATTACATATTGCACCTGTAACACTAGCTTCTTTAGATAAACACAACACAACATATGTTGCAAGATTCATTTCAAAAGTAACCCTGTACCTTTTACCTTATTTCTGAGGATACCTTAAGTAATTATCATGTATATACTGAATTTCTGTCTTTTGGCCTCTAGGTGTCTCATGTGTTTTCTGGTTATGGACCTGGTGTCAGATATGTCCAATTTTTGCACCGTTTGAAGAACCATTTTCTCAATGGATTTTGGAACACGGTGGTCACGGGGAGCTCAGTGACGATCATCCCAAAAAAATGAGCTGCTACATGCCACAGATGGTTTAGTTTGATTAGTATGCTGCACTTTGTAAAGCCAAATGTATTTTAAAAATTCATCATTAAGAAAATACAAGTTGCATTAAAATTGTGTCATGTTCGATGTTGAGGTGGGTATTGTGAACTGTTGTGGAACATTCCAGGCAAAGCAATAACATCTTCAAGGAGAGAAGAAGGACTCACCGCTAGAAAAGTTCATATATATACCTTTTAATTAAACTAAACCTTCACTATGAAACATCATGCTGTAGGACTACGCTGAATGAGTTGGGTGAATCTACTGTAGCTCCAATCAGATGTGGTCCATTCTCACATGTAGTGCATTTTAATATATGGTATGGATTTGCTACAACTTTGATACCAACAGGTTTTTACCATTTGAGCACATTTGCTAAGCCTACAACTTTTATCCAACCAGAGCAGTAAAAAAACATTGACATACATTCCACCAAGAGTAGAGAAGTTATCAGTTACAAATATAGCATACTTTTACATGTTGGCAAAGTCGAAATCAAATGTTAAACCTATCTCTGTAATAGTTAAAAAAGAAAAAAAAAACTAGGTCAGGTGAAAAATTGAAAAAAGAAGTACAAAATATTTAGATATATTCCAACTGCATCTACCTTTTCCTACAGTAGGACCGTTGCATGATTACAAAGCTTGTAATAAAATAATAAAGAGACCACTGTTCCTTTAAGAGTGATCAGGAGCGATTCCATGTTTAGGTTTTGATAATGGGCGTGGCGTGTGGCGCAGTAAATTTCAGGATAAAAGAGTGAAAAGAAAAAAAAAAAGCCCCGATCAAGAGTGTATTTGTGTGAATAACTCATAACAGCATGTCCTCCGGAGAATGGAAGAAAAGGTGCGAGGATGAGTGGGGTCTGGAGGGCGCGCCGATGCCCGACAGCGTGGACTGGAGATCTGTGTATGAAGCCAAACCTTTCAACAGAAACTTACTGAAGAATCCATCTCCCTACGGTACTTTCTAGAGGACATGCAGTGACCACTATGCTATGCACATCTGGATAACTTTTTTTTTTTTTTTTATTGAGTACTGAATGTTCTTAGTTTTGGGGTCATATACTTATGCATGTGTATATAGGCATTTACTGTCAAAAAACATATTATAGACACTTTTAAGTAAAGCTATTAATGCATTTTTTCAATCCTACTATTAGTTGCAGCTTGCATAACTGCTTTAGGCCTACTGGTGGTGAGTGTTACCAGCTGGTAGAAGTCTGAGTTCAACTTGGACCAAACAATTGTCAACTCAATAAACATTGCACTGGCCAGTCCAGCAATGTCTTGAATGAATCCATGTGAAGCAATGTTAACACTGCGAAGCATTTAAAGATCCTGTGTTACCCAAAATGACCCAAATTGTGATCTTTTGGCCATGTTAGAATGTTGTTACCTCATCAAAAACATAACCAGAGTTGTATTTTGTTTCATTCATGCAGGTTTGTGTAGTCCTGCATTATTAGGCTGTCTGCCTTTCCAAAGCTTAAAATGCTCTGATCCACCTTGTGATGTCATGTAGTGGTAGTTTTCAAGTTAACAGCTACCCTTTACCTTTAGTTCAGTAGAAATGGACCATTCCAGATCTGAAATTATCCAAATGATTCTAGTGAAGTTGTGTGGAGTTTATAAACACAATAGAAGGCTTCCTGTATTACCATATGACATCACAAGATGGAACAGAGTATTTTCTGTTTTGAAACAATAACACAGCCTAAATATGCAGGTTGTTTCTGTTTAACATGTGTGAATGAAACAAACCCAACTTCAGATGTATTTTTGATGTGGAAACATTTAAATATAGACTAGAAAATAGTATAATATAGGCCCTTTAACAGCTACATGGAGCAAAGATAGGTGGTCTTCTCAAATGAAATTATAAAATTAAGTAACTATAATGCTGAAAATTTATCCCGCGCACTTGTCTATGTTCACTAAGTCCTCCCTATCTCTCCTTGTGCACAGTGGTTCGTCATGACAGCGGGACAGGTGAAGGGGGCCTGTCTGAAGTGCCTGCTCGCCGGGGCCTCTGTATTCCTGGATTTATTGAAGGTAAGGGAGTACATGGAAGAAATATTCAAGAAAAACACTTGTACCTTTTTATTTTTTGTAGGAGATTTCAGTGACTGGACCACAAGCACAGAGGATATTCCTTCTGACTTGAGTGGAATCCCCAAAGGAGCTGTAGTCTGTGCTGTGCCTAAATATAGGTTGGTTTATTATGACTCAATTAGAAGCCATTCAACATTTAATGAGTGTCTCTATGGGGATAATAAAGTGTATCATAACGACGCACTATGCAATGGAGGAAGAAGTACAGATACCAGAGCAAAAAATACCCAAATAAAAGTAAAAGTATCACATGAAAATATGCACTAAGTAAAAGTATTAAAGTACCTTTGTAAAAATGTACTTGAACTGTAAAAATGAAGAGTAAAAATTAAAGTATTTCCCACAGATTTTGAAATCTAATAAAACTTCAAATGTAGTAGTTTTTAGTTTGATAAATGATGAAGTTTATTCAACAGAAACTTTTTTGTTTTGCTTTGTTTGCTATAAATGTATTAAAAATAAACTTGTCAGCCAATTTAGCAGATAACAAATACTTCCGTCCTGTTCAAAATGTAGTGGAGTAGAAACTAAAGTATACCTGCTCTCAAATGTAGTGAAGTACAAGTAAAACTTGTCCACTTTAAAATGTATTAAAGTAAAGTACAGCTATATAAAATGTATACATAAGTACAGTACTTTATTACTTTTACTTCATTCCATTCCACCACTGGCACTATGTAACTTTTCTGGCGTAGGATCTGCCGACTTCATCATCTGCTTGCCTCATGGAAACGATATTGCTTTGCCTCAAATGTTCCACAGTACAGCATTAAACTTTTCTTTCTCACATTATTCAACTACAGGATTGTTTATTGCTCAGAAATAACTTAAAAACAGGTGTTCTTGCTGTGCTGTTCTTGCTGGTAATCTTCCCAAAGACTTGACCAGTAAATATGCCTGTACAAAGCAATAATATCTCCATAGACATTAACAAGTGGCATGCCCTCCGTCAGAAAAGTGTCTCTCCCAGTGTGTTTAGCCTGATTCATCAGCCTGTTTCACTTCCTAGAAACCATCTGACCTTGCAGTGTTTTCATTCGTGCGGTGAATTAGTTCGCTCAATGGTAGGCAAGTACTTTTTATCATTTAACCAATCGCTGCTATTTGGTAGTCACGTATGTAATGCTTCGCTAATGGGGCTAACTGGTCTATTAAGCTTTTCCCAAATCCTGTAGGAAGAAGGGCAATAACGTCTTTCCCCTTGATGAAATTCACCAAACATTCTCTTTGTTCCGGCTTTAAATCCTCGATCTCGGGAATCATTGACAACACTGAATATATGGCTCTTCTCTGATTGACTGGAGCCCAAACTCACACTTCCAGGGTTTTTGTGAACCGTCTAGTGTGTTCTGATTCCTGACCTAGTTGCTGGAGAGAAATGAAATTGAGCAGAGGCACTAGGTGACGCCAGCCTGGCTAATATTTGTTAGCTTTGTCTATTTCTTTTTTACTGGTAGTTAGTTACCTGTTTGCCATCGGTGTTTTGTTTTGCTCTGTGTAATAAGGCCATAGACTGTATAAATTAATGGATATAGCTAACCCACATGCTGCCATTTCCAAGCAGGAAGTGTTCATGGGGTAGCATCCGGCTCCACTGACTGAAAAATTGTCACCCCTCTCTCTGTAACTGCTGCAGTGAACCTTTTTGGTGTTTTATTTTGCTATTTTGTCCATAAATAAATTCCTAATACCAGTATGTAACTCTGCTCCATATTCCAAATTGAGTGGAGCCGAACGTCACACTCCCTTAGTCCACTTCTTTATACAGTCTATAAATAAGGCCAATCTTTATTCTCCTCTTCTCAGCTGGTATACTATGGAGCAGACTGTGGACTTGAAGGCTGAAGGTCTGTGGGAGGAACTACTTGATGAATTCCAACCTGAGATTTTTATCCAAGAGTGGTGTGTTAATAAACAGAGTATTTCAATATGCACTTTTGATTTCTAAAAGTATATTTTTATTTTTAGGTATGAGGAAAGTTGTCTTCATGAGTTCATATATCAGCTCCATGTGAGGTTACTCGGAGCAGACAAAACTAGTGTCATTGCTGAGCACACATACAACCCCACTGAGGAGCGCGGTGTTTACTCTCGCAATCACAAATGGAAGGAAGTGAGTTTGTGGTCCATTACTGAAGCTTTTGGTCCAGCTTGACCTCACTCATCTCATAATTAACAAATGTGTTTTGTTTCTTTCACACATGTTTAACACACAAACCCTGCATAGTTCTTCTCTCAAATGGAAAACACTCCTCATTGTGATGTTGTGTGGTAATACAGGAAGCTCTCTACTATGTTTTTAAACTTCATATACCTTGACTAATCATTTGGATCATTTTAGCCCTAGAATTGCCAATCTTTACTGAGCAAAAGGCAAAATGTAGCAGTTCATTTGAAAACTACCACTACTTGACATCACAAGGTGGAGCATTTTGAGGTTTGGAGATGTAGACAGACTAACAATAAAGGGTTACCCAAACATGTGAATGAAACAAAACACATCTCCACGTATAATTAGTCATTTGTCCTAATGGTTTCATGCATGTCTTCCTGATAGAAGTTGTCATTTCATACCTGTCATTTCAGTTAACGCATTAAAATTTCAATTGATTATTTTTTCATTATGAATTATATATATTTTTTCATGCTCTATTAAGGCTAGTTAATTTGTATTTATTATAAAACACTACCAAACTCTCTGCTCCCAGAACACACTAACTGTTGTTGTCTCTAATGGCCTGTAGGTGTCGCACGTGTTCTCCGGGTATGGTCCTGGAGTGAGACAAGTTCATTTTTTGCACAGACTGAAGAACCAGTTTCTGAATGGATTTTACACCACAGCATCCAGTGGCAGCTCAGTTATTGTGAGACCAGTTAAATCTCATTGAAAGGTATCAACTGTATTAAAGTCTGGAAGGTACAAAAGTTACACATCCCATACCAAAGACTATAAATCTGTTAAAACTACCTACTAAACCAGCTTTGTGTTTACACCAGGATTTTGACTTTAAAAAAATATTTTATATGCTGTATTAAAAAAAAAACATGTCCTGCATTATTTCAGGTAATAGCAATTTACAAATTATAGACTTTTCTTGCTCAACATTGCATGAACTGTAACTACTCAGACTTGCACTATTAAAATATACGTCCAAAGTATTTTATTGTGTTTTGTGTGTAATTTGAGCATTTATGTTAAGCACATATGGTCAAGTTTTGGAGCGACAACTTTATTAATAATTAGAAATTGCTTCTTACTTTCACTTGTATATATGACAGTGAAATCGGTGTCTTAGTTGAATGTTTAATATGCCAATAATTAAGTCATGAATCTGCGTAGTAGCGATTCAATTGAAGTGCTGCTTTCACGTTTTTCGGAAAAGTCCTTAATGGCTAATCATTTCTTTGAACCTCTTTGCTCTTTAAATATTTTATGGAAATTCAGGAAGCTATTTACCTGTTGCTTCACACCACTGCATCTATTTTAATGCCAAATGTAACTCATGTGGAAAAAAATATTAACAAACTCCGTTACCAATTAGCATATGTCATTTGGTGAACTTTGGGAGGGGTCAGTGAAGCCGGCACGTCACCATCCCCGGTTTGGCTTGGACTCAAGAGCATCAGTGCAGCCAGTGGCCACGGCAATGTGAGGACAACGGGAAAACCCTCCGCTACTGGGTTCAGCGGCGTGGACAGACCAGCCCGGGGGATAGTTAGACACGAGTCGACTCCTCAAGCTTCAGAGGCGATGTCAGTCTGCTTTGGAGCTGTGCCATAAACTGTAAGGTAAGTTTTAAGCAGGTGGGTCTCAGCCAATATGAGTAGTATGAGAGAAAGTCGCGCGTGAAGTTGGTTTCGCTATATTCATCGCTCTCTTCTAAGATTTGCATCAGATAGCCAAACTTGGATTGAATATGTTGAACCATAAAGTAAAGTAGCGTCCAGGTTACATTTTAAATTCTAAATGAGATAATTTTACCAGTTGCTCCTCTAATCCATCTTTGTACGAGCTGCGTGCAGTGTTGCGTAAAAAGTAAAAAGAACCACATGTAGGATGACCTAAGAGCAAAGGCATTTGAATGATCACAATCTGTATCCCGTAATTCTCATATGAAAATAAAATGTTTGCAATTATGTGCAACCACAGCTGCTACCATTGTACGCTAGTTTACTTTAGGTTTTACTAGATTTACATTGGAAAGGTAACTTAAAGTGCTCTTGGATACCAACCAAGAACCCCAGATATCTCCATACAACACAGGACAAAATACATTAATTGCAGCTTAAACTAACCACCTGCCAAGATAATTTGTAACATGGTCAAAGATTATAGAAGTGTCAATTATATGAGGGAAAGTTCTGTTCATGTAGTTTCTGTCAAAGGATGAAAAATTAAGTCTGCTCCCATAGCAAGTAATTCAAAATTAAAATCTTTTGAATTGTCAGAAATCCTCAACAAGGCACCTGCAATGCATTCATTATTTACAAACCCCTGCAATAATAAGTCTAAATTTAAGACTTCAAGGTCGTATAGACCTAGAGTTTTAAGTGTATTGATGTTTTATTTTTTACTTCGGCTTCTGTATTGATTTTATTCTGGGAAAGTTCTCTCATGTTTTCCTCCCTGACATTTCCTGATGAGGCATGAACTTCAGAGCTGACATTTAACTGGCATAAAAGTACCATTTATGTATCATTCATGTAGTAGATTGGCCTTACTGCATTAAAAGTGTTGTTTCCTTAAACTAAAGTGGCCATAAGGATCTGAAACTGCAGTGTAGGAGATACTGTATAGAAGGAAGTGATTATGCTTGTCGTAACATTAACTATAAAAGTATGATTTAATCTTCTAACTAAGTTGTGACGCATTGCAATGCCACAACAAAATATTAAAGATCTTGGAAATAAGCTTGCATAAAAAACTTTTAATGAAATAATTGTTGTTTTGGCAAGGCCTTCATCTTGATCACAGTATTTAAATTTCTATGTGAAAGTCTCATTTTTATTCTTAATTTTCAATTGCTGAAGATCATAACATTGCTAGTTCAGTTAGTAGCTCAGTTAGTGCTCATCCTGTTACACAAAACTAGTTTAGCTTTGAATCCAACTCCTGGCGTAAACATCAATGGTTGCGCGGTCCCACAGATGAATACTGTTGCTGTGTCCTTGAGCAAGACACTTCACCTCCCATTGTCTTGTGTGTTTGACAGTCACAGTCAGCTCTGAGTGCACTGAGGGCAGAAAAGCGCAATATAAATGTGTTCATATACCATTTAGTTTTTGCAATATTGGATGAGTAAGTTAATTCAATTCAGTCAGACTTGGATTTAGACAAACTTTATTGATTCACAGGGGAAATTATTTGGAACACAGCATTTCACACATCAACAATATATTACAATAAAAAAGAACAAAAATATAAAAGGTAATAATAAAAAAAATAGCAAAAATAACAAGAAACTAATGCCAAATAAGGCGTAATTATATAAATGTATATATGCAAGTACAAATGGGCAATTCTATAATTAGTGTTACATTTCATGTCATCTTACAATATTTTGAATTGTACAATTATTTCCTGGAAACAATACTAGTTTTTACTTTGATCCATTAGCCCCTCTGGACAAAATTTTATTATTGCTGTATCCATCATTTTATAGCCTGTAGAGAGCCTTTTTTTGCTTGTCAGCTTTTTGAAATTAAAAGTTTTGCTTAAATTATCAGCCCCAAAATCCATATTTGATTGGAATATTTTGACTTCTATATCCTACATGTTAGACTGATTTTAATGTTTTGAAACTTTTATGCCCGTTACTTGTATATTGAATACTTTCATTATATATCAAATTTTTGTCAGCTGGGTAACGGCTTGGATAATCCCTCATTAAACTGCAATGGTTCACTCTAATGTCACAAACTCAACACCACAGTGAAGCCTCAGCCTTCCTGGAGTGTGATTTTTAAAAAACACAGCTCAAGTTTTACCTGCTTCTTTGGAGGAATCATCCTGTTTTACTGCAAACCCATTTTTTTGGAGAATTGCATTAGATTTTAGATTTGCTAACAGTTATGGAATGAGCTTAATAGCAACAATGGGTCTTGTAATGTGGGAGTAATCTCATGTAGCACAATATCCTAAAAATGTTACAAAATCTCAGCTGGGTAACACATCAACTGGATAATGCTTCCCAGAGACTCAATTAAAAAATCTGAGTTACCTAGTTGACACTGGTGAGATCTGGTAGCAGTTGTTTTTAGGCTTTCAAAGCAGATACATAGATTTTTTTTTAAATTCACATTTCACTAGATTACTACGGAAGCCTTGAGCGGCAAGCGATTAAAAAAGGAGGCTCTATTTTCTAAGATTTACTAATTTATTTTTAATTTTTTTTCTTTGCAGTAACAGCTTTTTTTTTTTTTTTCCAATCACATAAAGAGTAAAAACTCATGAAAAGACTTCGGCCAAAGTGAATACATATACAATTGGGGCAGGTGAGTCTAACATCAGCCTCCCACATTCAAACCCTTTGTCTTACCTAATGAGCTATCCCTCCACTCGTTCGCCAGTGCTGAACTTTGGCGTAAACTTCACATCAACAATAAAAAAACCAACAACACACATTTAGAAGAAATATAGAAATATATTAATACTGAATGAAAAAAAAAGAAGATTAATTGTGACATGCAAGTAATACTACCAATACAGATATTTTTTGGTTGATTCATTTGTGATCTGTATTTTAATCTTGGGATATTTACTAGGGATGTAACAATAAACAAAATATTGTAAGTCTCTTGCTTAAATTAACTGTAATGGCACAGGAGTACCTGAAAATTGAGGGAACTACATAGACCATGATCCTTTGCTCTGTTTCAATGCATACTACATGAAGAAATAATGTTATAAGCCCTTTGAAATCTTAATTATTTGGATTATGACAGAACCAAAGGCTTGTTAAGGCATTTTAAAAGTAAAAAGTAGCATTGCAATATTGTGAAAATATCGTATCAAGTCATTTTGATATTGTTGCATCCCTAGTTAAATTTCTAATGACTTACAGGCCCAATTCCTATTCATTCATAGAATCCATAGTACACATGTTTGCGTATCTAAACCCTGTCTACACTGCTACACAGTCTTCTGAAATGCTAGCAGGCTGCACTTAGTAGCGCTCAGGTAAACCAATGCTTCCACATTGTATGCAGCAGAGACATGTGCGCCATCACAGGTGCCACTGGACAAAGGGCCATACTACACCTCACGTTTCTCTCACGTTTCTCCCCCCGAGATCAATCAGTAAACCTGCACACTCACCCACATGGCCTCCTGAAACCTTTTCATCCCAAGAGCCACAGAAGCCAAGACCTATAGAGCCTTCTCCTTTACCCTGACGCATCCAGATCACTTTCTCCTCCTTTGTCATTAATGTTACACTGATTAAGTCCCCTTCATTGAAACAGGGAGCGTGCGATTACATGCACACACAGTTACGCATGTTTTAGAGTGCATTGCTTTTGTGATCTACAAGTGAGCCAGATCCGCTGCTCCATGTTAAATGTTTTTAGAAAATATTTTTAATGGAGTAATGTCATATCATACTCTGGAACAAAATGTCTGGCAGTTTTAGTACAGAGGCCTGAAGTGCTCAGTGAATCTTGAGCTTTATTCCCTTTAACAATGTTGTAAAATTGTACTGCAAAAAGACAGTTTTAAGCATATATGTTGCCCAGTCGTAGGGAGCACCATGTCCATTGTTGCCTTTTAGATTTTTTTTCTAAATAAAACAATTGGGATGCACAATTCACAAGGAGATATAGTATGGTCCAACTATATGAGCTGTGTTATAATGGCTTTGTTTTATCATTAGTTTACACAGATTTGTATTTTTCACTCATATTTGACGCACCTATCCTGCTGTACTTCCTTATAGTTCTTTGAAAGAGTTAGATTCTGGCCAGCAAAAGAGAATAAGTTCTGCTATTTTGAATAGAAGTCAATTGACCCCATTTCTGCTACTGGGTAATAACACAACAGAATATAAAATATTTATCTACATATGCTTTTTTATGGTATTTAGTATTAATAATATGTCTTTAAAGGTAAAGTTAAGGTACTAGTAAAATTGTATTGTGTTATATATCAATCTTCTACTTCTCTCTATAACCTGTGCCTTTTTTAGACTTTGGGGGTGAAGTGGTCACAGCTTGAACAACAGCACTGACATAAACACAGACCGTAATATTTACTCATCACTCCAGTTAACTCAACAAAGAGAAGTTCTGTTTATTATTTCAATACAGTAAGCTTATTTTTAAAAAATTGTTTATTCATTTAATTTGCGATAGACTGTTGAGCCCGGATGTGTGGGTTGTGCATAGCATAGTATTGAGCAGTCTCCTGTGTGGCTGTGGGAGACTGAGCCTGTTTTGTTTTCATTGACTGCCCCAGCCCTTTGTGTGCCGGCCCGCTGGCTGCCGCTGCACATTAGGTTAACATTTTGCTGTTTAAACTGGAGAGAAAAAACAGCAGCATTCAGTTGGAAATATGGGTTAGTGTTTTGTTGTCTTTCCACTGGACCTGTTACTCTTTAGGTTGCTTCACTGTCCCGTTTGGAGGGGAATCGTTAACTCTGTCTTGATAATAAATCGTAAGCTTTTTGTCTCTCTTCCAAGCATTGTGTCACTATTTCCAGTTGATCTCCAGTGTTATCTTTTCAGATCTCTCAGTTTATCTTTTCAGATTACATATTTTGTATTTTATTAGTATTTTTTAGGCCTACACTGAATATTGCATAATTGCTGTCACCGTCTGGGTCCCTGCCGAAGCTGAGAATACTGCTCCTTCTAAGATGACAGGGCTGCCCGCTGGGCAGAGTGTCTCTGGTAATGGAAACCCTAGGATCTGTCTGCTGTTGTCAGTGCGTCTAACCTCAGTTCATCATGGTCACCTCCAGACCCTTGCAGCCTGACTCTGCTTGTGTGTACCTTTACTGTAGTGCTATTGCTATTTAACATAAGAATGGAGGAAAGTAAAGTTGTAAGGAAATATTCAGTAGAATTAAACACATTGAGCAATGAGAGATGTCAAGTGGATACTGTACCTCAGGGTTAACCTGACAAGGCAAGAGGAGACCTGCTGACCTCTGTAACCACCCCGCGACCTTGACAGGGCCCAGTGAGGTCCAGATATCATGCGGTTTTTAATACTACTATCAGTCTCAGCAAAGGCCTGTTGGGGTCACATCCTGCAGAGCTTAGTTTGTTATGTTGTTCTGTGGTTAGCTAAATGCATTGATACCAAAGCTTAAGTATCAGGTCTAATATGACAATTCTCTTGATTTAACAGTTTTTCATGTTTTTAAAGTACACATATTTTAATGGATCATTTAGTATTTGCACATATGAAATGTGCAGTGTGATTCCCTGTCTGCAGCAGGATAAAGAGTCAATATTCAGAGACAGTGTTTGAAAGTAGATTGCTGGAGGAGCTGGACTGTGTGGCAGTGTGCCCACCGCGCTGTAAGCTAAGCCTGTGTTTAGCCAAGCTTGCACTGCTGCTGTTCAGATTGATGCTAATGTTGACCTGGTGGACACAGAGCAAGCAGAGACTGTATGAGACTAGGTAGGGTTAGCTTTCACCTTCCATATCTCCTACTTGACCAGGCAAAAACCAATTACAAAGTGCAGGGGACTGATTGAGACATTGAGACGTATCACACTTTTTTTTTTTTTCATTAATTGCACTGTCGGTGTTGCATGCAAATTATTGATCATTATTTTAGTGGCCCTTTTTTCATTAAAAAAGTGACATTTTTATTTTTGATTTATAACATATTCTCCTGTTAACATTAATGGCTATCAAAATAGACAGTTTTTCCAATTAACTCTTACAGTTTTATTTGGATATTCATCTAGTTTAGGTAACATATCCAAATGAAATTCAAGAATCAACAGGATTTGTGCATCTATTAGATTTCACTGTTACAGCAGGAAGTATAGTACTTATATGACTGTACAATACACATTAACGCAGTTAATGTCAGGAGCTCTGTAGTTATATTATTCTATTGAAATACCATTGGCACCTTTTGTCGACCAAAATCTTCTGCAGCTCCTCATAACCAATGCTCACAGCACACTCATCCTTTTGTTTTGTGTCATGCATAATGTATAACTCAAATGAAGCTGCAGTGATAGTGATCTAAAAGTGTGTATTGATCTGGATGTCTGTGAGTAAAAGTTGCCTCTAGTTTAATGTTGGTTTTGTGGACTTGGCCTGAACACAAATTGTTTGTAAAACCTGCTACATCTGCATAGTTTAGAGCAGATTGCATAAAAGGTGTAGAGCACATTAGTGGTTTGACCCATTGCCTATCTGCCCGTGCATCTGTCTGCCATGGCCACTGGGATTATCTTTCACTCTGATTCAGCTTCACTGACAAGTGCACATCACGGTGCCAACGCTAGTGTTACTTATTAAAAGGATGTATCTTCTTGCTTTCTTTACTTGCTGCAAACAGAAAGATGGACTTTGACTTCCTGGCTGAATGTGGGTGGAAGTGGTAATTAATTGGTTCGACTACCAACGGAAATCAAGAGTGTGATTTACTTGTCTTTTCTTACACAAAGGTGACTCTGCTGGCCGTGGATTACAGAACTTGACTTCACCGCAGCATATTTGGAGTTTGGTTTAACTGTGTGGAAATACATTAGAATTTCATTACTTATTACGTGAATGATGATTTGATTGCACATTTATATATTATAATCACGTGAAATGTCACTCCACTCACAAATGGCATGTTTTCACATTGGGCTTTATCCTTTAAGTACACTGTACATCTTCTCAGATGACCTCTGCACAGGACACTGGTCTCAAAACGGGACAGTATTTTTCAGATTAAGAGCAACCCAAGATCTAATTGTCTACCTGTGAAATTGATACTTAACTGTTAATGGTTTAATTGTGCATTGGAGTTACCATACTGGAAAGGTGATATTGGTTGATCTAAAAGCAGGTTTATGTTAAAGCTTGCTATGAATGCACACTGCACATTGCACATCTTCACTCTAATTCCACAGCGGAAATAATTAATTACAAAAAGAGGCATGGTTCCTAAGTGCTTTCTTCGAAAGTGTTCATGTAAGTACCACTGAGAAATACAGTAGCTGTATAAATGATAATGTAAATGTATTGCGCTAGACTACATCACCCCTTATCCCAACTACAGGGTACAAGCAGGAAACCGTAACCTGTTAAAGGTGTTAACTCCCTTTTTTGCTGGCACTCCTATCAGGGTAAGCCTATCCCAGGCAATCACTTATCTGTGGTGCTGACAGATCGTGGCTGTGTCACAGACAGTAATAGGAGAAGAGCTGTCAGCCAGCTCACTGTTCGTATGCGCTAAGTGGCAATAGAGACCACAGTCCCATCAACACCTAAGCCCCTCCCACCTGTGAGCCTGCGCAGTGAAGGGCGCCCTGCTCAAAGCACCCAGCTCAAAGACCTCAGTGTGTTTCAAACAGTGTGTGGAGTGTGAAGTGTGGTGCATTTTATAAGATGCAAGAAAAAAATGAAGAGAAACAATAAAGGGGTTTTACTAAGAGACAGACTTTAAAATAATGTCCTCCTCTGTTTATTCCATCTGGTTATTCTTCTAAGTGGATAGTGCGCTGTCAGTTCATCTTGTTTAAATGATGTTTTGTGTCTAGGAGCCATTAAGGAGGAAATATCCTATAACTATATTTAGATGAATGCATTAATGAATAATGTATTCCTCCACTCTTCCACCACAGACTTTTGATTTGCCTCTACATGTTTGTTTTCCTCTCAGGCTTTAATCCTGTGGTTCCATCTTGCTGTTGACCATATTATGCTGTTTAATGTGCATATTCATATTTTAGATAAATAGATAGATATTAACAATGCATCCCTAAAACAGTCATGTTGATGCTATTATCTCTTTACTAAGACCAAGTAAGTTATTTTTGGTGCTGCCATCCTCTTAGAGCAGCCTGGTGTAACATGGCCCGCTGTCTGAGGCCGTGGTAACCATAGCAGACCTTGGAAAGTGAAATGCGACACTGTGGACCTCTGGGCTGTGTTTCTGAATCACAACTCCATAATGAGCTGGCAGAGCTCAGGCACCATCAAAGATGCAGCACCGAGTATCTGTTTCAGTCCACAATGTACAACAGTGGAGTGTCACCTGTACAGAGGAGTGGAGGTGATGGGTTCTGAGAGAGAGGACCCAGAGCTTTCATTGAACTGCAGTGCACTGGAGCATGACACAGCCCACCTGCTCACGGGACCCCACAACAACAACAACAAATCCATATCTTTCGATCTATTCTTTATTGACTCTGGCTAATTACATGCAACTATTTTATAGAACTAGTAATCAGACTTAAACACTGATTTCATGAAATGAATAATGAACTCTTGCAGGCTGACAGCTGACACCCCTACACACACTTCTTGAGTTTTGGAAGTAAAACTCACATATTTTTCCCCATAAACTTTGAAACTGTAATAATATTCAGTGAAGATGAGACAAGATAAATCAGCAATAGATGAATTTCCTTTCATTGGGATAATATCCGTTTGGAGTTTAATTAACCAGAACCAGAAGCCACAAGACGAGACACAAGATTCGGTGAATGAGATTTTGACATGATTTATAAGCTCCATTTTCATTTTTCAAAAAGTTTATGGGGAAAATGAATGGTTAATTTACTTCTAGAATGATGTTGATGTCGTTTATGCTTTGCTGGTTTAACATGGTGCCTCATTTGTGTTGCTTCCAGGAATCTCTTCCCAGTGTCTGACCGCTCACTCTGCACTGATCACCATGAGATTCTTCATCGGCCTTCTCTGCCTCCTCTTCCTCCTCCCTCTCCCCTGCACCTCCATGAAGCCACAGATTGTGGAGAGAGCCTCTGGTCCCCCACAGTCTCAGCCTTTGGGGAACACTTCAGGCCCAGGCAAACGGAACTGCGCTGGCAAAGTGGTGTGTAAACCTGGGATCCTGCTCCCTGTTTGGATGCCACTCAACCCTCCAGTGGGGGAGCAGGCAGGGAGGGCTATAGTTTACTTCCTCAGTCTCATGTACATCTTCCTGGGTGTATCCATTATTGCGGACCGCTTTATGGCTTCTATAGAAGTCATCACCTCTCAGGTATACAATTGAATTTATCTGTCATTTTTGCATGATTTTATTTTAAATGAGTACTATTTAACCTTTCTGATGATTGTTTGCCATCTGTTTGTCTGATTTATAATTATAACTATACTTTTTTTTTTATAATCATCCGTGATTGATTTCTAAAGAAAAGCATGCATGCCTCTCCCACATATCTGACCTGTAACATGGCTTGATTGTATCACAACATTCTCTCCATGAAACAAAAAAAATAAAATTTAATGCTATACTATGGAACATTCCAGGCAAAACAATAACATTTCCAGACAAGCAGGTGGCATGACCTCCACCAGAAAAGTTACGTAATGCAGCTTTAAAAGTCCTCATATACTGTACGTAACAAATATTTTATAGGAAAAGGAGGTGACTATTACAAAACCCAATGGGGAAACTACAGTCACTACAGTGCGCATTTGGAACGAGACTGTGTCCAACCTCACATTAATGGCTCTGGGCTCGTCTGCACCAGAGATCCTGCTGTCTGTCATTGAGGTAGGAGGAGTGCTGAGTAAATGATGTAGTTGTTATTACTTGTTACCACATCTTAATTAGCCTTGATAAAGCATGAAGACTCAATTCATAATGAACAGTTTATTAGGAATGACTGAGGCTTAGTAACTACTTAATCAATACCCCAAACCTACTAAGCCTTATCAGTAACCATGTGTGTATCATTTTGTTGTTGTACTGTTTCTTAAGACCACATTGTTAAAGGTCCTATATTACACTCAATGGATTCTTATGAGATTTTAGTCATGTTATAATGTTGTAACCCAGGGGTGTCAAACTAATTTTGGTCCAGGGGCCGTATCCAACCTACTTTAATCCCAAAGGGATTAAAGTAGCATATATAGAAAGCATATATAGAAAGCATATATATCCCAAAAAAAGTGATAAGTTCAAATATTTGTGCAGAGAAATGCAAATCTATTACAGAAATCTTTATTAATTGATGAACTCTTTCTTTTACAAAATATTATAATATTATGAACAACCTGAAACTTTAAGAAAAATGCAATTTCAACACAATGTTTTAACTTTAACTTGTATGTAAATAGGAATAAGTCAATTTTTCTTGGAAAATCCTGTACTCTGTGTCCATTTTTCTCATTTTTGACATTTTGCTGATGAGGGTGTCAGGGTCAACTGTCAAAACGATTGTCCTTTAAGAGCGTTTGGAAAGAGACAAGTCTTCATTTGTGCTGCTCTGGTGGGAGGGGCCACGCACAGAGGCGCTGGAGACGCTGCTATGCTAAACGGCACAAAAAATTACCAATATTTTAATAGAAAATATAATTAAAATATTCTAGTAGAAAATCAGACAATGGCCAGAGTAAAGGTCTTGGTGGGCCGAATCCGGTCCCCAGGCCTTATGTTTGACACCCCTGTCTCATCAAAACAATGTGTCTGAGTAACATGTTTGAGTAATCTTTTATTATTAGTCTGTGTCTACTTCGCCAAAGCTCAAAATGCTCAGTTCCACCTTCTGATGTCATGAAGAGGTAGTTTTCCTTTTACCTTTTGTTCAGTGGAGAGCGGCAATTCCAGGGCTGAAATTGTCCATATTATTCTAGGTGTATGGAATTTATAAACACAGTTGAGAGATTCTTGTATTGCCACATGACATCACAAAGTGGAACAGTGCGTTTTCCGTTTGAGAGAAGAACTCAGCGTAAGTATGCAGGATTTGTGTGTTAAACATGTGTGAATGAAAAAAAAACACAACTCCAGATATATTTTCGTTTAGCAAACATCATTATAACTTAGATTAGACAATACCATAGAGATGGGAGAAAACATGTTGATAAAATGTTGCATTATGTGGCAGTAGGTAGAAGAATATAAAATGCACTGTTGAATACATTTAATAACTCACCAGAAATTAGTTACTGAGCCTGAATAATTTAAAATTAAATATTCTTCATGCTTTATTAAAGCTGTAGTAGTGTAGTTATTATAAAGTATTTATATATTATTTAAACATTTAATTTAAGATCTGCAAAATTAATGTTGCTTTCTTGTTTCTTAGGTGTGTGGGCATAACTTTGATGCAGGAGAGCTCGGGCCTGGCACCATAGTCGGCAGTGCAGCCTTTAATATGTTTGTGATTATTGGTATTTGTGTGTGGGTGATCCCAGTTGGAGAATCTCGCAAAATTAAGCACCTACGTGTGTTTTTTATCACGTCTTTTTGGAGTATCTTTGCATATATTTGGCTTTATCTCATTCTGGCTGTCATCTCACCTGGGATTGTAGAGGTATGTGTTTCCAGGTTAACAGGTTGTAATGTTGTTCTAATTATTATTTGGTTTAGTGGGATAGTGCCTTTAGTAAATACTTGTCATACTTTTATCAGTTAAGTGAAAAAAGTTGTAAAGTAAAGTAAAGTAAAATACAGGAAGAAGTAGCGTTTTAAAAAGGAATACATTTTAATCAAATTTAACCCAACATTTTTGAGCAAGGAACAATTGATTTCACAAAACGTAGGCAAAAGAATCAATTTATTTTTAGTAGACTAATCATAACTATTATGTCATTTGGACAAGTTCCCTTGTTAACATTAAGGCTGCTAGATAACAGGTATTGAATTACCTCTACATATGTCATATCTGCTGCTCGTGTCTAACCATGAAATATAATGCTAAATTTCACCAAAATAAAAATATAAACTAGACAAAACTAGACAAGATTTTCAATAAAACCCAAATATAATGATGCTAACCATGTTTTAATGAAATAGTGAGTGAAAGAGTAGTTAAACCTGTCCTATGCACTTTAAACTGTAATCTCTAATCCACTAATGATTGTCTTGTATTCTGCAGGTCTGGGAGGCCATAGTTACACTGTGTTACTTCCCCGTGTGTGTGATCTTGGCGTGGATTGCCGACCGTAGACTACTTTTTTACAAATACATGCATAAACGTTACCGCGCCGACAAGCGACATGGCATTGTAGTGGAAATGGAGGGCGATTTGGCACCCAAAGGTGTTGATGTGATCATGGATGGAAAATTCTGTGACCCTGGAAACTCCTCCAGTGTGACAGTCTCTGTGCAGACAGGAAATGAATTAGATCAGAACAAAGATGAGGTAAATGCATGACTTGGAAAACCACATTTTATATTTGATCTGCTGGTCAGCATAATTTGATCTACTGGTCAGCATGATTTCTAGATTTTAATTTAACTTTTAGTTTTGAGAATATATTATGTAGACAGGCTTACAATTTAACATTCAGTAAAGGATTTGATTCAACACACTATTATTTTCCATAAACTTGAGACCTAAAAACTACCACACACAGCCCATAAATGATACTTGTAAAGTTCTATATTTGAAATGAAGGAAATATTAGACTTGAATGTGCCCCAGGACGGGTTTGAATGGCAAAAGTCTAGACACCCGCTATCTTAATAGTCTCTAGACAAATCTGTAGGATATTTCATGATACTAATGAAAACATATAAGATAATACAACACAATATTTATAATGTAGCCTACTTTTGATTCTGGATTCTTGTTGGCAGGTAGTCCGAATCCTGAAGGACTTGAAGGAGAAACACCCTGACAAAGACATAGATCAGTTAATTGAAATGGCCAACTACTCGGCTCTGGTTCATCAGAAGAAGAGCCGTGCCTTCTACCGCGTGCAGGCCACTCGCATGATGATCGGTGCGGGGAACATTCTAAGGAAACACGCGGCAGACCACGCGCGGCGCAATGCTGCAGCCACAGAGGCCGACCTGGCCACATGCTCACACATCTGCTTTGAGAATGCCCAATACCAGTGCACAGAGAACTGTGGACAGCTCAGCCTCTGGGTGGTCCTGGAAGGAGGCACTGGACAGAACACCTTCCTTGTTGATTATTGCACTGAAAATGGCTCTGCAAATGCTGGGGCCGACTATGAGTTTGCTGAAGGCACCCTCCTGTTTAAACCAGGGGAAACCCGAAAAGAGATCAAGGTAGAGAGTCATATTGTATAAATATGCTGCATACTAATTTTCCCCAACATTATTTACATGATTGTGGATATAAAATATGTTCATCTGTGTACCTACAGGTGGGAATACTAGATGATGACATCTTTGAGGAGGATGAGCACTTCTTTGTGCGTCTCCAGAACCTGCGCTTAGACGACGGGGGCTCAGAGGGTTTAGGGTCTCCTCCAAAGGGTCGCCTGGCAGAGCCTCACGTGGCAACCATCACCATCTTAGATGATGACCACGCTGGCATCTTCAGCTTTGGGCAGCAGGTGCTGAGGGTCAGTGAGAGCACAGGGATCCTCACAGTGACTGTAGCCAGAAACTCTGGCTCCAGGGGGACTGTGTCTGTGCCCTTCCACACAGAGGACGGTACAGCGAAGGCCGGAGTGGACTACGAGGAGACCAAAGGAGAACTGGAGTTCCCCAATGAACAGACCACGTGAGTCCTGTCAGATTTGTGTGAAGTTATGGTTTTCTTGTTAGTCATTTACATTAAATTGATCAAATTTCAATTACCATTATGATAGTGATAGATTATCATTATTGCCCTAATTGATTGTAATTTAGATGATTAACTTTTAAGTGCAGTCAGTGTGCACATACATGTTACATTTCTATTTGTAGAGTACTGTCTGTATTTCAGTGAGGGGTACATCACCTTCCATTCATCTGTTTGTTCTTTTCAATTTAGGTGCACAGGGGCCCCACCTTTTCTCTAAGCAAATAATATTTTAAATAATTGTTATTATTTTTTTCCATAAACATACAGCCCTGTGTATAGGGGGTGCATCATGGGGCAGCTCTGGCCTCCCTTGAATATATGAGAGCTTTTTGTCAGCAGGTGAATTAGCTGCTGACTTGACTCTAAGATAATCCCCCTTTGTGGTCAGGTGTGGGAACCACTGGCCCACATGGATTCTGTCAGATCCTTTTACCATTAAAATTTCAGCTCATATAAGGTGTGTGTGTGTACATGGACTAATTGTGCACTTAAGGAAATGTCTGTTATGTAACAGGTCAGACCTTTCCTGTTTTTTATGTTGCTTTCTAGATATTAAAACAAGTGTGTTGCACTCAATTGTTTTAAGAATTTATAAGGGACATTTTCTATTTATTGATTAGATTTTTATTGAATATGCTCATAATAATTAGTGGCATCGCCATACAACATTCACAAACCTGGTTAAATAGTCCAATTATTTTAACTGAACATGCTGATAAGAAGAGGAGCCAAATGTTTAGTACTGAATTATTTAAATCTCATGAATTATTTAGGTCACTGTTGCTGTTTCTTGTAGCACTTAATGCCATGTTTGCTGTCTAAATACAAATCAGTGTGTAAATGCTTGTTTGTTTTTTCATGCTTGCATATTTCCAGTCAAACACTTCAGGTGCACATCATAAATGTGTCCGAGTACGAGAAGCAGGAAAACTTTTTCATTGTGTTGGAGGAACCCAAATGGCTGAAACGTGGTATTTCGGGTGAGTTCATGCATAATTCAAGTTTTAGATCATATAGATAATATGTATTTATAATAGATGTGTCATAGCATGTTAAGTAATGAGGGTGTCTTTACACTAGCATAGTACAGAACTGCGCACGACAGGTACAGTAGGTGGCTTAAGATCAAGTATCAAAACAATAACTCCAGTAACACAGCAACACATGAGCCCCAAGTGTAACACAAGATTTGACTCCTCCCTCTGTTGGCCCCGTCACTTTATTGCTTTAGTATGGCCCTTAGTATTTATCATTAAAGAAACTGTAAGTAAATTGTTATTATTTTTTTTAATTAATATCATTATATCGTTATATCATTATGAGGTATGTATAAACCAAAACATGGTATATACTCAGTCCACAACGCCTGAAACTATCTAAACCAAACAGTAACATAAGATGAAGTAGTAGGCTACTCACTACTACACTATATTTTTCATGGTATAATTCTCTTTAACTTAATACTTATCACTTGAAATAAAAGGAATAAGTACATGTTAACTTAAAAACTGTAAATTGTATTTTGTATTTTGTATTTGTTCATAGCCTTGCTGCTGAACCAGGGTAAGAAAGTATGATTTTGCTACAACACACTGCTGACTGTTGCATGGATTTCTTCTCTACTACTCTACTACTAAAACACTTCATTTGTAATTTGAAGAAATATGTTTTCTTTGGTTTGTTCTTTTGGTTTGATGTGTATTCAAATAGCATTCAGAAGAGACTCTGCTACTAAATGCTGTATTGTGTATTTAACATCAGACATTGCATAACTACATGAGCATGCTGTCTTGGCAATAACAGTACCTTTGCTTGTTTGTTCACATTATCTCTCCTTGTCTTACTTCAGTTGGATTTACAGAATATTTCAAACTGTCTGTTGACAGGTAACCCAACCCCTGAAGAGGAAGAGGCCAGGAGGATTTCTGAAATGGGCAAACCCATTTTAGGAGAGCATAGTAGACTTGAAATTATCATCGAGGAGTCTTGTGAATTTAAGGTATTTGTGGTGTTCATTATTAAAATGTTTTTAATGATTTCTGGGTATAAATATGTAAAATGTATGCATCTAAAACATGTGTTTGTTTGGTTTGTAATCATTTTGCATCAGACTCCAAACGGAGTAATAGACCAGGTAACAGTGTTTGGAATGCTGTGTGTGCATGTTACGTCTGCTACTTCTGCCTTACTTCGCTGCAAACTGTTTTCAGAGAATTCAATTAGACATGGCTAGAGGATTGATAAGGATTTCCATAATGCATTTACGAGGTCTCTGTTTCAACAGAACACTGTGGATAAACTTATAAAAGACACTAATCTAGCAGATGTGCTTGGGACGCATTCTTGGAGAGAGCAGTTCATTGAAGCAGTAACTGTCAGTGCAGGTTGGTATGATTAATAGTTATATTAATTAGTAATCATATTCGTCTTTTTTTTATTCAAAACTAAACAAACCCATGTTTTGCTTTTAATAGGGGATGAAGAGGAAGGAGAGGAGCAGCGAGTGCCGTCCTGCTTTGATTATTTCATGCACATTTTGTGTCTTTTTTGGAAGATTCTGTTTGCTTTTGTTCCTCCAACTGAATACTGGAATGGTTGGGCGTGCTTCATCGTGTCCATCAGTGTCATTGGTTTATTAACAGCCATTATCGGAGACTTGGCCTCTCATTTTGGATGCACTGTAGGCCTCAGGGACAGTGTCACTGCAGTGGTGTTTGTTGCTTTGGGGACCTCACTTCCTGGTGAGTTTCTACTGTTTGGAATGAACAGATATTTACGACATAGCTTTGTATTACTTATGATGTTTTCTCCTAGATACATTTGCCAGTAAAGTAGCGGCCACTCAAGACCAGTATGCTGATGCTTCGGTGGGAAACGTGACTGGAAGTAATGCCGTTAATGTGTTCTTGGGAATCGGAGTGGCCTGGTCTATAGCAGCTGTATACTGGGAGATCAAGGGGAAGGCCTTTTATGTGGATCCTGGCTCCCTCGCCTTCTCTGTCACATTATTCACTATCTTTGCATTCTTCAGTATGGGACTGTTGATGTTACGCCGCAGGCCATCCATAGGTGGCGAACTAGGAGGACCTAAGATTCCCAAAATCCTCACAACACTACTTTTGTTTGGATTGTGGTTCTTGTATGTTCTCTTCTCCAGCTTGGAGGCCTACTGCCATATTCAAGGCTTCTGAGGAAACACAGTTGAGTACTGTAACTGTCGACGGACACTGATACACATGTGCAGGACATTAATGTAACCTGCCTAAACTGTCAGTGGAGAAGAAATCTAACGCTTCAAATGCTGCCATGGTTTTCTTAAAGAGACATGCATGTCTGCACTGCAGGCGAGCTCAAGTCAGCTGGAGAATGTAATGTTTTTATACAGTCTGTCCATCTACTGAATGCTATTGTGTCACAGGAAACAAGCAACATTATAAAGACAATTACAGGTGCTAGTCAGTCAGTACCAAAACACTATAATGACATTGTTCTGTTAGCATTTGATTTTTTTAAAAGGCAACTACTATTTGTATGATTATTACACATACAGTAAAACATTATTTATTTCATCACACTTTAATGACAGTTATTAAATGTATAAATGATAATAAGAAATACAACAATTTTATAGATAATCAGTAAATATAACTGCTCTGTATTCATTTGAATCCCTTTGCATGTTTACCTCTATTTAGTATGTGATGGATTTGGTCTAATGGAAACCCTTGTCCCTGTAATTCATTGTTGCATCGGTGTCTGCTGTCTCCACAGTCATAGAACCTCAACTGGAATCAGGTTTGGAGCTTTGAGTCTGCCATTTTAAACAATAGCCATAATCCATCAGTAGCAAACGTTTTGCTAAATGATTAAATCAGAGGCATTTGTCAAAAGACTTGAGTGACATTGTACCACAGAAACACAATCATTGAGACAAATTGTGGGGAGTAGGTTTCCAGTTAGTTTAATTTTCAACTGTGAGGGCATGCTCATGCACACAAACAACAAATCAAATTAGGATTAAAGTAGAACTAAATCCAGAACTACACCAGGACTAAACCGAGCTCAAACAAGGACCAAACCAGGACAAGTGATTGAGTAAACTTTAAGTTTGAATAGAATTACCGACAGTAATTGAACAATTGCACCTTCACCTATTTTAAGCACCTGAATATGGAAGGCTGCAATGTACAATGAATGGCATAAAAATACAAACTTACCTCTTATTTATTACTTTATTTTTAAAGATTCACTTCATGTAGCTCTCCTGTATTTAAGACACAAATAGAAATGCCATTGCCCTAGTGTCCTCTATTTTTGGACAATTCTTAACTTTGTTATAGTATAATAATGTAATTTTGTGTAAGTGGGAAATTGACTAAAATATCTACAAGTAATCTGCTAAGATTACTGCACCTCAGTGTTATCTTCACAGCCCGTTGATCATTTACCCTATTGTGTATGAAAATATTTAAATGAAATTCTTTCCAGAAATCATGAAGTGTGAGAAGACAAAGTTCAAAGTCATGTTTATTGATGCTGTACTGTCTTTGTAAAAAAATGCACTGTATATTGTGGCAAGTATATAGATTTATTATATTCAGTTGTAAAGTATCAATACAATCAAATGTAAACTTACTGTGTCTTCTTTTGCACTTACGTATTTTTAACAGTTTTATGGTATTATAATTATGAATTGGACCTGGTCCGTGACTGTAACAATAAAACAATGAATGAACCCTGTCTAAAAGTTTAGAGATAGGCCTGTCATATTTAGGAAAACAATTCTACATCTAGACCAATTCTCTACAAAGTGAAGATATTTCTGGACACAGATTCTAAAGAAATCTGATTTATATTGGCACCACTTTCTGATCGTTATTGTGAAAAAAATTTATACAATGTCCCTTTATTTGTTTAACTGCCAGTTTTCTCATGTGGAAAGACCATATACGTTGTCAGAACTGGCCCAGTAATTACATAGATATTAACAATAAACAAGGTCAACAAATCTACAATAGGATAGCCAGATACTAAAATCTTGTAACGTGCGTTGTCAGCTTAACTGGAATGCTTAGTTCAAAACTTAAGGAGCAGAGGTGTTGTCAATTAACAGGGAAGCCAAGGTTAGAGTGCCAGAGCCTGCTGAAATGTGCCAAGTGTTTTTGTGGCGACTCATAAACATGAACAAAAGTAATAATGAGTTTTATGAATATTCAAAAAGTGTGTACATTAAAAAAGTAAAGTAGACTATATGCAGGCTATTATACTTTTAATCTATATTTGATCTATCTATCTATCTATCCATATTATCTCCTACAGGCCCTAATATTAATTAACTATTAATCAGCCATAATGAAACACAGTGGTTTCTGTTCTGGATTTTGATTTTGTTATGTACATTCTGTAGAAGGCAACCATTTGGACAAATTAGAGCAGATCTAGCTTAACATTTATGTTTAGAAACGTGCCCAAATTGGCCTCAATACGCTCAATATTACACTAATTGCAACATTCACATTTATGATCATATGTTTTATGGTACTATTAAATAAGTGGCAGCAGTCACATTGCTGAAACTTGATTAAAATGGAAAAGCTTGCACTCCAAATCAAATAATCACTTTCAATATTTGTTTAAAGTAAAAGTAGAATGTGTCTTTCAATTGCTTTCATTGAAAATCATCTAGTTGTCGTGTCAGCTGACAGTCTTATAAAATGTAGGTGCGGTGTGAAAATGACCAGAGTGCCATGAACGCAGCACCGGAGCAGAGCGGAGCACAGGACAACATGGCTGCCGCTGCAGGCCGACTCTACGGGGAAGGAGGCAGGGCAACGAAAAGACAGAAAACCGACGAAGGAGGGATGACAACGGTGAGATCTGCATTGCGTTCATGCATTAAAACGTATTCGTGTCTATTGTTGTTGTAAGAACGAGCCTTGGACCAGATGCATGTTTAAAGTTGTCGTGGAAATCAAGTGTCTTAACATTAGCAATTAGGCTATAGCTAACAGCATTGTTGGAGCTACTGCTGTTGACTTCGCATTATTACTTACTCTAAATATTACAAAATCAATTGTTTACTTGTGTATGCACGGATTCTCTTCTCCAAGAAAGTTTATTTCATTTCATTTTATTTATTTTGTGCATGTGTGTTTTCGATGGGCAAGTCATAGTAAAAAAAAAATTAAAAAAATGCGTGCTTAACTCATATTACTTTTCCATTGCTAACAAAATCGATACTGTTTTGTACCGTCTTCAGGAGGGCTACGATGACCCGCACAAACCCCTGCCCTCCCCGGTGGTGCACATCAGGGGCCTCGTGGACGGAGTGATGGAGGCGGACCTGATGGAAGCCCTGCAGGAGTTTGGCACTATCAGGTAACGCTACAGCAAGAGACTTTGGCAAAATATTATTATATATCTTTTGAGAGAGAAACGGGAAGCTGAAACCTATGAATGCCCTTCAAATATACAGCCTATGAGCACAGATACATTGTTATAATAATCCTTTCTTTATAGCAGAAGAAAATTTTAGTCAGTGAACTGGACAAATTCTTTGCCTGGTTGACTGAATGTACCGTACCTGGAAAACTGGGGGATTACACTTTTTTTTTCCCCCCTTCCTAGTTTTGCTGTCATGATGCCCAAGAAGCGACAGGCGTTGGTGGAATTCGAGGACATGAATGGCTCCTGTAACGCAGTCACATATGCTGCAGAGAACCAGGTGTATATAGCTGGTCACCCCGCGTTCATCAACTACTCTACCAGCCAAAAGATCTCCCGTCCAGGCGATTCTGATGATACCCGGAGTGTTAACAATGTGCTGCTGCTCACCATCATAAACCCCATCTATCCAATCACCACGGTACAAGACTCTCTATTTTGTATTATTGTGGAAACACAAGTGCCCTCTTGTTGACAGTGTTCAGATGTTGCCTTTTGCAGGATGTGCTGTACACAATATGCAACAACTGTGGTCCTGTCCAAAGGATTGTCATCTTTAGGAAGAATGGTGTTCAGTCCATGGTTGAATATCCTTCTCATTTGTTTTTTGGCCACTCAAATTATAGAAGTGTTTTTTCCTTTATTAACTTATTAAAGATGCACTGTGTAACTTTTAAAGTGGAAGGTCCACTACTTGCATGTCCCCCAAAAGATGAATGTCGAACAGTAGGGCATTAAATGTATCTCTCCTGCATTTATTCAACTTACAGGTGTTTTATAACTGCAGAATACCTTTAAAAATATGAATTATTACCATGTGCAGGCTTGGCTTCTCCATAGATTTGACCATTGACCTGCCTCCATTGTGATTACCAAGTTTATTTCCATACTGTGAAAGAATCAAGGTATTTCCATAGAGACAAGCAGGTGGCGGACCCTCACACAGTGCACCTTTTAAATTACCTCCTTAACATAAAGTTCCACATTTGACTCTGTCCAAAGTGCTCAGAGGGCTAAAGCATCTCTCAATGGAGCTGATATCTATTCTGGATGTTGTACTCTGAAGATCGAGTATGCTAAGGTATTCAGAAGATCATTGTTTTTTATTTGTTCTCTAATTGTATTCATTGTGTCTTTGAGTGTTTAAGAAAAAGCACTATATGAATAAAATGTATTATTATTATTAATAGTAATATTCTACCTGTCACTGTCCTAATCATGAAAACTGTCCACAGCCAACACGCCTCAATGTCTTCAAGAATGACCAGGACACTTGGGACTATACCAACCCCAATCTGAGCGGCCAAGGTAACACGCAGCTTCCCAGTAGAGCCCCCTTTTTCTTCTCCTCTTCTCTCATGACACTGTACGGGTTATAGGGCTCACCGTTCCTGGGGATATTGCCTTTGATCGCATTAATTAATTACACTGCTCTTGTAGCTGCTGTTTGATGTCAGAGGCAATATTCCTATTATCACAGTCTTCATGCTTAAAGTAAGGGCAGGAGGAGCCACCCTAAGTTATTTGCAGCCAAGTATCAAACTAATGCATGTAAGAACCTTTTGAATGCACCACCGTTACACGTAGATTCACCTTCCTGATAGAGCATGTCACGGCCGAGCCACAGTCACTGTAAACTAAAGCACTTTTGGCTTTCTTTCAAACATGGTGGAGATTTAGACGATTAGAATTTGCACCCTCTTTAGGAGAGTCGGATGGCACAAAACACACAGCCAGGTTTGGCCAGTCAATGGCTAAGTCTGTCTACATCATCATGTACTGTAGCTTTTTTTTTTTTTTTTTTACGTGAAATTGGTATAGGACAGTTCTGTAATGAATGACTTGATTTGTCTAACAGTTTTATTCCAAAGATTCTTTTACAATTCAGTCTGTTAAACTTGGCTGGCTTAGATACCACTGGTACTCCTTTTGTCCTCACTTTGCAAAACCTATACAGGCTTACCTCAACCTGCAGGCAGACACATGCTGTCAAAGACACACTGCCTTCTACCGCGTTCTACAGCATCACTGCACCTACAGCTACAACAAACCCAAACCTCGTCAAAACATCGGACACAGTGGGGCAGCAGACACTGGAACACATCCTCAACTCAGTACCTGGGTATTCAAGTGCATCATCACTCCAGCATGTGGCAAGGAAAGTCATTTCCTGACGGACAGTAGCTGTCATTTCAGAGACAAATACTTTCATATACAACACAGAGCAAACTCTAAGCTAAAGCCACCTTCCACCACCTCTGAGGAATCACAACACACTGATGATGGGCGGGAGTCAGGTGTGTGGTCTTTGTGACCATGCCTCCTAGCCTTTGGGAAGTGACTGCCTTAACACAGCCACAGGAAGCAACAAAGGACATTTCAAACACACTGTTGTCCAGGCAACAGACGTGGACACATACGCTCTCAATACAGCTCTCCTCCTGCCTCCAGTGCCGAACACAACATGAGAAACTACATGCATAGAGCTGAGCTCTACTGCACATCCACACGCAGATATTCCAGATGTCTTACTCCTCTGCACTAGACTCCTTTTTCACTTTGCACTAAAATGTAAGCACTACGTCCATGAGAGGCCAGTGTTACACAAAGAAGAAACATCCACAGGGGGGCCTATGAAGAGACACGAGCCAAGCATACAGCACAGACTCAAACAGATCAGATATGTTTCCCAAAGCTCCCTCTTATGGACTCTCTTCTATTCTGTATTTCCTGTCCCCTTTCTCCACCTCCCTCCTCTGTGCTTTTCTTGTGTTGTTCTTGTTTCATTTTCCCTTTTTGCACTGGCCCATAGTGATGCCTTAACACCTCCCGTGTGATGCAGGTTTGGCTCAGTGTTTCTGTGGACAGACAGCCCGCTCTCTAAACGGTGCAAATGTCCTGCTAAGTGGTCAGAGCATGGTAAGATGGAAACTTTGAAAACCCCAAGAAGAAAGTGAAAAGCAAGTATGAACTTGTGGTCAGACTATGCTATCTGGTGGTGAGAAAGCAAGAAAAGACGACAAATTTGAAGCAAGAGAATGAGTTGAAGATCCAGTGAAAAGGTTGGCTGGAGGCATCCTTGCAGAAGACTGCCCCCTGCCTGCCCACTGTGTCCTGTGCTTCATGTGTGGTGCTGTAAGTATTTCTGAGACATGACACAAAACTGCACAGCCACATCCAAACGCATTCTGAATGATTGGGTTGTCACTTATTGTCATGTAATCTTTTTTGGAACTCCGGCGTAGGGTAGTTTTTCAAATGTTTTAACAGTATAATAAATATGCTCCAATGAAAAAAAAACTGATGAATTTAACTGGTTTTATTTAAATAAAACCTCTGCCTGGTAGTGACCTATCTGCTTATAATGCAAAGCATTGTGTGTAGTTCAATATAGGACAGTTTGTCTGTTTTGGTTTTGACATGTGTATGTGTACCGTCCTGCACAGATGCTGATGGTGAAGGCAATTGGAACAATTCACAAGGTGTGTGTGGAAATACAAAGATGGTACATAAATAAGATTTTGTATGAAAAGGTTGACTTCTGGTATATAAATCTCCATTATGTAACTGGAAGAAGGCAGACTAAATCCAATTTCATATTAGCCCCTGTTGCATGCCAATCAAAAACATGTTTTTTTTGTTTGTTTTTTTTCACTTATTTCATGTGAATGTTTTTAGGACCCTCTTTATCTTGACTGATAGGAATGGAAACAGAAATACAGTTTGATTGGCAATGTCTTTGTGGTTTTAGATCCTAACGCCAACCCTAACAAACGCCAGAGACAGCCAGCTCTCCTGGGAGATCATCCTCCAGATTATGGTAAAGCTTCCTCCTTAGTTAACGTAGAGTATGTGCATGTGTGAATTATACATTATATTTTGCTTTTAGGAGGTCCTCAAAGTGGTTATCATGGCTATGGTGATGATAGCTATGGGCCTCCCCCTCCTCACCGTATGGGTGCGGGCATGGGGAGCCGGGGCCGTGGAAGTCAGCGCTATGGTCCAGGGTATGGACCCCCGCCCCCTGAGTATGGACCCCATGCTGAATCACCAGTTCTCATGGTTTATGGCCTTGAATCAACTAAAATCAATGCAGACAAAGTTTTTAACATATTCTGTCTCTATGGCAACGTAGAAAGGGTGAGTCAGATTGAACACGTGAGATTGAGCCTGCGCTCTACCCCAACTCAAATGTTTCCTTTTGATTTTCTGTTGAAGGTCAAGTTCATGAAGAGTAAGCCTGGAGCTGCAATGGTGGAGATGGGAGACTGTTATGCAGTGGACAGAGCCATCACTCATCTCAACAACACCTTTCTTTTTGGACAGAAGCTCAATGTTTGGTACAAACTGCAAAACATGTTAGGGTCTACACACACAGACTGTGCAAATTGAAATCTAACTGAATGTATTTTTGTATGTTGACATTATAGTGTCTCAAAGCAGCAGGCAATTGTGCCAGGCCAGTGCTATCAGTTGGATGACAACACCAGCAGCTTCAAAGATTTCCATGGCTCACGCAACAATCGCTTCACATCTCCAGAGCAGGCAGCGAAAAACCGCATCCAGCACCCCAGCAATGTCCTGCACTTTTTTAACGCAGCACCAGATATTACTGAGGAGTTCTTCACACAGGTAAATTTAAATAATCACCAAAAAACACATTTTTAAAAATATACCCATTTCTTATCTGTCGGTATCGCACATTTTGTTTCTGACAGGTCTGTGAAGAGCTAGGGGTCAAAAGTCCCTCAAGTGTGAAAGTGTTTTCTGGTAAAAGTAAGTTTTGTAAAAGTTCATGTTCTAAAATGGGACATTCTTTATATTTCAAAAATTGTGCCAATTGAAAGTACCTTTTCCATTTTACCCAAATAGGTGAGCGGAGTTCATCTGGTTTGCTTGAGTGGGAATCAATCAATGATGCCATGGAAGCCCTTGCTTTGCTGAACCATTATCTCATGAAAAATTCAAGTAAGCCACCCTAAACCAAAATTATAATTTATTCAAATGCATTTGTCTTACTTTTAAATTTGATTCAGGTGGACCTTATCCCTATACACTGAAGCTCTGCTTCTCTACCACACATCATGCCAACTAAAGAATCGTCTCCAGACTCCTAACTATAATACTGTATTTGATTTTTGTGTTGAGTGTTGGACTGTTGCTTCCCACATGGCAATCTATCTACAAAGTTTAGGAATAACTGCTTTAATGTGTTTCCACAAGTTTTATATCATTCATGTACAATTTGAGTTTTTACAATTGTTCAGCGAAGTATTGCATTGTTATGTAAATTAACATGTAATGTGCACCCAAGTCTTGTATTTTTAAATAAAGTGGACAGTACCCTTATAGTTTCATGGATATTAATGCTATATACAAATTGTCTTGATTAATACTGCTGGTTTAGTTAATGTTTTTTTTCCTCTCAATAAAAATCTAAATCGCCATAAATTTAAAAAAAGATTGCTTTATGAAAAGAAAAGACTGGTTAAGTGTTGTATTAGATTAAGGTTATAGCTAGCCAAATGGATTTAAACTGACTATATAGAGATAGAGATAAGATAGATATACACACACATATACATACATATATGCATTCATACATACATAAACCACTTCTTGAAATTTAGTTATTAAACGTTTATCCGTAGGTCTGGAGCTTCAACCAATCATGAGAGGGCGCACTTACAGCCAGACCATGAACCAGACGCATGCTCAAATAAATAATGAAGTATTATTTATTTGCTTTAAATCGCTAGCCATGATTTGGCATTTGTGGTTTGATCAATGAGTGGAAAGAGGATCTATATACGATCATCTGTCATCTACATATATGTTTCTAATGTTACGTTCATCATGTTTTTTTTTTAAACTACAAATCCCACAATGCTGCGTGACCCGAGTGGCGTAGGTGTTTCCGGTGTCTTTTAACATTTTACTTCCTTCTACACAGACCGACACGAACAAACCAAAAAAGAAGACATCGTTAACTTTCCAATGCTGTTGTCAACACGCGTGTATTCTACTTCATTTTGCCCAGTTTCTTACCATAAACATTACAGAATGTGGTAAGTAGTGGCTACGTACCGAAGAATTGTTGGTAAAAGTAGACTCTAGCGCGAAGGCCTCCGAAGAAAGTTTGGTCGCGGCCCTGTAAACAACATGTCCTCCGCCTCGCAGTCTTCCTCTAGACGGCAGTGGTGCTACCTCTGCGACCTGCCCAAGATGCCATGGGCCATGCTGTGGGAGTTTAGCGAGGCTGTGTGCCGGGGCTGTGTCAACTACGACGGCGCGGACAGGATAGAGCTGCTGATTGAGACCGCGCGCCAGTTAAAAAGCTCACATGGTGTTTTAGACGGCAGGTCTCCCGGTCCACAACAGAGCAAACCCAGCTCCTCTGGACCCATTGAAGCGGGTAGGCAGCACGGGGAGCGCACAGACAGGGGGAGGGGGGACTACGGGACATCTTCACGTCTCCCCAACGGCCTCCATAGAGCAGAAGATGTGGCTTTGTCAGAGGGAAGCCGCCAGAGCCCAAATACTCGGCGGGCCATTGTTGGGACAATGCCGAGTCTCCACGGGGCTCTACCTGCTCATGCTCTCATAGCCCAGGGCCTGGTCGCTGCTCCTCATGGCCTATTAGCCCCCTTATCAGGTTCTAGAGCAGGGAGTGCTCCCATAGCTGTATCTGCGGGTCCTATAATGGGTGATGGTGCCAGAAGGCAGCCTGTGCCCCTGGGGGTCGGGGCTAGCACCTCTGCTATGGGTATAGATCCAGCCGTGTGGAGAAATAATGAAGTTATGGCTGAACTCAATGAGATTGCACGAAATCGTGTGGAAGGTTGGCCGAATCGTCCTAAAGCAGTGCGGGATGTACTTGTAGCACTCAACAGCTGTGTCCCGTTCACTGTGCGCTTTAGGAAAGATCACAACCTAATGGGCAAAGTCCTGGGCTTTGATTCCACATCCACTCCAGAGTTTGAGCTCAAAGTGTTTGTGGAGTACCCCTGTGGCTCTGGGATGGTCTTTTCTGGAGTGCCAGACCTGGTAAGGCAGATGTTTCGGGATTCAGCAAAGGATGCTGGGAAAGCAGTGAACTCTGGGCTGCGTTATGTGGAATATGAAAAGAGACACAACAGTGGGGATTGGCGCGGCTTATCTGAGCTCCTGAACGATGGTGTGCGTCTCTTCAAAGAGCCCCCTATTCCTGAAGTTTTGCCTCAGCCAGACCCAGTTCTTTCCATGGCCGCCACCGGACGCCCTGTGTCATCTAAAAGTGCTAGTCGGCGTCGCAAGGCCTCTCCGGGCTCAGAGAATGGTGAGAGTGAAGGGCGCCCAGAGCACTTGGGCAGAGAGGCCTGGCCCAGGGGAGGATACCCTGGCATGGATACCCATCCTCCTGACGGTCCCCCTCGCCTTCACAGCCAGCCTTCACCCATCTCAGCACTCATGGGAGTAGCAGACAGCCTGAGCTCCAGCCAGCTCGCCCGGGACAGTCCCAACATGTCTGCTGGGCACACCTCCTCAGTGGGTCGCCCCCCCAGCAGCAGCCCTTCCACAGCCTCCACGTCTGTGTCCCAGGCCGCTATGGGCCAAGGCTCCGCCTCTGGAGCTTCCAGTAACACTACAGCGGGCGAGTCGAGCAGTGGAGCCCAGCCCGCTCTGCTCTGCTGCACTCTGTGTCGAGAGCGCCTGGAGGACACACACTTTGTCCAGTGTCCCTCTGTGCCACACCATAAGTTCTGTTTCCCATGCACACGCGGATTCATCCGGAGCCAAGGCCAGGGCAACGAAGTGTACTGCCCCAGCGGAGAGCGCTGTCCCCTAGTGGGCTCCAACGTGCCCTGGGCATTCATGCAAGGAGAGATCTCCACCATCCTGGCAGCTGACGCAGATGTGACGGTTAAAAAGGAGAGTGACCCTTGACGTGTGGTCACTGGTAAGAGCCATGTATATTTACACTGCTACAATGTTTGTTAATGGTTGGCTATTTGCACATTGCCTAAAAATGCCTGTTTTACAGCGGAGCGTAAACTGAAAGCACTTCCCATATCGTCAAGCAGAGGTGCGCTGTGGCTGCGGTGCTGTGGGCCTTTATATCCAGGAGAACAGAATCTACGGCCCACTCACTCGAGGGCGGCGCTCACCTGGTGCAGTGCCCCTGAATGTTTCCGTCTAAACCTCCATCAGGAGTTGCAGAGGCTGGTCATTTCAAACACCCAGGAACAAAAGCACATGCTTCTTTTATGAATGACAATCTTTTTGTGTTAACATATACTTTTGCATATTGTCCTATACTGACAGATGACACTGATAAACGGCCTGACACAATACACTTCTCTAAAAGTAAGAAGATGAATGTCCAAAATGTGGCAAAACCATGAGGTCCTTAAACATCAACGTGTGAGCTATACCCCCATTGTCTGTCTTTTATTATATATCAAAAATGTGAATTTACTTTCAATATGGCTCTGTAATTTCTATTTTTGATACAATACAAATTTATATGCATTTGTTTATAGTTTCGAGAAGACCAAAGATGGCTTCATGCTCAATGTAATTTCTGTATTGTAGCTGTGTATCTTGTATTTACTGTCAACCTTGGCATTTGTCACTAATTTGTTCATCACAGATGTAAGCTTGCTTTGTCTTTATTTACTTTTTGAATTATATGTATGGTAACTTCAAATGGTTAACCCACACTCGTGATCGTACTTGGTCAGCTCTATAATAAAAGATAAATAGGTATAGCTGGTTTTATTTTGTTGGGAGTTATTTTATTTTTAAAAAGCATGATACAGGCAGTGAATTCATATGACATTTCTTACATTTGTACAGACCACAGATCATTCGAAATCACAATTCACTATTCCAATTTAAAGTAGTAAAAAAGCTGGATTTAGTCCTTATTTAATATCAAACCCAGTAATCGATTGCCACAGCATTAGTGTAAACACTATTAGGATAAAGTGGTTCTTAACTAGTGCTCACATTTCAAACATTCATGTCTTGTGTTCCACTGTACAGGCAGTGATTGGTGTATCTTCATAATCATCATCACACTGGTTCTAAATGGGGCACCTGTCGGTAAGAGCCTCCTTAGCGCCCTTCAGTGTCTCTCGTTTCACACACTTCCAGTAGCCAGAGATGCCAGTCTGAGGCTGAACCTATGTGATTCAAAGATAGAGGTTTGATCAAAATATTAAAGTCAAAATGTTCTCTGAGCAGTTTACCTTGAGACCACGCAGCACTCTGTCCGTCATCACATTAATAAACTCTTTATGGCTCAAGCAGTTGTCTCCATCCATGTCGAAGAGTTTGAACACAGTGTCCAGGACATTATCGGACAGATCATGTCCTGTGGCGATTCGGACTGCCCGCTTGAACTGAGCTGCATTTAACATGTTAGAAAACTACCTTAACAACATTACACATGTGGCTATATCATTCAAATAACCATCTTACCCATCCCAACTGGACGATTTGCTTCTGTGACCATTTTCATAGAAACGGCAAAATCCTCCAGATTATTTGTGAAAAGACAGAAGGCTCTGAACTCTTCAAAAGTGATACTCTAAAAAGACAACGCAAATGTATTCTTTAGTCACAAAATAGTTTACAGAACTGTGAACAGAAGCTAAGAAGTGGGTTACTTGTCCAGCAGGGATCTTCTTCCTCATGTTCTGCCAGTAAACCTCATTGTCTTCCTCATTGGTGTAGTGCAACAGCCACTCAGCAAAGTCCTCTCGTCTCATAGTGTCCATTCCTTTGGAGAACTGCAGGAACTCCATCTCCTGGACTTCAGCCTGGAGGTTCTCCATGAACCTGTAGATACCAAAGATTCAAGAACATACTCCCAAATGCCAATAATGTTTAAGTAAGCAATAATATTATACTGTTTGGTTCAGTTGTCTCTGGCAGATTCAATTGGAAACTGGTTACATTTACATTTTGTTACTATACATTACCTGTGGAAGTCCTGATACTGCAACTTGTTTTGTCCTTTCTGACCAAAGAAATGCACCTGAAGCGTGGTGTTCACAACCACTTCCTCTGCTGGGCTCTGGTGAGAGGACACAAATAGACTAAAGGAATGTCTGAATATAATATTAATATAAGCATTTTCCAAATGTTAATGGAGTGACAAATCTGTTTTTATGACAAGGATGAATGTACCCACCTCAACATTTTCCTTGGCCACTGGCCGTGGCACTTTTCTGCTTTTTGCAATTATTTTCTTGAGCTTTAGTAACAAAAAGAAAATGGGCAAAAATTATCAAAATTAAATTGTTTATGAATTAGATTTATTCAATAGCATAGAAAACTTAGAATACCAGACTTAAATCAATGAAATTAAGCAAAATATTTAATAATGGCAACCATGCATCTGTACTTGTTTTGATCACTGAACGCGTTTTGTTGAACCAAGTCAAAACCTGTAGCAACAAGGCAGGTACCAACATGCGTCATAAAGAAATAAAACTAGCCTCAACCTGATCTATTTAAACAGGTTTCCTCTTGACATGGGAGTCTGGCTGAAGCAAGGGCTCAAATGTGAAGAGGAGAGACAAACTAATGCAAACACGTAACAGGCACATGTCCCTCACCTTTCACTGGGACTGAAGTCACAACAGTCAAGATACTACAATGTAGCATCTGGACTTAGGCAGCGTTAAGAATAGCAACAATTGGAAATTAAGGACATTTTTACTATTTATGCTCTGTTATCAGATGTAAGGTTTCATTTCTCACCTTTAAGAATTCCTTTTTGTCCACGTGTTCATTGCCGTCCACATCCAGCATTTTGAAAGCAATGTGAAATCCGGTGCGTGGCTCTAAAAACAGCATAGATTATAGAATTTACGTTTATTTGGGACATATAAATCTGAAAAAAAAATTTTGAGCCAGGGTTCAGTCTCTTGACATATTAGATAAAAAACAGGGGATTGTGGATATCGTATTTACATTTTGAGTAAACTAATTGATGTAAAAATTCAAATTTTGCCTAATTCTTTAGACGTAAAATCAATCTTAGAATGAGAAATAAACAAACCTTCTGTACAATCCTTAAAAATCTTGTTGAGTAATAGAGTGGCAAGTTTAGTTTATGTGCTACTTAAAGAGGTGATGTTTATGTCCCTTTCACCTTAATTCAGTGCAGCAAAATAAAACAAGTATATTGATTTAGTAAAAAAAGAAACGTACTTGTGAGGATTGTCAATAGAAAGAGATACTCTGTGTAGGATATCAGACCTGAAAACACACAGATTTAGCTCAGAGCTTATATAGATGACCACAGTAAAACACAGTAAAAAAAAATCTAATAAAATAAAGACACTAGAACTTAACTTACCATTGTCCCCCAGGCTCCGAAACAGAGAATCCCCTGCTCTGGCTTTGGAGGCTGCTGTCAACATTTTTTGTACCTCCTACAGGACACAATAATGTTGTTACCTCATCTAAAACACATTTGGAGTTGTATTTTGTTTCATTCACACATGAGTAACCCTTTATTTTTAGTCTATGTACAACTCCAAAGCTCAAAATGCTCTGTTCCACTGTGTGATGTCATGAAGAGGTAGTTTTCAAAGTAACAGCTACCTTGTACCTCTTGTTCAGTAGAGATTGCAAACTCCAAGGCTGAAATTATCCAAATTATTCTAGTAAAAGAGTATAGTGTTTAAAAACACACTGTAGCATTTCCAGTACTACCACATGAAATCACAAGGTGGAACAGAGTGTTTTCTGTTTAAGAAAATAACCTAAATATTTGTGTGTTCAACAAAACACAACTCTAGATGTTTGTAAATAGTATAATATGGACACTTTAATTGTAATGGTTAGGCTAATGAGTAATGACATAAATATATTTGAATCCATACCTGTTCTGTTAAAATCCTCTTCTGCAGCTTTCCTGTAAAAGCAAAACACACAGAAGCCACTGGTGAATGACAATAGTTTATAGGAGGTTATTTTTGTTTTTCCTTTCCATATCGCAGGAAGGATGGTTCTTATGACAAACTTCACATTAGCTGACATCTTATTAAGTAGCCAATATTATGAGTCTCCACCAGAATAATGTGATGCTACATGTCTACTTTAACATTAAAATGGTTGTCGATTTATAACCCATAACTTAAAGGTGCACTGTGCAACCTTTCTGATGGAGCATATGCCACCTGTTTGTCTCCAGGAAGATGTTATGGCTTTTCCAAGAATGTTCCACAGTATGGCGTTGAACTTATTTATCTCGCAAATATATTCAATTAAATTCCCTTTTTTATGGCCCCAAAATCATTCTTACTTTAAGCAGGATCGCCTCTCCACACATCTGACGTGTATCTTGCCCTGGTAGAGCATCTTGCTTGTCTCCATGGAGATATAAGAGTTTAATGCCACGGTGGAACATTCCAGGCAAAGCAATAATGTCTCCATGGATATAAAAAGTTAGAAATATTAGCCCATGTAGTGCACCTTTAATAGTGGGCCTACTAAAATGTAACCCCACATTTAAAGCTGCACTATGTAACTTTTCTGGCAAAGGGTCAGTCATCTATTGTTTCCATGGAGTTGTTCCACACTAGGACATTAAACATATCCATCTCTACGGAAACAAGCAGGTGACGCCATTAGGCGCAAGTTACAGATCAGATCTTTGTAGCGGTGACCCCACTCAACATAAGAATGCATGTGTTTAGGCATCTTTCTCATTCTCAGCTATAAAAACATCTGTAACTGATTAAATTAAATTAATGCCATAGTGAGGAACATTCCAGGAAAAGCAACAACTTCTCACTAAAAAGTTGTTGTACCTTAAATTCGCCATCACTGATTATGAATGGTCAAGTAGGCTATAGTTCAAAGTATGTGGTTCCAATGTTGTTTTTATAATCACAGGTCACATTTCATTGATTTGTCCCAGTTTTATACAAGAAATGTCCCAGGTGTCCTTATTTTGACCAATGTGAAACCCACCAACAGTAAAGAGGGGAATATATTGTAATTTGTTTAGCTAAAATACAGAAAACCATGCTTGAAAATTACCATAAAGCAAAAATGCACTTACAGAAGTACCTCAAGTTATGACTGATCCACAAGTGCGTCGAGAATGGACAATGTTACGCACTCTTTTCACAATTTTATTTATACTAGTGTTACCACATTTTCAAAATCCAAAACTGGGATACCCCGAGTTGGTTGTGGTTGAGTGCGCAATTAAAGAAAACTGTTCACGAATTATTCAAGATAGCATGTGAGGCAGTATAGTCATATTTTCTTTTTGTTTTCTGTAATTTTACCTAAACAAAAACCTAAAACAAAAAAAACTAGACAATTTATGCCTCTCTTTACTGTTGGCAAGTATCAAATTGGTCAAAAATAGGCACACCAGGGACATTTCTTGTATAAAACTGGGACAAATCAGTGGTTTTGTATAAATCCACTAGGACAGGGGACACAGGTCTCAAAACTGGGACTATCCTGGGTAAATAGCGACGTCTGGCCAACCATCCCAACCTAGTGTGTCCCAGTTCTGAATGTTGAAAACCTGCTCACTCTTCCCCAGCTGATAAAGTAGTATTGTTGTATTAGTGCTGATAGTGACTGTTGCTTACTGTCCACATTCTCCAGCATCACAGAGTACAGGAAGTCCCTAGGTGTCATGTAAGGCTCGCCCTGATACACCACAGAGGCAAACTGGATAAAACGGAGCCTCCTCGCCGACAGATTTGAACCGAGAGCATCCTGAAACAGCAACAGCATAAAAATATTACGAGATGAATACCAACATACAACATACAACATGCAACATACAATGGCAATGTTTGTTTATGTCTGCTCAGGCTGACAGCTGCAATGGGGCGGGGTTACTGCTTACTCATCTATGACTTACTAACTAGAACATAATTTAAAACACTTTAGTAATAAACAGCCATTGTTTTACGTAAACAAACAATGCATAAAAGTAGTTACTCGCTTTGAAGTGTTTAACCAACTTTAGTAAGATACTTAGCCTACTTTTTGTTCCTCCTCCTTAGCGTACACGCTGCAGGGAAGCGTCCGGCTGCTTTGGAAATATTGGTAATAACAAACGACTCCGGCTCCAACCAAAGACCCCAGCACACCAGGGCCGACAACACGACGGAGACCTAAAGCTTTAATGCTCCGAGGAGAACGTAAAAGCCCCCTAAAAAGAGAGGCGACCCTTCCCCAGCTGGCCATTTCTAAAGAGCTAACAGCAGACCAGACGTGCTAACAGCAGCAGCCCAACCCAACACTTCCGTAACGGACAACTGCACCAGACCTGCACGCACGGCCACAGTCAGGTCTCAATGTAAACTACAACTAAATAAAACAAATTAAAAAAAAGAAAGAAAACACTAAGGCTTTTTAAAATAAATACATAAAAAAAAAAAAAAAACATTTAAAGGTGCACTGTGTAACTTTCCGCCATGGAAACGATGTTACCAAGAATTTTTCACAGTATGATATTAAACTTATCATCAAGCACCATGCCAATTTACAAATCTGTATAATTAAATAATAGCAAATAATAGCAAGCAAGTTTATTTCCCTACTGTGGTATATTCCAGGGAAAGCAATCTCCCTAACATATACCCATGGACACAAACAGGTGCTGGACTTGTACCAGAGAAGCTACATTAAGAATTTAATCTTTAGTCTCAGATCATAGACTGTACATTCTTTATACAGTCTATGTCTCAGATGAATTAGAAGTTACCAATTATAACTCAGAGGTCTTAAAGCTTGGACTAAAGCTATAATCATCATTTCATCTTATTACAGTCTTATTTGCACTGATCATTTTCAGTTTCAGGTTGGTGTATAAAAGTGTCAGAGATAAATGTGTCACCATTAACTTGACATCAAGTTTGCATTAGCAAGTTTGGAGGTTTATTTAATGTCATAGCAGCAAGTTGTAAAGTAACAAAGACATACACACTGTAAGATAATCAATGAAGGAAACAAAGGTTTCACAATATTTTTTCTTCGGTCACGGTTTACTCTTCTTATTTACGTTGGTTATAACTATGTTCATTATAACATAGTTGAAATTGCCCTGTGTGTCTCAGAAAAAGTGATGAGAAGCAAACAGTTCAAACACACACAGTGGTGCAGGCTAAATATCTGCCATGAGCAATGAGTAGGAACAATCACAGCCACATGAAAATACTTAAGCTCTTATGGTAAAAACATGTATTGCAGTGACAAATGTTTTGATTGGTTTACTCAAATTAGTTCCACTGTCAAGAAACCTATAACTTTCTCTTCCAAACTCTCAGACTTTTGCAGACTGCATGACATGGCACTTATGTTAAAAATGAATGCAATAAATGAAAACATTTCGATTAAAACATAGCTTATTTAGATTTGAAATAAGACAGCATTAATGCAGGCAGAATCAGAACACTCTTCATGACAGTGAATTTCAACACTGCAGCATCCATTGCACTCACGTCCACAAAGTACTTTTGGTGTTTTAAGAGAGGAAGACTGTAAACAAGTATGAGACTGATCATTCGCCTGGAAAAACTAAACATAAAACACATTACAATCAGAAAAGGTTTGCCACTTTCTCAGCTGGAATTCGGTCTTTTAAAAGAATGGCACCATTTTGCAAAAATTAGAAATTTTATGCCAAAGAAAAATGCTGTTTCACCTGTGCAGACAGTTGTCTAGACTCAGTAATCCTCAAACATTTGGTTATGTTTCTTTGTATAGGAGGACATGTACTATTGTACTTGTAACATACATCTATCTTGTCACAGACACACACTGACTAATAGTGATCTTATTGGGGCTACAGGGAAACTCCTGGATCTGACAGACCTGATGTTATTATATATAGACATATAAAAATAGAACAAGCATACCTACAGTACAGTATGGCCTGCTGGTCTTCCTGGTAAAATGTTTCATACAATGTAATAATTGGGTACTTATATACACTGTATAATTTCATAATCCTAATTTGCATATTTTTATGTGATAAACGTTAGGAGATTAGAGTGATTGTTTCTTTTGAGTTTTGTGGATTAATACAAATGTTAAATTGTATCCATTTCATTTCAGAGTATTGTTTTATTAGAGCACAGGATTTATTGGTATAAATACAAAGATAAGTATATACAATTTATGACACTTAAACTAGTCTTTCGCGGAGAGTTTTTCGATCTGCTGAATGTCTGGATTCAAACACAGAGTGGTCCATTCTATGTTGTTTAGTGGTTTACCATTTTGGGCACCACTGCATCAGCTGTGGTGCAACATTTTACAGCTGAACTCTTTACATTCTGTGAATAAAAGTCAATATTACAAACAATAAGGTGGCCATTTTGGCCTAGAAGTCACAGATCAAAGACTTTTCTCTGGTCTGACCATACATCCCACTCCTCTGAATAGCGACTGCAAACAGCGCACAGACTCTCCGCCTCACATTCTCTTATTGCAGTTCTGCTCTGTTCTGCCCAAATGGTTTCAATAACGTAAAATAAAAGCAAGTTAAACGGGAGCACTAATAAACTATTTCATGCAATGCTTGGGTTTTCATCATGTATACAAAGGCATTGTGTTACGTAAGCTTACTGTTACTTTGAGCATTGTCACTTCACACCTCATGTATTAAATTTGAATTTGATAGAGACTCTTCGCCTGGCATTAGGAAAATAAGAATTATAAAGATCTTGATGATAGTAACAGAACTTAAAGTGAATAGTGGCCATGACTATTTACTGACATGATGAGCTCAGAGAGTTACACCAGCATTCCGTTATATTAACATCACTCAAAGCTAGTGGTGCAATGGGATTACATGTTTACTTTACACAGGTCTGTGTTAAGGTGCCCCACTGCTTATGTGGGTGTGACAAATCAGTTTACATTTGCAAGTAATTCTTGTTTCCTTTCCATTTTCTCACTCTAACAAAGAGAATAAATAAAAAAGTATATTGCTTCAAAAAACTTTTTTTTAAATATTGTGAAATGTCATTCACCACTTCTCAAGTTGTCTAGATAGACAGAGCATTACATTATCAGTCAAAGATACATACAGAAAAATGCTGTGAATCCAAGAGATTAAACTATCAACAATGAGACGTGACAGTGACTAATTCCTGGAACAAATGTTGGAGTCTGACTGTGTGTCTCGGCCCACCTCCTCTCTACCAGCAGGTGGCGCTCCTGTATTGCCTGGGTGAAGGGGAGGGGCTGAGATGAGTCTGTCACAGTTGAGTCAGTTCAATGGCCTCAGTGTGTTCCAGAGTCACTGAGGCTCTTAAAACCTAGCTGCGCATGCTCCCCGTCCATCTCAACATCCATCCGTGAATCCACCCAAAGCTCCACACCTTTAGTTAGTGAAGTCACTGGGACTCCTCATTTGCTCTTTCCAGAGGTGCTAGAGCCCCCAGCCCCACCCTCATATTTATCTGCAATTTCTGATGTGTCTAGCTTCTCCGAGCCGTCTCCTTTCTCTGACCTCTCCTTCTCGGAACGCTCCTCTCCCTCCACCAGTTCTGAGCGCTCTGAGCGGGCATCAGCGTCACCCTCCGATTTCTCCTTTCGCTCCGAGCGATCTGCCTCCAGACCAGAGGTACCAGGCTGGTCCCACTTAGCCATGGTCTCATGCTCTGATATAGCGGCGGTGATGTTAGATGTCCAGGCCTTAAGGTCCTCCTACACAAACACAATGAATAGTGTTAATAATTAATAATGTTAAAATTGTAAACAATGTGACGATGTACAAGTTATTCATAAAGGTATCTATTTGTCTAGTTACACTTGTAAAAACAAGTTAAAAATCAGAATGATCACTCACCTCATCTTTCGCATGGAATATAAAGTTGTTTCCATCGTTCACTCTGGTACAAAAATAACAAAACAATAACCACTTTTAGCTTAAGTAATGGATTCATGTACACACTATTTGAAATGCTGGATATTTCTAAAAAGGCAAACTAGCTCTTACTGCACGATGAAGACGTTCTTCTTCTTCTTGTATCCCATGGACGGGTCAAACGTGCAGTTGCACATGTCCACAGATGGCTCTTCATTGTAAGTTGTATTGTGATTTCTTGCATCTTTGTAGAAGCTCAACTTCCCATCTTTCAGCACACAGTAGACATTCACCCAGGTCTTACTAGAATTAAAAAATAATGTCCTTTTAGTTCAGACAACATTTGTGATTGCATTTGATTTAGATCCAACATGGTCATACGTATATTAGACATTTATACTAATATTATATTTGCTATTTAGATAAATGTAGATAAAATGTAGATAAAATAAGTCTCCAAATTAATTCAATGAATATATCAAATTCTTGAGTACCTGTTGGGGCTCCTCTGCGTAGCTTCTAGCTCAGCAGTGGTGGCTTTCTTGCGGTAGAGGAAGCCTTCATTTTGGGCAGTGTGAGAGGGGGGCTGAGGCGTAGTGGGTGCACCGGTGGCTGGAGCAGATCGGGACCGCCTGGGCTCCTCTGGTTCTTTTGGGCGGGGCCTTCTTCTGGGTTTGGGCCGGTCTCTGGCTCTAGGACGCCCGTCAAATCTGGTGACAGGAGCAGAGAGGCTGCTGGGAGGCCGATAAGGCTCCCCACGTGCCTGAAGAATAAACACAGGGACATGATGAACAAGGGCAAAATGAGACTGTGTGTTTGTATTGTGAGGATATTTACATGTGCAGCTTCTCGCTCCTGAACCTGCTCTACGATCTCTGCCATGGTGGATCTCTTCTCTCTGCAGAGACATCACACATGAGTCACTTTTATCATTTGAAGTCATTTTTAAATCATTAGTGCTGGACACTGCTGTCTAAAACATTATGAGCTGAATGTTGCAATGAGGTTCACCCTACCCTGAGCGTTTGTCAGACCCCTCCTTCCCTGATCCCTCCAGGTCGCTGGAGTCTTGCCTCGGTATCCGCTGTTTGCCGCTCCCCTCTTGCTCACTGGACGACTGCCTCTCTAATCGTCTGCGGTAGCGCTCCTGTCGCACAATCATGGGCAGTTCGTTGAGCCTGGCTTGAATCTCCTGCTCACTGGAGGTTTGACGGCCCAGCTTGTACTCCCGCTCCCGCCGCAGATGGTCCATCTGGGGGTCAGAGCGGCTGCCACGGGGGTCCCTCTGCAGACGTCCGTGTAGTAACTCCAGCCCAGACTCTGGGCCCATGTCAGCCATGGGGATGTCTCCATACTGCTCACGCTGGATCCTGCTGGCCTCCAGGAGCGGGTTCACTGCCTTGTGTATGTGGTTGATTCTGGGCTGCATGAAGTCAGCCTTCAGGTGCTGCCACGCGTAGGCCATTTTAGGGTCCATAATGCCCCCGCTTTGGGCCAGGTAACCAGAACTGCCCAGACTGCCACTGCTGTAGTGATTTTGTGCCAGAAAGCCTGAGCTGCCCAAGCTCCCACTGCCCTGATAATTCTGTGCTAAGAATCCAGAACTCCCCAAATGAGACTGTTGTGCCAAGAATCCCGAACTCCCTAAATTGGGCTGCTGAGCCACATATCCAGAACCTCCTATGTTTTGTGTTTGTGCCAGATATCCAGAACTGCCCATGCTCTGTGGCTGAGAGAGAAAGCCTGGACTGGATAGTCCTCCACCTCCAGGAGGCTGGGCTAGATTTCCAGAGCTTCCCAGTCTCCCACTGCCTAAATGGTTTTGGATAGAACCACCAGCAGCAGTCAGTCCAAAGTACCCAGAGGTCTCCCCGATGGCTCCCGTTTGATGGTTTGATCCAAGATAAGACGGGACGTCAGCTGTTGCACAATGAGCAGTCAGTGCAGACAGACCCGTGTCCACGGCAGAGGCAGGTGTGAGGTGGTTCATCCCCAAATATGAGGAGCTGCTGATCTTGACGCTTCCCTGCTGGTCGAGTGAGTGGAAGCCTGATCCGTTCAGGACTGGGTTGTAGCCGCTCAGGGCTGCGGACAGTCTCTGGGACGCAGGGGTGGCTCCCAGCTCTAGAGCACTCTGTAAAGGTTTGGGTTCAATGTGGGCCTGTACCGTCTGCCTCAGGAAAGGAGAGGTAGAAGAAGAGGAAGCACCAGGAGTCAGACAGGACAATGGGAACATTCTACGGCTGGACAGAGGCATCTTCTTCTCCTCTTCCTTTTTCTTCTCAGCCTAAAAAAACGATTTATTACTATATATGTTTTGATCAATATTTGTATTTGATCAATGTACACATCAATGGATGGATCTTAAAATTACAATATTTTTAATTTGCGGTTATGGAAGTAATGGTTATGTATAAATAATAGGTTCAGTGAATGCAGCACATGCAGAAGACAAAACAGCTGTAGTGAAGTCATGGCATGCTAAAGCGCGCCTACTAAGCATTTTCTTGGGTCACTTTTTTCTTTTAAGGCCATTAAAGTTTGACTCCAACACAAACTGATTAAACATTTATCTCCAGTCAAGCTTACTGCAGAAAGCTGGCGGAGGGAGCTGAAGCGTTCTTTCCAGGTTACAGCAGCCTTGCGGAAGGCTTCATGACGGAGGATGAGCTGCTCCACCTCGTCTGTCTGGGCCTGGGCCTGCCCCCCCTCCTCCTCCCGGGACGTGATCAGTGGCTCTTTGGCCTTTAGCCACGCCTCTGCCTTCACTGTTTCCTGCGCAAACTGGAAGTGCTCCTGCTCTGTATGGACACAACAACAACATGTTGCAGTTATGTGTGACTGTGTATCTGTGCACTGCTAGGCCTGTCGCAATAATGCATTTTGAAGTGTGATATGTTGCTGGAAAAAAAAAAGACTAAGGGTGAAACAAGTTAATCAATTAATCAGATAATCATTAATTCATTTAGTAATCGAATAATTGTTTCAGCACTATACACAGACTCTAAAACCTGCCATGTCCCTGGGTATCAGGTTTTTTGATTGACTTAAAAATTACACAGGAAACATATAGAGTTTGTGTTTTTGATGGAAAAAAAAATTGGAGATATATTCCATGAGGATGTCTTTCAGGCGGATCACTTTTTCATCTGAGACAAATTTAGCAATAATCTCAAATTCACAGGCCTTTTGCAATCTAATTTAGTAATTATCACGACAGGCCTATGTACTAATTATTTACATGAGACTGCAGTGATACATGTTTAACAGGGACTACTTACTACATAGCAATCTTTCTTGATGTTTTTCCCACTTCTCATTCAGAGCGTTTTGTTTTGCCAGAAGACTGTCCAACTTCTCCTTGATCTGTAATGAAAATATGGTTAATATAGTAGTTTTCTATCATAACTAGACCCATTTGTACACAACATAGCATTCTTGCCTATCTCAGTAAAGATAATGTTAACTTGACAGACTAACCTCCTCAGATGCCGGATTGCCTGCAGCGATGAGGATTTTGCCCAGATCTGCACATTGCTGTATGGTCTTGCTGCGGTTTTCTATTTTGGCTTTTTGTTCCTGGTGTTGTCTCATCATTAGCTCCAAAGATGTCTGATCCCTAAGAAAGTATACACAAACCACATCAATCAGAACCACTATCTATCTACAAATAATACAACCATATCTTTTAAGGGACCATATTATGCTAAATACTGATCTGGTTTTATGTTGTTTCTTCATCAAAAACATACCTGAAGTTGTGTTTTGTTTCATTCACACATGTTTAACACACACTTCATGCAAATTTGCAGGACTGGCTCTCAAGCAGAAAACACTCTGTTCCACCTTGTGAACTCATGTGGTGATACAGGAGGTGGTCCACTATGTTTTTAAACTCCATACACCTTCATTAGAATATTTTTTGATAATTTGAGCCCTGGAACTGCCAATGTTCACTTAACAAAAGGTAAAAGGTAGCTGTTAACTTGATGACATCACAAGATGTATGCAAGCCACATTTTGAGCTTTGGAGATGTAGACAGACCAATAATACTCAAAACATGTGAATGAAATAAAACACAACTCCAGGTATGTTTTTGATGAGGTAACAACACAATAACGAGTCTTAAAGCTCAATTTTGTGTAATACAGGACCTTTAAATCTGTGGATTTTTAGCCATTTCAGCTGTTTAAAAGGAAGAATCTGATGCACAAAGGACAAGATGAGGGCATATAGAAACTGGAGCATATCTGATCGATACATAAAAAATACAGATATTGGCCTATATTGATATTAGCTAAAGTTTATTGCTCATCCATAGTTCTAATATAGTAAGGTTTTACAGCTCATCAGCTTTTATTTGATTGAGCAATAAAGCAAACACTATTTGACATTCAAATTTTCTTTTGGTTAAAGATGCACTGCACAACATTTCCAGTGGAAGGTCTGTCATCTGCTTGTCTCCACAGCACAGACTGAGGAAAAAATTTAATTTAATTAACTGCTCAGACGTGATTCTATGTACACAGTGTTGTACCTTGGCTCATCCCACATAATCTGTCCCATGACGCCTTCCATCCACATGAGGTGTTCTCGGACCAGAGAGAAGAACTGGACTTTGTCGGTGACGGAGGTGACTTGGACACGGCTGGCCTCACAGGAGCTCAGCAGCTCTCTCCAGGCCTCCATGATCTGCTGCTCTTTGACCATGATGGCCTCTGCCTTCTCCCCAGCATAGATGGTTCGGAGCTGGGCTGCGTTCTCCTGCATCTGCCTCACCTGAACACCAGAAACATGGAGGTTTCAGAAAGGATCTGAACACAGTCATTCATTCGTAGATATAATGCACTGTCAAAGATCTTTCAGTGTTCAAAAAGTGCTATATAAATTGAATTCATTATTATTTATTATTGTTTAGATGGACCATGGCAGTGATTCCTATTTATACAGAGGAAAACAAAACAAGGGTACAGCAAATGATCAATTAAGCTTGTAATATTGTTATAAGCATTTCATAGCATACTGTTTCATGCAAAATTTTGAAGACTTTTTCCCGTTCAAGATATAATATTTAGTTTTAAAATTGTTTGCAATGGTCCTAATTTGTCATCATTCTGAAACCCATGGATAGACATAATCTATATTTAATCTGCAACTCAGTGCTTTTATAGTCAGTAAGACAATAAGTGACTCTAAAAATAAAATGATTCAAACATGGATAACTTGTGCCACTTGTAATGTCAGTAAACCTGAAGGAAACACTGCAAGGGAAATATTTTTCATATCAAGTTGGTACCAATTTATAATAAGCACACCTTAAGAAGCCGTAATAAAGCAAGAACAAAGACTTAATTAATTATGACTAGTTTATTATTGGTTAGGGTTAGAAGTTAGGGCTAGGGTATGAATAATATACCCAGAATTTTACTAGACTATTAAAAGTCTAACTAGCAAGTTGGTAAGACTGTAAAAAACCAACACAGCAAAGTCATAAACTCTATTAACCAGATTTGTTGTGGATAGATTGTACACTGTGGCATACCTGTGCAACTAAGAGTTGAAGGGCGTGCTCAAAGGAGTGCATGAGTCTCTGCAGGGTGGCTGGGTTGGTGATATTGGCTTGGCACGCCCTCACCTCTGGCAACTGCTTCATCTTCCCCATGATTTGAGCCAAAATCTACAACACAGGACAGCAACGTCGTCACAGGCACCAACAAAATATAGCAACATTGTTTCATTTTGATTTTAAACAGAATCAGCTTGGTCAAAGCCCCCCCCCAATTCGCCTTAAGCCAGATTCAGCAGACAGTACTGTGCAATCAGATTTGTCTATTTCAGTGACGCATGTAAAAAAAAAAAAAAAAAAAAAAGAAAAGTACATTGTGTAACTTTTGTGGTGAAGGGTCTGTCAAATGCTTTTCTCTGTGGAGATGTTATTGCTTTGTCTGGAATGTTTCCCAGTAAGGCATTAAACCTTTCTATCTTCATGGAGACAAAACCAGACCTAAATTACCGGTCAGATCTGTGAATAGGGAACCGCTCACAGCCAGAATGTCTGTTTTTTGGTCTATTTTTGATCTATAAAACTACCTGTAAATTCATAAATGTAAGGAAGAGATACTTAAAGTCATACTGTGGAACATTTCAGGCAGAGCAATGACATACCCATAGAAAGAAACAGGTAACGGTCTCCCAACAAAAAAGTTGCATAGCACATCTTTAATTAACTCATTGGTCATCTATAATTTTGAACAGAAAAATCTAACTAAATCAAAGAGTTTAGTGCTTCATTCATTGATTCTAAAGAAATCTGCAATGTTTTTCAGTCACCTATGTTATTTTTTTCCTTTCTTTTTTCCCCATAAGCAGTCATATTTGTTTTGATACAGACAGACTATACATGTTTCTCATTGGCTAATCTATCTGTCAATCACACCTATCTACAACCAGTGACCAAACGCACAACTTGTATTGTAGAAGAGTATATTTTTGAGTTTAAGTAATTTAAGTACACTTACATATGTCACTGTAAAAATAGCATTGTGAAATAATGAAACATCTAAATCAAGTCAATTTTCTTGTGTGTGTCTGTATTTGAAAACATTGGTAATTTACAGATACCTCTTTGCAGTCAGTGAAGAACTTGTGTAGTTGGTGTGAGGCAGCGAGCATTTGTCTGCGGGTCTCCATCAGCTCCAGGAGGTCGGCCCAGGACTCATTCAGGCCGTCCTTCCACTCGGCGATGGTGGCAGCGTCAGAGTGCCCACAGTCTATCATCTCATTCACCATTTTGTTCACCTGTTCCAACCGCTGCTGCCCAATATTGTTAGTTTCTGTGGCAAATTTGGTAAATTTCTCCTGAAGGACCTGCAAAAAAGTAAAAAAAAAAAAAAAGTAAAAAAAACAAACAAAAAACACGAAAGCAGAATGCTTTAAAAAAAAAAATCATGTATTACTTAATTCTGAGCATTTTAGATACAAAAGTGAATTAACTTTTGGGTTATATTATTACGAACTGTTCATTTGATCTGTGCAAAATATTAGAGTTTATTCATATGCAAAAATAATTATTTATACACCAAAGTACATCTACACTCTACTCTAAGCCACTGACGCCACTGGAAACATAAAGATCAGCTTCAGGTAATAGTAGCTTGTAAAATAAAATTTGAATAAGATAACATTTATTCCAATCATTCTACAAATCAAAACAATAGTGCCTTATATGGCAGAGCAGTTGACCTATAAGTTGAAGGTTGCCAGATAACCACACTCTTTCCACACTATATCCTGTTGTTGTTCTTGTAATTACTACATACACTACACATTCATATTGTACATACTGTGACTTCCTCTAGATCATTGCCGAGATCTGTAGAGCTGGCCACTGTCTCCCGTTCTGTGATCCACTTCTCCAGCTCCTCCACCTCCTTATTGAGCTGATAGAGCCAGTACTGCTGCTCCAGCTTGGTCTTCCTGTGTTCTACCATGTCCTTCAGAGACACGTATAGCCGGTCTATGTGGGACTGTTGTTTGGTGATCTGCTCACTGTTTGAAGAAAGAGAGTTATCTTTCCTGTATTACTGAAATTCACTGTGTACATATATATGTCACCCTATGGCTGACCTGTCAGGATGTCCCAGGCCCAAAAGGCACTGGCACTGCTGGGAGAGCATGCCCACTGTCTCTGCGTATGTCTCCACTGTCTGCTCCAGAGCCAGATGAGCCTTCAACAGCTGCAGCGTGCTGGCCTCATCCTGGAAAAGTAGAGAATCTGTAAAATCTGCATTTAAGCGACTACATACGGAGTACAGTGTATTAGTGTTTTACCGTGCCCTTCTCCTCATTGGCCAGCTGCAGCTTCTGCTCAGAGAGCCAGGACTCCACTTTGGCAGCCTCTGTGTAATACTGCTGAGCCTGGAGCGTGGCGTCCAGGAGCACAGCCCTCCTCTCTGTTTCCAGCTGCAGCACCTCCCACAGCTGCCGCACATGCCCCGCCCCCTCGCGCACAAACTCCACCTCCGGCGTCCGGAGCGACGCGATGATGCCCGCACGGTCTAGCACCTCCTCAACCCGCGCACGCCGCCCTGTGAGCTCCCTCTGGAGGGTCTGTGAAGCAGAGGCAACAGATGAGAACACAGTTCACAGATATGAGAGCAGAGAGGAGATCAGCTGTTTAGAGCCCATGTACCTGGTGTTTCTTAACAAGCTGCTGGACACTCTGCAGGTTGTTTCCAAAATCCTTAGATGACGCCAAAGGAAGTCTCTCCTGAATCCACAGCTATCAAACAACAAGACATGTTAAAATCATTTCACTCGTATTAGGACAGCATAGGCTGAGGACAGAAATACAGAAGCTACTGAAAAGAGGTTAAACATTAGAATATGCAGTAACACAGTGAGTGTAAATGGGAGAAAAACACCCACTATCTCATCCTCCAGGTCCTGTGCTACTTGGTGCATCTCCTTTGAGGCCAGCAGGATGCGGCGGCGTTCCTTCAGGGGCTCGATGAGGCGGACGATGCGTGTCTCAACCATCCCGGGCTGCTCCGCTCCCTCCTGCTCTCCTGACATCAGGCCTCTCTGCGGGAGGCACACCCCCTGTAAGGCCCCCAGGTCCCCCACGTCTTTATAGAAGTCCCCAATCTGAGACTCCATTGCCTGTGTCAGAGGAGTGGACAAGGACAAGGACATATTATAGCCACTGACAAAGGAAATAAATGTTCCTTGAATTGTTTCATGCCAATTTCTACATTGCAAAACGTTACACACCACCATGACATGTGATGTGGGACCAACTTAGAGAACATTTAAATGCAGTTGAGAAAAACTGACATAAAAGGAGAAAAAATTTGAGGGATGTGCCTGCATATTTCTAAACATTGTTCACTGATACAGTGATAGACAGTAAGACAAAGTTGATGTTATGCATTAAACCTTGTCTTAAGGTTTCCCAGGATGAAGGCTCACCTGGAACTTCTGCAGCTGCTGGTTGAAGGTGGGCAGGTGGTGGGCCTGCTCCAGCTGAGGGGGCTGCTGCTCCAGGTGGGAGAGCTGACTGTCCAGATCTGAGTAGCTCTTGACAGCCGGCTCAGGCTTGTTGTTCTCAAACAGCTGCCGAGCTTTGGCCTTTGTGGTGTTCTCCAGATCAGACCAGCACTCCCTGATCTCCTCTAGCTTCTGCTGCACCACAGAGCGCAGCTCTGGCTTCTCCTGGATCAGCTCCTGCCCTTCCTGCACACACATCAGGACACCCCCATGTTGGTGTTAGTGAGGACCACCTGCTTTATCTAACTCCTCTGACTGTGCATTGGACTGTTATTTGCCGCTCGAGTGACTTGCGATTGCTCATTTGTGCACACTTTAATGCCAGTCTTTGCTTGAAGGGGCAGCTCTTATTGGTTAAAATATAATACTCAATACAAGAAACCTGTGACCTGAATGAAATACATTATTTACATAAAAACAAGCCTCCTTCAGAGATGTGGTATGTGAGCATATTGTGTCATTTTTGGTGCAAAAGAAAATAAATTATTGCACTGTGCATCCAAAAATAACTTGGGACAAGACATATTTGTGTGACTGTGTAAGCCTTGTACAGGGTATGGGGCAGGTGTACAAGCAGAGCGTGGCCTGGGGCTGACCTAAAATCATACATAGTAACTCTAATAGAGCTTTGTTCTGTTCTTCAGTCTCCATCTCCTCTTGAGTATCTCAGCCTTTCTCCATGAGGCGTTCAGGAACAGCTGATGCCCATATCAAAGCCTTTGGCGCTTCTATACCCTCTGATCTGACTGAGCACATGGATTTGTTTAAACTAAAATAATTTGACAAAGAGACTGAAGCTGCAAAAACAACAAACTCCATGCTATTCAAATTCTCAGAGATGTGTGGTTGTGAAGGCACTTTGAAGAAGGGGCATGAACTTAAAAACACAGAGAAGCCCAAAATGGATTAGCACCAGATGATGTCACATTAATAAAAAGAAAGTTACGGAACAGCTCAGTCCACTGCCTTACTTGTACACTATCATCTGTAACCACAATTTGTTTTATTATAGCATTTCATTTATATATAAGTACAATATCTCATATATGGAGCCTCCTTTCAATATTAGGTACATAAGGGAAGAGGTTTGCAGTTATTATGGCACTGATGTACAGGGTTCACATTTGCTACAACTGACAGTGGGAGATGGATACAATATTCATGGACAACAGGAAATACCTATATTTGTTCACATAAAGCATGAGACGATTCAAAATTCTTGTAATCCCTGCTCCTCTTCCATCTCTTGACCAGTGAAGAGAAGAATACTTTGAAAATGTATTTAGTTACAGAATACTGAATACCTGCTTTAAAATGTATTTTGTAATGTACTAGTATTTTGATACATGGGCTAATCAGAGTACAGTATTGTGAATACTTGGAGTTGCATTTAAATTATAGAGTAAAGACGCAACATAGCATTAAAAAACAGCTTTATATTTGTTTCATCATTTGATCTGCATTTCATCTCACTAAACAGAAAAAATCCCACAGGCACACACTATAAGAGCAATGTTTTCTGTTTTTTCTCAGTAATTTTGTGCAGTTTGAAGCCTAAATTGCATGATAAAAGACTGCCATGTACTCCTTTGATTTTAGAAGTAACTGTAATCTGAATACCACCAAATAAAAAATAACTGTACCTGAATACAGTTACTCAAAATTTGTATTCTCTGTATATGTATTCAGTTACTTCTCAACACAGCTCTTGACAGACTCGGACCCTGTGTATATCCTATGGCTTTCATAATGCAGTGTTGCGTTTCTCCTCTTGGCACGGGCCTGCTGCTTAACTGCTGCTAGTGCTCACTCTCCCATCCCGGTGCTCCTATCTCCCCTCAGCCTCACTCTCCCTCCCATAATGCAGAGCCAGCAGAAAGCAGGCCTCTCTCTCTCTCCTGCTTGGCTTTACTGACACACAGAATGGCCTAAGAAGAAACCAGAGAGGGGGTGGAGAGAGGGGGAGAGAGAGGGGATGGATTCAAACATTCAAAAGACAGGCAATGGAGAGATCTGAGGGGCTTCTGTAAGTCATGGTTCCTGGTTAAAGCTGGCTGGTAAAATGTGCAGTGTATTTTTATCACATGACCACGTATGAATTATGCTGTAATGGCTGCTTTGTGTTCCCAAAATCTGCAGGCCAGTAATGCTGATGCAGCATAGTGAAATAGTGGGAGGGATTGACTGCCTGGCTTTATAGTACTGACACAAACAAAATGTGTTCACACAGTACACTAGAAAGTAGCACTGCACTACGCAAAATCTGCAGAACCCCACTACAGTAGCATGCTTTCTACTGCCTAGGCAAGAAAATGACCACATGCTCTTTGCAATGCAAGTTTAATTCTATTCTGCAGGTATTGTTATAATTAACTATCAATATTATGAGAACATAATTACAAAGAAAAACAAAGGTGTTGTTTGCAACAACATCACAAACATGATGGAAAATATGAAAGTGATATTTATTAAGTAAAGCAATATTACAGGTTCTGAAAAGAAGCACATCAATTTTCAACGTGTTTCTAAAAGGCAGTAGACAGGGGGTGAGAAAGGGGTCTGTAGTCCTTGGCCCCAAAGTTTAATTGGCCCAGAACTGGACCCTCTTTCTGTTAATTTATATAAGAGAGGGACCCATGTGAGGAATTGCCAAAACTGGAACTGCCAAATTTCTGACGACGGGCCTGTATAGTAAAAAATAAAAATAAAAACTCTAGACAACTGGTGCACATTCAGAAGTTATGTTATGTAACTGACTGAGCAGATTTCAGCTTTCTGTAACCAACAAATGACATGACTAATTTTATCAAAACACAGAATTATGTTGTTTTGTCCTTTTTTTGCTTTCTCTCATTTTGATTAGAGTTCAGTTGCACATGATTTAGCAGATACTTAAGCCAGATGCCCTTCCTGTCACAGCCAGCCGCATTAATGTGACTAGACTGGGCAATGAGGGTGAAGAATGTCTTAAGAGATATCAAGATAGCAAATTTTAGTGTTATAAAAATCCTTTTTTTCATTACTATTGCCTTCACAAAACAAACTTTCTAAATGAAACAAGTAAAGATAATCTGACCTGAACAGTCAGATGAAAAGGAGTATACATTTGATTAAATATTATTATTGGTTTAGGTCTTGCGATTGTGTTGTGACCAGAATAGTGATCGATTAACCAAATAATCTTGACATCTCTAAATTCTACCAAATTGTTTTAGTTTTTGCTTTTACAATTCATGCAAGGTCAAAACTGAAAGATTGTTGATAAAATAGACAAACGACAATTTACTGGTCTTAAACTACTGTATAGTATACTACTATATATATCTATACTGTATAATTTGTCTAATATCTAATTGGCATCTCAGTGCTAATGTTGTTTCTTGAGAGTCCAAAGAGAATCAATGTATGGCACTTGCAAATAAATTAACTTTCACAATTAATCATTTTGGGTATTAGTGCTACCACTATTCAGTCTTGTACTCGTGTCCAATGGCGATCTATGTACTTAACCTTAGGAGTGTTTGATTCTGATGATATATGTTTGAGTGATATTTTACAATCAGCCTGTTTTAATTGCACTCTCCCTAAAGATTTAAGTAAAACTGGATTGTATAAAACACAAAATAGTGCCAGACACATGGAACTGCATTCTGCAAAGTCTATGGACTTGATGTGTGTTTTGTTATTACTGGGGACTATAAAACAGTCTTAATAAAGCAAAATCCTAAATACTACAAGTATCAAAAGGAATTACAAGCTATTATTGGTTGCATTCATGCAACATCACAAAATACAAGAATTCAAGAAGTTTAACATTGAGCTGGATGACAAGTCAGAATTCTATGGTGGTAAATTGTTTATTTAACCGTCAGGTTTGCAGATTTTCTGACCTGGTTTGGGATTATCCACAAGAAAAAAAACTGCACAAAGTTCAATGTCTCCTCTGTCATCTTAATATTAATAAAATAGAAATAATTTTACACACTGGCTTCAGAATGTAGTGCCATTATTCAAATTATTCAAGCCGGTCCCAGACAAAAACATGGTTCAACATTTGTGGATTTGTTGATATGACAGTAAATCACCCACAGAGTTATATAGGTTACTGCCCTCCTTCTGTAATTATAACAACATTAAATTCTACAACATAAATAAATGAATGTAAAAACAACATTACTAGCAGGATGTGCCAGAAGTCCAGATGCATTAATAAAAACAATATTTAAAAAGTTAACTAAAAGTTATCAAAAAACCTCTTAACCTGTTGGATTAATACTGGTAAATACATTTAACACACTATAGTGTTTTGAATGAAAGCTTAGTTTAGTATTTAGCATCTTATAAGCTTTATTGGTTTGACATTAAGCTAAATGAAAATTCTCTGAGATGTGATGAAACAATCCCAATGTCTAATATGGTATTTTATCTCCTCCTTCATTTTGTATTTCAATAAATATTTACCAGATTTCACTGGCTAATTTTCCAGTATCTTCTTGTAAATACATCTGCGCATTTGGTGAATTATAGTGTGTTCTAGTCTAATGTGTTTGTTTACAAAGGCCTGACCCCTGAGCCTGTGTAAGGCTTGGCACAAGGACAGCTCCTCTAACACACCCAGAGCAGCACAGAGCACCACAGGGCACAGAGCAGCACAGAGCAGCACAGAGCAGCACAGAGCAGCACAGAGCAGCACAGAGCAGCACAGAGCAGCATAGAACAGCACAGAGTGCATACAGAGCATCACAGAGCAGCAGCGTACAGAGCAGCACTGAGCACAGACTACAGAGCATCAGAGGGCACAGAGCACCACAGAGCAGCACAGAACAGCACAGAGCACAGAGCAGCACAAAGTAGAGCACTGAATACAAAGCATCATAGAGCATAGAGGACAGAGGAGCACAGAGTAGAGCACAGAACACAGAGCAGCACAGAGCACAGAACTACACAGAGCAGCACAGAACTACACAGAGCAGCACAGAACTACACAGAGCAGCACAGAGCACAGAGCAGCACAAAGTAGAGAAATGAACACAAAGCAGCACAGAGTCCAGAGCAGAGCACAGAGTACAGAGCAGCACAGAGCACAGAGGAGCACAGAGCAGAGAGCAGCAACACAGAGCAGCATAGAGCACAGAGGAGCACAGAGCAGCACAGGGTACAGAGTAGAGAGCAGCACAAAGCAATAAATAAAGAAGTGGACTTAGCGAGTGCCATGTCACCCATAGTGTTTGGCTCTAGTCAAATGAAGCTTTTGATGCTAGTGGTTACAGTAGCAAATTTGGAGCTGGGTTCTATATTATAAATAGGCTTTTTAACAGACAAAATAGTGGAAGAAAAATGCCAGGATCATGTAGAGCAGGTTAATACAAACATTTTAAGACCAAAATGACGAGGCTCACAGCAGCAGTTACAAAGAGAGGGGTGACAATAGTCAAGTGTAAGTCAATGGGAGCCAGGGTCAGAAGGAGCCAGAAGCACCCACATGCAAACTTCCTATCTGGAACGCAGCGGCTAGCGGCTTAGCTATGTCCATTTATATATACCGTTTATGAGCAGCACAGAGACAGAGCACAGAGAACAAAGCGTGGGATGATACTGAAATCTGGCGTCACGATTATCACAGCCAAAATAACTGCGATTAACGACTGTATCACAATAATGATTATAGTTGCTGTTTAAAAATCCACTGTTATAAGTGAAAACAACAACAATAAGTGAAATGAACAATAATGACAGAAGAGAACTTCAATGGTAAGTAGCTTTTTTCTGCGCATTTTGCTGATAAAAATGGCCATTATCTTTGTTGGCGATTATCACGATTATATAAAATGTGCCATGAATGTTTATCGTGTATACTTTTTATCAGAATAAACAATTTTCTGGTTTATTGTCCCATCCCTAGCAGAGAGCAGCTCAGATCAGAGCACAGAGCACCACAGTGCACAGAGCAGAGACAGGCGTGAGGAGCTTCATGTGCTGAGTAAGGACTGAGATTATCGAGGGAAGGGGCCGGAGTGGGAACCCTTCCAAAAGGACGCCGAGTTCTGGGACGCAGTGTCATGTGCCCCCCGTGTTACTCTGGTAACCATAGACCTTTCACCACAACACAATTTGAAGTGCGATATATTACTACAGAAAAATATCATGATACAGAATCATTTTGAAACTCATTTATACCACTATACAATAAACCTAAACAGGAGTATACCAGTGAACCTTTTTCTAAGCAAACTATATTGTACAAATTTGTCCAGCAATAAATAAATAGCATAATTCAACACTTGAGATGCTAGTTTGAGTGTCTATAATATTTCATAGACGTCAATTATTAACCCAACTACACCTCAAGTTTAGGTTTAGGTATGTTTATTTGCCATAAGTAGTTAAAAAGGTAAGTTTATTTGTCATTTGTAGTTAAAAACCACACAGGAATAACATGGGCAAAAAGCTTCAAGTGCACCATGAGACATTAAAAACAGTGTTATAGGCTTAAAACTACAAAAATAACTAGTGCAAAGAAAAGGTACATGTGAAAAAATAAATTATGTATTGAATGATAAGTCTATACAGTTATTAACGTGACAGACTTAAAAACACAGAGGAGCTGCTAGTGTTATGGCTATAAAGGCCCTTCTGAGACGCTGCATTGAGCTACACACAGGAACTTAAGGAAAATCCTGCCAGTCAGCACACGGGCCCAGCTACAGCGAGCAGCCATCTTCAGCTCACAGTGTCAGTGCCTTTGCTTTTTTCATCTGGTATTAGGCAGGAGGTTATACAAATGCGCTGATCATTCAGAAAAGAAGCAGGATCCTGTTTCAGTTCATTTTCATTTCAAGCTGAGATGTTATTCTTGGCCGATAGCCTCTCTCTGTTTTACACATGTACATAAACTAGCTGCATTATTCGCGACTACAAATGTTATAGCCACAGCATTTATCGATGAGTTTTATGGTTTCCAGCCACATAACAAGGTTGAATTAATGTTATGTTTACTACTACATTCAAAACGGTCTAAAATTTGCATGCAAATAAATGTAACTAAGAATCTAAAACACATTAATGCTTTATCTGCTCACAAACACCCATGTACTACAACTATACTCTCTTCATGTACATTAATAAGTATTTGTACAAACTGGTGCAGACCACAAACCAATTTGACACTATTACCCAACAAATGAATAGTTAGTAACTCTTAGGTGACACCATGATTTCTATATCGTAGCACAAAATCACGTAAAAGTGTCCATCAATATATTAGAGCTATAGTCATGTAGCAGATTTAAAACAAGACCAAAAGATAAGAGCTAACAGAGACCTCATCAAAACTTTACTTATAATGAAATTTAAGACAATCAAACGTGACCCACAGCATTCCAATTTGTATACTTTTAAACAGTGACATTTTTTTTTGTTTGGCAATGTTGTAAAAAGACACTAACTTACTATGTCAGTACAGTCAAACTCCACAATAATTCACAAACAGCAGAATAAAGAATCACATTACTAACATATGTGAAATACCTGACCAACTATGAGTGCCCTTTCTCATAATCATAGCTATTTCCAGAATTACTAGCCTCTCTGTATTCAATAGGGCATATAAAGCAATATAATAATTAGAAACACAAGCAAGAACATATTTGATCTTATTCACAAAGTGCCAACATCTATAATCCTTGATGAACATGCAGAGTCATTTGATACAGGATTAAATCAAGCAAGATTAAGACAGTGACCTAAAACCTGATATGAACATTTGTTAAAGATAGATTTCATAATAGTTGATCAAATAGCAGATGTCAAGTGAAATGTGTAGTAAATTCCCTCCAATTAAAATCCACTTCTATTCTATATGGAGCTATGAAATGTTAATATTATGTATAAATTATGACATTACAACGTGGCTATTGTGAACTGCCTTAATACTCCCATAAGAAATCACTGGCAACAAGGAGAGTTTATTAAATTGCTTAAATTAATCCTTTGGGAATATAATTGATTAAAGACAAATGTATTTTGTTAGAGTCTTCCATTTAGCCAATAACCCAAGTACAGTATGCAGTATATGGCTAAAGGCTAGTATGTTGTATGTGCAATTATTAATGAATCCAGAAACATACCATGTGCGTACCTCATAAGTACTATATCTATGACTAGATGCTCTATCAAACCAGCAAAGCATTATGAGTGTCCTGGGAGAAACGTGTGTGAAGATATCGACAGCAAAAATACAAGCACAGCTATTAGCAATAGGCCACATAGGTGTTTCTCAAATATAAGGAAATGGGACAGAAAAAACCTTGATAGCACATGGATCTCATCATCTGTGACTGAAAACAACACATCCACCTCAGCAGTAACCTTGACTGTGTAATTCAGGATGTCCCCAAGCAAAGTGATGAAATGAAAACAGAGGGATGACACCTTTCACACCATACTCACCTGCTGTGCTCCTCCGTGACCCCCTCTTCTGTACACCCCCCTCTTGCCCCGCTCACCTCCACTCACCTGTTCTATCTTGGCCAGCCATTCCTTGTTGCGGGCCAGCTCTGCCATAAAGGCCTGGTGCTTCAGCCACTTCCTGTGCAGCTTCTGGGCCTCATCCCGCGCCGTGTCTCGGGCCATAAGCATCTTCTCCTGCTCCTGCTGTCCCACTCACTCAGCTAGGGGAGACAAAAATAGCCACCATCAGGAGCCCAATGCTCTCCCCCCCTTTCCCACAGGACGTCCTGCCTGCCTCTTCTACGCTAGGCCCACCAGCTCCTCTCAGTAGGGGCCTGGGTACCTGTGCTGTCACCACCCACCCTCACCCCCACCAGACACCCTTTTCTGGGAGAAAAAATCAAGATAAGCACCTCAACAGCAGTGGTAGCAATGGAAGAACTCAAGCCCTTCCACTCAGTCGCCCCTGGGTCCTCATGCCCTACCGCTTCATGGGTCTTGCGGTCCTGATGCTGCAGTGCCTGCTAGCCAGTCTGGGAGAAGGCAAAAAACAAGCAGCCAAATAGAGGAAATGCACCAATGACAACACCGCTAAAGAATGACACTAGAATCCAAGATGCCCAGTGGGTTGTGGGTTTTCTTCTAGCACCAAATGTCAATTACAATCCATCCATTAGGAACGGTGGCAATGTAGCATAGCCACGAAGAATGATCGAGCCAGGGTGACCAGGACTGTCCAGTACTAGCCAGCCCAGGTCAATCTGTAGTCCAGTCTAATGATGCCGTAGACAGGAGGAGGAGGAAGAGTTGGAGTGGGAGGAGCAGGGCGCCCAGGATGCAGAGGCAGTGCAGTGAAGGCCGGATAACATAAGCTATCCTCTCCTCAAAAGCATTGTTCCCATGTTCCAAAGATGCGGCGCTGGATGCTGTGAGATCTTACACTATTTCCTCTCCTCAGCTCCCCTTCCCCGTGTCCCCGAACAGCTCAGCGGTGCTTGGTGCATGCTGCTGCAGTCCTTGCCTCTCAGCTACGCCGTGTGTGTGTACGTGTGTGTGTGCAATCACAATCAGCACTGCAGTGCCGGAGCAGAGAGGCTGAGAGAGAGAGAGAGAGGGAGAGAGGGAGGGAAAGAAGGAAGGAGGGAGGGGAGGGGGACAGCCAGGAGGAGAGGAAATGGAGAGAGGGAGAAGAGAGTGTGCACAAAAAATAAATAAATAAATAAATAAAAAAGGAAGCAGATAGAGCAAGTGAAAAGAGGAGGAAAAGATGGGGTTGCTGTTTTGGGGGTAGTGGATTCAAAAAAGAGAAGAGAGAGCCTGCGTCATCCATCGGTGTCACCAGGGACATTTCTCTGCACTAGAAATGACTGCACTCGGAGCAGGAGCAGGATTTGGGATGGAGGGAAGGGGGATGGAGGGAGGAAGGAAAGGGGGGAGGTGTCGTTTTAAAACAGCTGAATGAGAGGGGGGGAAAAGATGTGTGCGCACATGGTCCACGGTGCAGCTGACTGATTCGGATCACTGTTCTCCCCACACGATTCACACAGCTGAGGACAGAAGCACGAGAAGCCACTATTAGGTTACATTTCACATGAATTATACATACATGTAAAGAAGAAGAATTTGTTTTCAAGTCAATACCTTTTTTTTATATAAGCAATATGTTGTAGGAGGTCTAAAAATGATCTGCAGAGATAATGAAGGACCACTCTTACATTGGCTATATGTATTAAATATAGTGATTAGGAAAGTGTAAAATAATTGAATTACATTGGTAAATAAAGGGATGACATAAAAATAATACATTTTCATAGCACCACATGCAAATAATAATACATAAGTACAATCATTATATTTGATTCTATATTATGTTTTTCTCAAAATTGACTGTAAAATGACTCAACTACAGTAAATACAACTCTGCTACATAAATGCTACTACAGATTTATAAATGATGTGTGAAGGTTGCAAAGAGGAGGATTTGGTGCCACCTGGTGCTAGTTATGGTAGATTATTCTTGGCATATGCTTAATTTAAGTAGATCACACTAAATACTCCAGTAAAATCCCTGTCAACCTAATCTCAGGGAATAATTTCCAACATTGCATACCTGTACAGTCCTTTGGCCACAGGGTTGGATCAGTGCACATATTCCAAGCTTTGTGCAGGCTTTGGTGTCCAGAAATTAATTCCAGTTTGCTGAATGTCTCTCTCCATTCATTACCTCATTTATTACGCCATCATACTGCTAATTGTTCTGCCCAATAAAGAAAAGATCACAAATTAAAAATATTAGTCGCTAACTAAAGGAAGTGGTATGTAAGTGGTTATTCAGCAGCTATTAGTTGTACGCGTAAAAGCATTCAAGTATTCATCCTAATTTAGTACAAAAGGAAAAGTGTAAAAATCATATCTTGCTAAAAATGTTAATGAACAGGTAATGGACCAAAAATAGTTAATGGCGGAAAACTAAAAAGAAAAAAAGTCCTTCATAAATACTAACAGAGACATATTTAAACACTGGTAGTAGATAGTAATACATATGAGGTCCCTAAAGTAAACAATACCTGAAAAAATAAAAATAAATTTTAAAGAGTCTATAGGTTAATCACCAAATAAAGGATGTAGAGTGCTTGGTAACTGACAAAACTCTAGTGGATATCTAGCCTACAATCAATAAAATCAATACATTATCACCTCAGAACAGATTCTGAACACATAATATCTATGACTATTTGCATTAACATTATATAAACAAAAAGCATGGATACACGGATACAACAGAGACATCACCATAAGGAATATCCATTGGAATCGCCCTCATTTCTAGCAAAAAGCTAATGCAGCACGCTGACACCCTCTACTGGACAAACTGAGGTACTTCATCCACTGGTCAAAAATCTTCCTCCCTGTTTTGATTATCCTTCACAGCTATTTGGGTCTCTGCCTCTCATCCCACGTTTTTAGAGAATGTGTCATATTTTCAGTGGAGTCAAATGAATTCAATATAAAGTAAAATTTATATAGAAAACATTTGATTTTTTTTTTATCCTTGTAAAGAAATCAAGGCAATTTGGCTGAACTGATTGTCTATGTTGACACCTTTTGTTTTTAATCTCTATCTGCATGTTGCAAGTTGATAAAGACCAAAAAACTGAAAATAATGCAGTGTTATTGCAGTTATGATCTTAAATTTTACAAATCTGTCTCTACATGCCCCATCAACAACTTGCTCTCTTTTAATAGAATTTGATTTTATATTAAAAAGTTCTTACTGGCATGACTAAGGACAAAACATCGTACTCCTTGTTCCTTAAGTTGAGGATGTAATTGTTGAGTCAAAGTAGAAATTATCTAAATTACTATAGTAAGACAAGTGATGGTCTTAATACTACTCAAGTGACTATTAACTATCCAAACATGTGATTTAGTGTTGATGTAATCTGACACAGAAAACTACAGCCTAACATCATGCCAACATAAAGCTTTTGTCATTTAAGAGTTACTCATATGGGAAAACAAACCAAACATTTTATCAAAGTCAGAAAAACTTAAATATAGACTATTATTATGTACAAAAACATTATTAAGTACAAAAACAATTAAGCAACTCTCAAAAGTACAATTTCTGCCAAAAGATACCCAAATAAAATGCCATTGATTACTATGAGTCTACCAACATGACAATTGTTTTTGTTAGATAGGGGATTTTTTTTCAGTCAGTAGAGGGCAATATTTCCACATTAAATCAAAGGTTTTACAAAACTAGAACAAAACAGTGAATGAACTCAATACAGATGGTGCTGACACTGAAAAGATGAGAGTGACAGAAGCAATGATGATATATTTAAAAGCAGTGTTTTCCCTATGCATAGTGTGCCTTCATCATTATCTCATTCATAGTTATATTTCCATTGATTCATGCATGTTTGAGTAATCTAGTATTGTCATGCATGTAAGGCTTGAGTGCTGAGAAAATGTCTGTTTTCACTTACCCTCTTCTCATGTAAAATATTAAAAAACATATTTAAAAAATCTGAATCTAGGTCATTGGGTTAAAACATTACATGCAGCCATTTTTCGAAATGATAAAAAAATCATGAAGGAAGATCCACTGCTTGCAAATTTACAATAACGTGTATGTATGAGTACCAAAAAATGAATAAATCATAATAAAAATGACATATTCAGGATGCCATGTTTTTAGCAGTCATAGCCCTCTGTTAATAAAAATGCCTAAATAGTCTTTGTTAATCAATAATATCTAGTAACTCCTCTCTCTTCTGGGATGCAGGGGTTAATGACCAGAGCGAGCATAAGGTTATGAAGTCATAGGATGCTGGAGGCACCATCTAAACCACAACACTATAATTACGAATGACTGGGGATTTCAAACTTTCCTTTTTCCTTTATTTTCCACCACTGCTTCCGACCATCCTGTTGTATATTTTCAATGAGACTGTGTCATTTACTGCTGCTTTAATGCACCAGTTTGAGTTGTTATTTTATAGATCTTAACCTACACAAACATGTCTTTAGCGAGGCTGTAAACCTATTAGAAGCATTTGACTATGGTCACATCATTTTAGCAGTAGGGAGCTGTGTGGGAACTAGTCTACGGCGAGTTAACCTTGGTCACATGTCCCAACACCCCAAATGGACCCTATAATGACAACCTATAGTATAATGACTGACTTCTCTTTGGAAAGAATGCACTGGTATGAATGTACAGTGCGACCCCAGAATTTGTGCTACATTTTTACTACAATACATTTAACTATTAGCTATATGTGGGCTATTTGTCCTACACAATAATGGATTTTATGGTTAAAGCGCATATGAGAGGTTTTCATGTTTTTCTAATTACTACTTGGTTTGGTGGGAGAAAATCTGTGGTAAATACTTATCGCTTAAAATAGACTAAAATAAAAGCATGTTTTTTTCATTTTGGTTGTTTTTTTGCACTGTAAGAACTTCAGAAAACATGTGTCCTTACTCTGATCGGGCTTGCAGTTCCACAGGCCTGATTCATATTTGGCCTTCACCTGTTTGGTTCCTTGGAATTGTTGTTCCACCCATAAAAAGTTAGTGAGTTAGTGAGTAAAATACAGTAGCAGGAGCAGTGATTTCTAAAATGAATAACGCTATGAAACAACAATAAAAAATAAGGAAGGAAGGAAACACCAAAGGCATAAACACAAGCAACATAACACGAAGCAGAACAGGAGTATCTCATATATCAGCCATTTTTGACCACTGTTAAAAAGAGAACCACATTATGGACTGGGACGTTCAGACAGGACAACAAACACCGTCACTGGATTAAGGAGGCAATCGAAATACAGAAATGTGCCCATGGGATTATGAACAGGGAGGAGGGGGCTTTTTTATGCTCACACACCTGGGATACTTTCTTGAAGAAGTTGGACTGCAGATGGCGCTGTCATCCTGCTTCCACCTGTAAGAAGTCAAAACCAAATTTAAATCAGTCACAGCAACA